CCAGGACTGTCCTTTCCTTAGGGAACAGGAGGAGAGGCAGAGAGAGCACCATGCTGCGGTATAGAGTACATCCTGGCAGGGGACTGGATTTGATTCAATCCCTTAGCATCATTATTCTCTACAGAGCAAAGAAATTTTAAAAAGGGGTATCTAAGTGAAGCAGGCAAGTGGAGTATCTAAGTGAAGCAAGCCACATTTAACAGAGGCGATATAGAGAAAACATGCTAGCCATGTCTTCTGTTCCTTGCAAATAAATCACTTTTTGATTTGTCTTATTTTGTCATTGTTTTGTTTGCAGAGATTTGCTGGCTGAATATATTTCCTTTGCAGCAAACTCAGCAAAATATTAACTAATTTTGTCTGATGAGTAAGGAAACATTTCAGCATCCTCAAGGGCAGTTCCACCACACACACACACACACACACACACACACACACTTACTTCATTTTAGTCATGCCACAAGTTCATTTGAAAACTGATGTAATGTGAAATAAGCTCTTAAAACTGCCAGAAACAGCACCCAGGTGTTTAAAAACACAGTCTCAAAAAGAGCCCAAAGTTATTTCAGTAGGGCACAGTGGACAGAGCATTTAGACTGGAGAGACACATGTTCAAATCTCTGCCCAGCCATGGAGCTCCCTGGGTAGCCTTGGGCCAGTTTGTTGTTGTTTAGTCATGTCCGACTCTTCGTGATCCCATGGACCAGAGCACGCCAGACACTCCTGTCTTCCACTGCCTCCTGCAGTTTGGTCAAACTCATGCTGGTAGCTTCGAGAACACCGTCCAACCATCTCGTTCTGTCGTCCCCTTCTCCTTGTGCGCTCCATCTTTTCCAACATCAGGGTCTTTTCCAGGGAGTCTTCTCTTCTCATGAGGTGGCCAAAGTATTGGAGCCTCAGCTTCAGGATCTGTCCTTCCAGTGAGCACTCAGGGTTGATTTCCTTAAGAATGGATAAGTTTGTTCTTCTTGCAGTCCATGGGACTCTCAAGAGTCTCCTCCAGCACCATAATTCAAAAGCATCAATTCTTCGGCGATCAGCCTTCTTTATGGTCCAGCTCTCACTTCCATACATCACTACTGGGAAAACCATAGCTTTAACTATACGGACCTTTGTGTGCTTTTTTATTTATTTACAGGGAGTCTGTTTTTATTCATTTGGTGGTGGTGGGCGTATTCAAAAGTGGTATCCCACACCAGGCATCATAGAATCATAGAATTGTAGAATTGGAAGGGACCCCGAGGGTCATCTAGTCCAACCCCCTGCAATACAGGAATCTCAACTAAAGCACCCATGACAAATGGCCACCCAGCCTCTGCTTAAAAACCTCTGATGGAAGATTCCACCACGTCCCAAAGAAGTCCATTCTTGTCCAACAGATCTTCCTGTCAAAAAGTTGTTCCTGGTGTTTAATCTCCTTTCTTGAAACTTGAAGCCATTGGTTTGAGTCCTACCCTCCAGAGCAGGAGAAAACAAGCTTGCTCCATCTTCCAAGTCACAGCCCTTGAGATACCGTATTTTTCGCTCTATAAGACGCACTAGACCACAAGATGCAGCTAGTTTTTGGAGGAGGAAAACAAGAAAAAAAATATTCTGAATCTCAGAAGCCAGAACAGCAAGAGGGATCGCTACGCGGTGAAAGCAGCAATCTCTCTTGCTGTTCTGGTTTCTGGGATAGCTGCGCAGCCTGCATTCGCTCCATAAGACGCACACACATTTCCCCTTACTTTTTAGGAGGGAAAAAGTGAGTCTTATAGAGCAAAAAATACGGTAGCTATCATATCTCATTTCAGTCTCCTCTTTTCCAGGCTAAACACACCAAACTCCATCAACCATTCAGAGTTTCAGACCCTTGACCATCTTAGTTGACCCCCTCTGCACATCTTCCAGCCTGTCAATATCTTTCTTAAATTGTGGTACCCAGAACTGGACACAGCATTCCAGGTGTGGTCTGACCAAGGCAGAATAGAGCGGCACTATTGCTTCCCCTGATCTGTGTAAGAATTTAGGCTGCAGTCCTAACCCCCTTACTTAGGAACAAGCCCCACTGACTTCAGCAGGACTTATTTCTCAGTAGACCTGGTTGGTTGAATTTACTTACATGCCACTCTTCCACAATGGGCTGCACCCAAAGTGGCTTACAGCAAACATCCAAAAATCAAAATACAAATATACAAAATATAGAGCATGTCAGTAAATTTCAAAAATGACAAGTTAACAAACACAGAATAAATTCAGTATTACCAAAACACACACACCACAATATAGGTTTAAGTACTGTAAATACAAAGCAAAACAAGAGTTAACTGACAATAAAGCTTACAGCTCAGAGGGGAGGGGTCCTCTCACCAGGCTAGATGACACATACAGCTGGCTCCCAAATCCTTACTCCAGAGGAGGCTGGCAGCAGCAAAAATAAGAAGTTGGGCAGAGCAATGATGGTCAGTCTCTTCCCTAGCATCCTAGTGCATATCTTATTGGTTAGGAGTTCACTGTTGGTATAAAGTTTATCCATGAATTCTTATCGAAGCAACAACCTTTTATTTTCACTCCTTGAAAGAAATGTTTTCGCTAATAGTATTACAATTTCTAAGCACTTACCTGGATGAGAGCCAGCCATTTCCTGAGATCCCCTTTTCCCCAAGACTCCATTATATTTATTTTAAAACTTGGTGGAGGTGGGGTTTTGAAAACGCTTTGCTTAATTTAAACCCTTTGTTTTTGCTTCACTATTAATGTCAATATATATGGCCTGCAACAAAGAATCTTGTTTTGTCTAGAGACGTTGATCCTTCCAAAAATGCTTATTTTTAGAACACCTAAAAGTCAACCAAACATGCAGCAGCCACAATCTGTCTTCTTTTAGACAGGAAAAATAGAAGCTTCTTTTGGGTTTCTGTTTGTTTGTTTGTTTCGTTGTTAAACAACTCCACAATGTTCAAGTGGATTCTAACCACAGCCAGATGACATATAATGTCACTAGGGTGGTTGTGTGCCCTAATTTACAATGGGCAGTCCTCTATTGGGCTGACACTCCTCTATTGGAAGCGTCCAAGTCTCATTTAAAGAGAAAGAACCCCAAGAATGGAGAGCAGGTGCCATGAAGTTTGAGATCAACAGTGAACACCTACACAGAAGAAAAAGCAGACACCTGGCCATAGTTGTTCCCACTACTGTGAGATGTTATTTTAGTTAAATGATAGCAATTCTTCCTAATTTTACATCGTTACATATAAATTGGGGATGCGGGTGGTGCTAGAGCCTAGAGCCTAGGACTTGCTGATCAGAAGGTCAGTGGTTCGAATCCCCGCGACGGGGTGAGCTCCCGTTGCTCGGTCCCTGCTCCTGCCAACCTAGCAGTTTGAAAGCACATCAAAGTGCAAGTAGATAAATAGGTACCGCTCCGGCGGGAAGGGAAACGGCGTTTCCGTGTGCTGCTCTGGTTCCCCAGAAGCAGCTTAGTCATGCTGGCCACATGACCCGGAAGCTGTATGCTGGCTCCCTCAGCCAATAAAGCGAGATGTGAGCCGCAACCCCAGAGTCGGCCACAACTGGACCTAATGTTCAGGGGTCCCTTTACCTTTACTTTTTACATATAAATTAGATACGTAAGTTTTTGGCAAATCTGTGTCCTCTTTTTGAGGTGATACATTTCCACTCTTTTTGGGTGCTATATAAATGAGCACCCCAGCTGGAGCTAGCTGAATTGCCCATGGTGTATTGTCATTGAAGATTTAGAAATATTTTATGACTGTTCTTCCCCATATCTCTATATGTTAAAGGAGAGAGACAGTTGGGGAGGCTAAACAAACTTATTAGGAAACAAGCCCCCATTGGACACAATGGTCTTAATTCCAAATAAACATGTATCAGAGACATGAGGCATGTTCAGGACTGTATGTTTGCATGCATTACCAAAGGTAAACTTGACCAGAGCAAGAGTTATAGCAGGAGCTACTCAAATGCTACAGCTATTAGAAAGTAAGATCATCACTCCTGGGATGGTAATATGTACAGGATAGGGGCGCATGCATTCTTGAGCAAAGATAAGATACTGCATTGAATTTCATGAATGCACATTTCAATTTTTTCCTTTCATTATGAATGGGTAAGTGTGGCAAAGAAAGGAATCACAATAGCAAATGAGAGCAGGAGACTGCACTCTGTGTATCAAGTGTAAAATTTTATTTATGGCATTAGAATTACACTGGCTTTGTGCCAGTGCAAAAAAATCAACCCCGTGGCACTCCTTTCAAGGTTTTCAGCTTCCCCAAGGAGAGAAGTTCTAGTTAGCAAATGAGTAGCTTTATTTATTTATGACACATGGCCATTTTTAATTTCAGAATTTGTTATGCATATCATCACTGTGGCCTCTGGGGACATCAGGCATAAAACTGAACCTCTGATATATAGCATTCCGTGCTGCTGGTGGTAAATATATTAACTCAGCCTTGCAGAAGACTTTCAGATAATTTACTAGCTCACCTGTCTACAGTTACAGGCCATCAAGCAGACCCAGCAGCAAGTTGCCCTTTGTTTATTTTTGTTTAATTGCTACCTTTATATCTCTTCTTTCTTCCATGATGCATAATTCCCAGACAGACTCTCCAGGGGGAGGAGCAGAGGACTCTGAGTGACTGACCCAAGGATATTCAGTGAGCTTCATGGCTGAGTGGGAGTATTTGAACCCTAGTCTCCCAGGCCCTAGTTTGGCACTCTAACCACTGCAGCGCACTGCCTCTCACATATGTGAGCCCTGTGGTGCTCTGGTCACTTTAAACTGCTATCATATGCCTCTATGCAGTGCTTTTTTCCTTAAAAAATGTTTAGGAGTACTCTCATTTTGACTCAAGAAAATCTCCATTTTGTAGTTCAAATCGGGAAAAATAAATACAGTAAATGGACAAAAGTGCAAAGATTCACAAAATGTTTAGGGGTATGCATCTCCCTGCGTCCCCCCAGAAAAAAGCACTGCCTCTATGAATAAATAACACACGTAATTTTTTTAAAAATGGGTTTTATAAAGGAGCAACACTGCAATCCCACACCTGCTGACCTAGGAGCATGTCCTACTAAACTAAATGGGGTTTATTTCTGACACTAGGATCGTAGCGTTCATCTCAGTAAAGTGCGCAGCGATAAAGCCCACAGCAAACCGTACACGAACTTCGCACGTTGCTGGATCTCATTGAGAAAACTGGAGGTCAAACAGAGTTACACATGCCCGCAGCTCCGCCTCCTTTTCTGGATGGCAACGCCCATGTTCGTACGGGGGGAGGGAGAGAGAAACACCTTCGCTGTTCCTTTCTCGGACTTCCAAGCGGCGGCGCCCCCCTTCGAAGCCAGCCGTTTCCTCAACAAACTCGCCGCCCTCACATCTCCGCTTAAGCAACGGACGCGGCTCGGCCAGGATTGAGATTTCGCTCTTTTACGCACGCACCCCCCCCACCTTCCATTTGTTTACGCCATTGGTACATTCCAAGAGTGTTGCGGTGGCGGGAGGAGGGAGGAGCGCGGGAAGGCAAAGGAAACCGCCGTTTGGCTGAGCGAGCGCGGTGGGCGGCGCTTGAGGCGCGAGCCCAGCCGTTTTGACTTGTGAGGAGGAGGAGGAGGAGGAGGAGGAGGAGGAAGGCGGAGCCTCAAGCGCGCGCCTCCCTCTCCGTCTGTGAGAGGCTGCGCTCGGGCGCGAGCGGGCCATGGGGGCGGAGCTTAACGCACCCACCCACCTACCCTCGCGAGCGGAGCCGAGCGCGCGCCTGTCGTTTGCTGGCTCGCGCGGGGGCGCGCGCGTTCCCTCCCTCAGTTCAGTCAATCAGTCCGTCAGTGCTTGAGAGTCGTGTGTCGTTCGTTGGCGGCGGCGGCGCAGGACGGGACGGTCTGCTCTGGCCGGTTGGTCGGTCGGTGTTGGATGGAGGGTCCCGTCCGCCTCGCCTGCTCTCTCTGGAATGTACTGGGGGGCGGCTGCCGAGTGGGAGCGAGGGCTCTATGGGCGCAGGCAGCGCCGCTGCTGCCGCTGAGGAGAGGTGAGAAGGAGGGGAGCCGCGGCGCTGGCGGGGGGTGGGGGTGGGAGTGGGGGCGGGTTGGCTGCGGTGGGTGTGTTAAAAGCCGGTGAGGGGATGAAGAGAGGCCGAAGAAGTGCCGGGGCTTCGGGCCGAATGCCTTGAGCCCGGCCAGCCCTGGGTGTGCGCGCGTACGTGTGTATGCGCGCTTGGAGTTACAGGTCACCTCAGGAGGGCAAAGTGTAGGGCCGGGGGACGCTGCTGCAGCTGCTGAGGGCCCTCAGAGAGGAGGAGGAGGAGGAGGTGGTGCTCTTCAGTTAAATGGTGAGGCTCGGTGTTTACAATCGGTTCGTTTTTACGGCTACGTGTAAAGAAAAAACCTCGGGTCGTCGCACACTGTACTCTGAACCGGGAAGTGGGGCGCGTTTGTGTGTAAACGAATCGGATCCGAAGCAAGAGCCGGGTGTTAGCTGCAGGCTGATTTTGGCGGGGACACCCCCTCCCCAATGCACAACACCCACACACCCTGTAAAAAAACCCAACAACACGGGTCATCAATGTGCGAAACAAATAAACACGTGCGCACATGTGTGACCCCTTTAAAGGCTCGCTGATTTATTATGCGAGTAAGCTGATGTGGGCTACGTGCAGCAAGCAGCCCACTCAATCAAGGCAAGAAGCAGTTAGGTTTTGCGCTGAGGCGGAAGCATCAGCAATGTTTCATGGCACCTGGAAGACAGTTTTATCCGGGATGTTAGCTTCACGAAAGCTGCTGCCATAATAAACCTGCTCCTCTAAGTTGTGCCGCAGATACCATTTGCTTTATTTAAAGACATGAAGCATGATCCAGCCAGCCACATCTAAACTGGATCACAGTTCATGAAAGTGGGATTCTGTAGCCCATGTAAACTTATGCCACAATAAGTATATTGTTTTTAAATATGTTATAGAAGTGAGGTTTCTATTGTATTCTGGTGTTTATATTTGGTTTTAATTCATGTTTCACGTTACAAGGTACTTTAGGTCTCTTTTTTGAAAAATGCATCTAATGAATGCAATTGATAATAATAAAGCTTCTTAAAGTGCCCCAAGACTTTCTTCTGTGTATATGTGTTTGCTTTAATAAGCTACCATGTCTACTCCTCTGGAATTTGAGGAAATAAAGTTTGTTTAATCTGAAATAGTATCTTTTTAAATCCTAGAACTGTGAAAAGAAAGAAGCATTATGACATTAGTCTTTAATTATGGGTGTCATTTTTGATATCACGGTATCCATCCTCTAAGGTTGGCACTTGAAAAATCTGTTTGTTGTTGAGTGCACCCAAGCTTTCCCCCTATATACAAAGGGATGAGCACCTCTTACTCAGCTGTACTTTTCTGCAGAGTGCATATGCAAACTAACACGGGGGTTCTGGAATAACCAACGCCTCCTGGTTCCATTTATAAATGTGAAAGGTTTTTTTTGGGGGGGGGTGGAGGCAGATGACTCTTAACTTTCTTTTTTACCTTTCATTTTTACCTGACAATGGATGAAATATTTTGATTGGTATGAATATACCCTCTTGCACTTGATTACTTTACTTTAAAATAAGTTAGCCTAGTACAAGACATCACTTTTTATGACTTCTGCCCCCATATCCTAGACTTCCTTTAATGTCAAAAAATGCTTCTGCCTACTTTTTGTTACCTGACTTTGCAGTCAGGGATAACCTTACCTGATTGTGTTCCTGTCATTTATGATGCAGTTCCAAAAGCTCTAGTGTGTACAGGTGGAAGGAAGAATACCTGTGATTACCTGTGTGAACTGGAAGGTATTCTGTTCCTTCTGGTTAAGGCATGGATGCTGTATATCCATGACCAAATCCCATAGAAGCAGATAATTGGATCCTAAGCAGCTGCCATGTCTGCAGTCTTCTGATGCTGTCTTGATCAGAAACTTGCTTTTGATAGAGCCAAAAGCAGTTCCTGGCACTTCAATGGGAAATGTGATTGAGAAGCTTGGTTGTCAACTTCAAACTGTTTTAAGTTCTGGCACATCTCTTTATGAACATGAAACTGTAAGCTGCATCTTGTTTTTCTTAAAAAGTATTTATAGCAACTACATGTTGGGAGTTCTTCTCATTTGGGCTGAGATGAAACATCACATTTTGTCTGGAAAGTTTAAATTAACTGTTGTTAACTGCTGCTCAACTAGAAAGCATTCTTACCAGGAGCAGCCTGCATTGCCGCTATCTGTTATGCACATGTTAAAATTGCATAGTGTCCAAATGAGTTGTGTGGAAGAAAGATATTATAAAATAAGAAAAGTTTGTTTCTCTGTACTGTACCTAATTTCAGAGGAACAGTTTGCTTACTTAATCAGGAACATAATTCGCTGTGACTTGTGGGTTTACATAAGAGAATTCTTAGCATTAAGTTCTTTCAGCATCTTAATTAACCAAACTTGCAGGAGATTGATGCCTCAATCTGCTGTTCCTGGAGGCTATCTCTATTGATTTCTAAGCAGAGTATTTATGATTCTGTGTCAAAACACTTGTGTTTGTGTCAAAAGGAGATCAGTTGTGATTTTAACCCTGTATCATTCTTAACAGAGGATTGGCTGGTTTTAAAACTTTGTATTCAAATATGATTTTTCCTGAGAAAAGAACTCTACAGTGTCATTTAGTTTTCTCAAAAGGGACACAGTAAAGAGTTGGATCATGTTGCTTTAGTTTGTAGGTTTCATAATCCTTGCCCAGTCTAGCAGGTGGTTTGACTTTCAAGTGAATTAAATTGATTGTTTAGACAGCCAGGTCAGCAAAACAGTACAGAATGAGTTTTCTATGTACCAGAGCAAGAACTGTTGTACTCCTTTTACTGTCAAAGTGAGAGAGGACTTGGTACTGAACTCAATTTAGGAGGCCTATAATCTGATGTTTTTCCATGATGGATAAAAAACATGCAGACCTATTTTGATGTATTTTTACATTTTTTCGGGGCGAGTGTTTCTTTTTAGTTATAGCATGTACATAAACTAGGGGTTGAATCTAGTTCATTATGACCTATTATCTGACAGTTTCCTTTCAGAAGTAATAATGGTTGTAGTCTGTCTGCAGCGCATTTTAAACAGGATTTAGGGCAATATTATTTTAAATGTTAATGTTATCTAACTGTGAAATATCCCTTGACTTTTAGCCATAAAAGTTATCTCCCAGGGCCATTTGGCATTCGTTATATCTCATGATTTTCAAAACTCAGGGTATTCAGCAACATCAGTGTCATGTACAAAGAGATTTCATTTTTAAGGTTAAAAATCTAAAGGAAAAATTAATCACTGCTAGCTTGTTTTCATGCTCAAAGAGTTAAGCATGAATGTCTTGCTGTTAAAATGAAACCATGCAGTATGCAATAATAGGAAACATCCCTTTGTAGAATATGTAGCATTTTGTATGATTCTTTTAATATTTCCTTACTTCCCTTTTTCAGCCTTGTGATGTACAGTATCGCTGTCACGCACAATCTGGGTAATAGTACTGAGGTGATATTAATGTGACTCTTTAAAATCAAACTAATTATATCTGCCTGAAAGAGCCACATTAGTGTGATTCTTGCTCCCTAGTGCTTTTTTGGAGCCCTGGAGACAACCTAGTGAATAGGGCTGAAAATTCATTCTGTATTTGATTAAATGGAACAGACTCGTTGCTTCTTACCCCAGCAGGGGCTATGAGATCTCTTGATCCCCGAAGCGGCTCATAGACCCTGGGAATTCCATTAGCAAGCACCTGAGGAATTTCTGCCCTGCAGTGCCTTTTTTTGTAATACGGGTGGGGGTGGGGAAAATAGAACAAGAAGTATATCACTCTTGATGATGAGTGGGGGAGGCTACACCAGAAGAATCTGTATGTTGGCAGATCTAAAATCAAGGCATGACTTAACAGCTTATCTAGTGAGAGAAAAGCCCAACCCCAAAGAATACGAATAGTTAGACACTGATGTTTAAAGAGAACTGTACTTTACTTAAGGCACTGAAATTAGTTCAACCACCCTTATTATTGAAACCATCACTTATTTCTCAGTCTGAAGAAGCAAACCGGTGGCAAACCATTATCAGTGCAAGCACTTAGACTTGTGGAGTGGGTGAGTCTTTTTAATAAGATGGAATATAACAGGCAATGGTGTGTACTTTTTATTTGCCAGTTAATATAAATTTGGTTTTTTGATTATTTTTAATCATATTTATGGTACTGTTTAAAGCACAGATTTTTGCTGAGAGAAGCCTCTAGAGCACTATTTTGATCACACTGATTTTTTTTTAAAGGTCTGAATAAGTAACAGATTCTTGGTAATTAACCTTTTATTTGTATACTTTTCATCTTCCCCCACGGGAAAAATACTGGTAATTGAAGCATTTCTCAATAGTTCCAAGTTTGTGTTCATTATCTTTTTATCTTAAATTTTTGATAACATATGCAAGTGGTATATGATTTGTATGCAAGAATATATATGGATTGCACTATACATGTTTGATCATTTGGTGATTATCATATTTCTATATTGAATGGTATATTTCGTATGTGGTCCATTGTTTCCATTTACAATTTGTACATGGAATTCCTGTCTATTTTTTAGACATACTTCATTAAAAAAACCAAGGTACTTAGCAATTGAATATTGCACCTTGCCTGAACATAATCACAAAGACTGCACAGGTAGTCTTGTGTAATGTGGCTTACTATTAAGGATGACAATCCCTTCTCTAAATACCTACTTCCCTCTACCTGCTCCAATTTTTAAACATTTTTTAATTGAAAAGGTTTAGGAAGCAAAGCTTATTCTTTAACATGATTCTTGGAGGGTGTGCTGATTTCAGGGTTTAGATTTTCTGTTGTTATTTGTATATGTACATTAAATGTGGAAATTGTAATGATTTGATTTACAGCAGCAGCAGTGCTTTTTTTCCCCTTAAAAAATGTTTAGGGGTACTCTCATTTTGACTCAAGAAAATCACCATTTTATAGTTCAAATTGGGAAAAATAAATACAGTAAATGGACAAAAGTACAAAGATTCACAAAATGTTAAGGGGCATGCATTCCCCCATAAAAAAGCACTGAACATCAGTATTGGCTAAGATTGTTTCTGGTACTGTCTGAGTTTGGAATCCAATTTTAGTAGTTGCACTGACAAACATTTCCAGTAGCATTTCTAGTTTATCATTTGGATATTTTAAAATAGAGCATATGAAGGGGGAAGAAAAATGTAAGGAGTTCCTTAGATTTAATTCAATCTGTTGCATGAAATATACTTCTGAAGTAAGATTGGAATATTATTTGTTTGTAAGTTTCATTTAAGCATAATTAGGTATGATGTGCGCTAACAAGTATAATAAATAGCTTAAATGTCAGCGTGGTAAAAGCACAAAACAGTGGGAAAATGATAAAATGGTATTATATTGATTGACACAAGAGCTAATATTTTAGGATGACAGCTGAATCTCTCCTGTAGTACTAACATTTGAAAGTAAGATTTTATTTCCAACACAATTTTTATTCTGAGAAGTTGGCATTCTCTGCTCATGTTCTGCAAACACTGATCTTCTCTATTTCTGTTTAGTAAAATTATCTAGTTTGTGATGTTTACAAAATTCTTTTCAGCTATGCAGAACATTGGCTGTGACATACTCCCTCTGCTGGTCAGCTGCAAAGGCAGCACTATTTGTGAATACAGTACCTGTTCAGGAAACTTTAGAGTAGTAGACACTTTCATGTTTGATAGTACAACAGCTATAACTTTAGGGAAACAAAGAAAACAGTAATTTGGGAGTCATACTAGCACTACTATCTGTCTGTTAGAATGTAAATTCAAGATTCTTGATTTCAGCTTTCTCTTTTGGAATGGGTTCACCAAAGCACGAATTGCACACACATGCATTTGTTATCAAAGTACAAAAAATATATGCACTGTATTCTGTATATTAGAAGATTAAAGCTTTTAAAAACTAGATGGGCAGTCAGTCCATGTCAAGTTATTGGCACAATAAAACTATGTATTGAAAACCACAGAAACAAGTTTGGATAGTGACTTGAAGAAAGGGCACAGTTTTTAAAATGTAATGCTATCTTAGCATTGCAGCCAAGTCTGTTCTTTTAATGTAAAGTAAACTATCTTAAAGTAGCCTGGGACATTTTATGTAGTACTGATGTCTGCCTTAGAAATGTGTCATAAGTGAGTATTCCAATCTATATTTTGTGTGGTAACTGATGTAGCATTTGCTTTATGATGCCAGTTTTTGATGGTTCATTATGCTCAATAACTTCAGCAAAATGTATCAGTAAATAGCAGGTAACTTTCTCTGTCTCTACTGAAAATGGTTTTTCTTGCTACCTGTAGGGTTTTACATGAGTCTACTGTCTACAGCTGTCTTGATGAGTCTTCCCCAACCTAGTACTCTCCATATGTTTTAGACAACTCTAGCTGGCTGAGGCTGATGGAAATTAAGTCCAACAACATCTGGTGGGCAGCAGGTTGGGGAAGGCTGACATTAAGGTTTTAGAAATTAGTGGCCACTGAGAGAACAGCATGCTGGATTAGATGGACCTTTGGTCTGATCCAGCAGGGCTGCTTGTATGTTTGTATCCATAGAAAAGTAGGTGGCAAGTAACAAAGCAGGGGATTGGTGTAAGTAAGCTGTACAGAGAGTGTGTGGAAGACAGCTGTGCTGAAAAATCGGGTGGAGTCAAGCTAATCTGCTGGGCATTGAGGATGCATGTGAGGCAGAGATGCACAGTGCACTGAGGGTTTACTTACCTCACTGCTTCAACAATGGGGTTGTGATTTTATGACAAGTCCATTGAGGTCTGGGCATCTCTAAGGCAGTCATAACCAGGCAGGAAATGTATGTGATCTTAGAAGTGAGAAGGCAGCAGGCTGTGGGTTCTGATTCTGCACGTTTGTGGAGTGTGAGGGAAGAGAAGTGGTGATCGTCATCCCTGTCTTTCTACCTGAGCCCTTTGTTGGCAGTATAGGCAGTGAACATACTCTCCTCACCCCTCACAGCATATATGCAGGAAGCATGATGTTGGCACAAGAGAAAGCATGATGCAGTCAGCTGACATATCAGTAAGGGAGGGTGATGGAATAAGTTAGGCAGACAGATATGGGAGATAAACATGGATAATGGAGACCATGTATCAGGAGAAATTTTCTCTCAGTCTACTATTTAGTAACTGGGGGCACATTTGTGTATTCTGTACCAGCCAATGCATTGGGTGTGGGCCCCTAGGATCCTAAATTGAACTATTAGAAGAATAAGTCTTGGAATCCAGTGTCAGCCTCCTGATGGTGCTCTCTGTGATTGAAAGTGAGGGCATGTTAGAGGAGGTCAGCAGCCTCTTCCTGCCTATGGAACTTCTTCCAGCTTTCTATGAAATCCTGTCCTGTACTGGACAGATATGGAGAAGGTGTCGGAACACCACTTTTTTGTCCCTTATACCTCCCAGCTAAGACTATTCCAACCCATCATCCATTACAACTATATTTTGCAGTTTGGCAGTAGGCATGTCTTGATTCACCGGCAGTCCCCAATAACCTGAATCAGCTGATCACCATTGCCAACAGCCCACATAACAGAGGCACAAATGCAAGGATCAGACACTGCAACAAGCCCAGATACAGATGCAATAAAATAGGTATTAAAGCACCTAATAATGTTAACCACAATATCAAGGGTTTATTCACCTGCTTGTCTTCCAGTATGATATACAGTATCATCTGCCAGTAATGGCCTTCTGCATTCTATACAGTATAGGGCAAACAGGTCAGTAGCCTTTATGCAAAGAAAGAGAGAGAAAACACAAATATTACATCAAAAAGGACCATATTCCATTGGCGAACATTTCACCACCATAGAATACTCTTTTACTGACCTTAAGTTGACCGTTCCTGAACAAAGAGAGGTGTTGATTAATTCACAGTGCCAGGATGTGTATGTTACTGTTCACAAAGCAATGTCGCTCATTGTAATTCTTTTACATACAGTTAAGCGTTAATACATTTTTCACCATCTGTGTTTCTTACATTTCATTTTCTGCTCATCTGACAGCTAATGTTTTGTCTCTTTCTCTATAGTCATGTGTATTATATTGTAGCTACTCATTCAGCATCATATGCCATAAATCTGATAAAGTGGGGTTTAGTCCTTGAAAGCATGTGCCATAATAAATTAATTTTAAAGATGCTGCAAGACTTCGTTTTTTGCCCATGTTCTGAATAAAACAATCTAAATAAAATGTTCTAAATAAAACAAACAAGTTGTTGCTTGAATACCTGAGGCTACAATATTAGAAATTATTAAAAAGCAAATAATCACAACTCCTTAATTTAATTCTTCAAATCCTCTTTCAGTAATCACATAAGTTATAAAGCATTTGACTGCTGGTGCAAGACTTGCCTACCACTAAGTGGATTTATTTTTGGCATTATATCACATAAATCAGGGGCTGTAAAAACAATGTTGATACCATGTAAATTTTAGAATAGCTGTAGCCTTCAATCCAAGAAATCTTTCTAATAAGACAGTTGAATTGTTGAAGGAATACTGAAATGATACTGTTGTAAATCTGCTGTTCTGTGATCTGATGAAGCTGTTGAGATACATTTTGGAACATTAAAGCTTGATTTCCTCATGGAATCTTCTGCTGAGTTACCTGGAAATTTGCACTGGGTTTTGGTTTCCCTAAACTTGATAGAATTACAGGAGGTTAAAAAGTGTGGTCCACCAATTCATTTGAATCGAGTATATATGCCAACAAAATGCAAGCAAGACTGAGTTTGGTGAAAATGTCAGTGAAGTATAGAATAAATAACATGAGGTCAAAACTTAACAGTTGCTCCTTTCTTACTTCATATTGAGTGAGATTTATTTCGTCTCTCTACCATATGCTGGTTGAAATTCTGTGGAACTCGTGTTTGCTTTGTGTTCCCATTCATGGGACTTGTATTTTCCCTGTGGCCATGAATTCAGTGAATTCTAATTACCTATGATGTAAGATAGTAGTAGATGACTGGGTGGCTATAAATTGTAGCTGCAGGTGTGGATTTAATAGATATATGTTCCTTTTATGGATCACAAATAGTATCTATAGTACAAGTTGCAACAGAAAATAAGACTTGATAAGCTGGCTTACTTTTGGCCTGTATTTTATAGAGTTGCCATAGTTTCTTGAGATTGTCAGTGGAAGTACAGTTGAAAATTACGGTAAGTTATTAGTTATTTTAGACTAGAGTTCAGATACCTTTGCACAAGTACTTAACGACTGGTGGATACTTAATAGCAGAACACCATCATTCTTTAGCCAAAGCGGATACTAAGCAGTGTGGTGTAATGGTTAGAGTGTTGCATCAGGACCTGGGAGAGCAGGGTTTGAATCCCCACTCAGCCATGAAACTCACTGGATGATCTTGGGACAGTCACCATTTCTTAGCCTAGCCTACCTCACAGGATTGTTGTGAGGATGACATGGGGGGGGGGAGGAGAACCATGTACACCACCTTGAGATCCTTGGAAGATAAAGGTGGTATATTAATGTAAGCAATAAATAACAACCACCACCACCACCACCACCACCACCACCCTGATAGATATGTTCTGCCTCCAAAGTTGGAAACCACAGGAGGGGAGAGTGTTGTTGTACTCGGATCCTGCTTATGGGTTTTCCATACACATCTGGTTGCTCAGTGTGAGAACAGGCTGCTGAAGCTGATGGGCCACTGGCCTGATCCAGCAGTCTCTTTTTGCATTCTTGTGTGTGTGTCTCTTCCTGTCATTTAAGTTATGGAATTTCCCAAAAGAACAGTACTGAGGCATCTGAGCATTGTGATGGAATGAAATGTCAGATCTCTACACTTGTTCTCTAGACCTTCCTTCATCATATCTGAATGTCCTTAATGTCATTTTTCTAGTCTTTCAAACCAAATTAATAGGTCTTCAGGCCTCTACGTTGGCTCATCTTACTTTTCTCTCCATGCAATTGAATTTGAGACTACTTGAGAGATCATATTTGGATTTAATCCTAGTTCTTGTTGTGCATCTTAGTACCTTGCTTTCTTTTTGAATGCAATGTATCTAACTACTGATTGCTTACACTAGTGAATGGAGAAAGGCACTGTAAAGCTAAAAGGATTTCCTTACTGAAAATGCACCAACAGTCTTCTTGGGTTTCTTCTTCTGTACCGGCAGCTCTCAACTTGCAGGGGTTACGCTCCAGGGACAGCCCATAAAGCCAAAATCGTATATAGTCAAAACACATTGGGTGGAGTGGGTGTGTAAGAGTGCCAAAGCCTTTTTCCCTAGACACCTATTCCATTTCCGTCCACTTGTTTATTTTTTAGCCGAGCACATAAAACTGGATGTGTGCAAGTTAAATGCACACAAGTTGCAAGTTACCTGTACTGCCGTGCTTGATTTGCTTTCTTGAGATGTGTGGACTGTTACTGGGTTGTTTATGCACTTCTGGCATGGCATACCTTGTGTGTTCTACTCCATTCTTGTGACATACTTTAGTCAGAATGTTTTGGAATGTGGAATATTATACAGAGAATCATGCTTCTAGGTCAGAGGGTAGATGGTTCTATTATATCTCCAGGCCGCATCTGTATTCCATGTGCAAGTTCCATTAGACTGTTATTGGCCATACCTAAGAACCAGATGTGTTCGACATGGTTTAGTGTGCATTACATAGTCAGGGCCATATGCATGCCAAGTTTTAGAACAAAGCTGCTTTTTTGTGTGTCTCGTTATAACAATTGAATAATTAAAACAGTTGAAAATCCTGCCCTACCCTATTCCTTCTATAGCTTGCAGATGTGTAATTTAGTTGACCTATGAGTTGAGTTCAAGAATGAAAATTTATAGACCTCAAGGCAAAATGTAAAAGCCTTACCAATTGAAGTGTGGCTCAGATAAATGGGTGGTGGCCGCTATCTAGCTTCGAAACATGTACACAATTTTGGTTTTTCAGAGGAGAAAAATATTTCTCTCTAGGCATCACACCATAATTAGAATTTCTTACACAACTGTGTAATCATGTTGGCAATATGTCAGCAAAATGTGTACAGTTTTTTAGCTATGTGACCCACGGAGTCTTACAATGATGAGTTGCCCAACTTTTCTTAGCCTTTATAGTTTCCAAGAATTAAACTAATAGAAATGTTGAAAAGTCAGGAGCAAGGAAATACATTAAAATATGTATTCATTGGTCGGTGGTCATAATCAGTGGTTATAATTTCTAAGTTAAATCAATATTTTTTTAAGGGTTGCAAAAAACTCTTCAAAGTTTTTTGTTACCATTCTGTATGGCATAAAGAAAGAAAGTCTCAAAATGGGACTGGAAAAATGTAGTGAACTCTAATAAAAGAGTAAATGGACAATTTACTACATTATTTTGTTGAAATGTTCCTTGGGGGTGTAAATTTAGTTTAAGGTGAATTATAATGCCTCTGAGGAGGGTTTATATTGATACTCATTGGACAGTTTACTGTTTTACTTGAGTTCTCTCCTTTACCCTGTACTATTTTGAGGTTTCCCTCTTTCTCTGCTCTTTTGCATTTGGTTCTGTCCTTTTTTATTTAGTGTTGTAGCCTTCAGCTCTTGAGCTATAATAAGCCTGGTTGATATTGCAAGACACAGGATTTTCTTAGTGACTTTCAATTTCAGTAGTAGATGGATTTATGTGAATTTAATACTTGCAGAAATAAGCCACCATTGTATTTTGTTTCACAGTAACTTGCACACAGAGAATTTGTCTCAGGATTGTGGGTTTGAGACCTACGTTGGGTAAAAGATTCCTGCGTTGGGTAAAAGATTCCTGCATTGCAGGGGGTTGGACTAGGTGTCCCACATGGTCCCTTCCAACTGTACAGTTCTATGATTCTAAGTTTCTGTGAAATAAATTCCCTGGAAAAGTTCGAGTTCCTTCAAATGGTTGTGGTGTTTGATGAAACATGAAATGGTGCTTTGTGGCAAGTTGGCATATTTTTGTTCCTACTAGCTCATGCTGAAACTTGACTCGAAAAACAAAACACCCTAGTCTAGTCATAGTGAATCAGTGGAACACTTTACCTGTTGCTTTAAATTAAACCTTTTTCCAGGAAAGTGTTGTGACTTGTAGAATCTAGAAAAAATTTTTACTAGTGAACATCTGTGATTCTAGGTTGTAAAAAGTGCTTGGTACACCCTTTATCTCTAGAGTTTGGTTTATCTTTAGTGCCTGACTATGTTTTTAATTTAAATTTATATTTACCACTTTGAGAACTGAAGGTTCTCAAAGTGGTAAATATTAATATACTATTAAAATCAAACAAGGTTAGGAATGAAGTTACAGCAACAAAGTAAGCTTTAAAGCGACATATGGTCACCATCAGAGCACTAGTAGGAGGGACAGATAATCACAATAGCAGAGGCATGAAAAAAAAGCAGGGTTTTTTTACAAGATGTTGAAATGCCAATAAAGAGTGGGACAAACAAGTGTCTTAGGATTGGGAGTCACATAATCAGAGCAGTACACCTTGATATGTATGATTACTACATGCACAGTGATTTCCAAATTTGGGGCAGGGTGGACAATATCATATTTGTAATACAGTGGTGCCCCGCAAGACGAATGCCTCGCAAGACAGAAAACCCGCTAGACGAAAGGGTTTTCCATTTTTGAGTTGCTTCGCAGGACGAATTTCCCTATGGGCTTGCTTCGCAAGACGAAAATGTCTTGCGAGTCTTGAGATTTTTTTTCGCTCCCCCCTTTTGCTAAGCCGCTCATAGCCTTTTAGCAGCTAAGCCGATAAGCCTTTAATAGCCGCTAAACCGCTAATAGCGCTAAGCCGCTAAGCCGCTAATAGGGTTGCTTCGCAAGACAAAAAAACCGCTAGACGAAGACACTCGCGGAACGGATTAATTTCGTCTTGCGAGGCACCACTGTATATATAAATGGAGTGTTGACTGCTTGATTCCTTCCGTGTTTTAGAACAGTGAAATAAACTTGGAAGCGAGTTTGTTGCTCATCAACTTTAATTCAGAGCATAAATGGAGGCATAACATTGTTGCTGGGTTATATAGATATCTCACGTTTAACAAATGAAAATAGGCATATTTGTTCCTGAACAGGGATAGCATAACCACTATAGTCCATGCATTTGTAATTTCTAGGCTAGATTACTACAATGTGCTCTATGTGGGGCTGCCCTTGGGTCTTGTGTGGAAGCTCCAGCCGGGGATGTGGCTGACAGCATGTGACAACATAGTTAAAACATTAGCATTGCTGCCAATCTGCTACTAAGTCAGGTTCTGGGTCCTTGTATTAATTTACCTTAGGGACCACCTGAACCCTTACATTCCAGACTGATCCCTGAGATAATCTGCAGGGGCATCATTAGTTGTTTCCTAAGTTAACGAGACTCATTTGATAGTAACAAGAAGCCTTTTGTGTCACTGGAATACTTGTGGAATACTCTGACAGTAGAGGTACCTTCTTTTTCAGCTTTTAAATCAGGGGTAGGCAACCTAAGGCCGAATGTGGCCCAATTGCCTTCTCAATCCGGCCCGTGGATGGACCGGGAATCAGCGTGTTTTTACATGAGTAGAATTTATTTATTTAAATGTTATTTAAAATGCATCTCGGGGTTATTTGTGGGGCATAGGAATTCGTTCATCCCCCCCAAAAAAATATAGTCTGACACCCCACAAAGTCTGAGGGACAGTGGACCCGCCCATGGCTGGAAAAGGTTGCTGACCCCTGTTTTAAATGCTTGCTGAATTTTTTTCTATTTCATGAGGCTTATGCTGGCAATTACACATACAGTACATCTTTCTGTAATGGTTAGCTGTTCTCTGGGTTGTTGTTTTTACTGAAATTTTGTTTACTTTTTATGTATAACTGTTGTAAACCACTGTGATACTTTTTTAAAGAATAGCAGTATACAAATGGTCAAAACAAACAATTAAAGCATTTCATATTGGAGTCAAATACAAGCCATCTAGTTGCCCAAGGTGAGCAGGTTCAAATGCCTGAATAACTATGGGATCTCTCTGCATGATTTTAGCAAGTCACTTTCTTTCTTTCTAACTTATCTCTCAGGTAGTACTTGTGCACACAGTAGCATAAAGCTTGCTTAAACATATGTTCTTAATGGTTGCGTTCAGAGTGTTACAGTGACCTATAGCAGATGGTATTGGATTTTGATGAGGAAATTTTCCACATTCCTGCCTTTCCATATCATTTTGAAAAGGCATTCATTTAATCCCCTTCCCCCTTGTGGCCTGTGGAGATTTGTATTCATCTGGTTGCCTTTTCTGTGTCAAGTGTCCATATTTATCATGAATAATATAAGGGATATCACACACCTCAGATTTAGTTGCTGTACCTAACTCCACCCTTTCTGCTCTTGGAATGTAAAATGACCCAAATCCAGAAGTTAGGGGAGCGAGGGAGTAAGATGTGCATAGCCAGACAACAGACAACTCAGTTGCTGTCAGCCCATTGAACTTAGTGAGACTTACTTCTGAGTAGACATGCATATACTTGTCTGTTCAGATTTAAACCACGCTATATTAATTTATTTTAGGAAGATGAGAGAGGGATAATAAACCGATTAGTTAATTCGTAGCTGTTACTAAACATACCTATAATAAATTTATTAATTAAATGGGTTTTCATAAAAGCTTATGACTGCAGCCTGCATTGAAACTACCACTTTTTATACATTCTTATTTATTGATTTCACTGCAGTGTTTGAAACTCCCATTGTTCTAGGCACATTTTGCAACAGGGAATTTCATTTCCGTGAGCAGTTTCTGAGCTCTGGGCGCAGTGCTGCACCAAAGATGTCAAATTAAAACTGCACACTGGAAGGAAAAGAGGACCTTTTTCTGCCTCCCCACTTCCAGCTACTCTCTGAAGACTGGAGAAGAGACCCTCTTTAGAATATTAGGGGGTGGGTAGGAAGAAGGATTCTTGTTATAAAAAAAGTGCCTTGACAGTCCGTTACGCCCATGACCTAGGTTTAAGGTGCCATTTAGCTCCTAGCTTTCATATCTCAGTTTCTAACACTGTTATACTGATATGCAGTACTAGCTTTCTTCCAAGGCATTCCAATGTTATTTGCATTTTTACAATACTAAAACAAATGGTACAAAATATGGAACATTTTCTTTTTAGACCAGGTAGTGGTCCCTTCAAGAGCTGATAATGAGCCTCCTACCTTGAGCTTCTTCACTTCTGCCTTCCTTCAGTGCATGCAGCTCTTAATTTGCCCCAAGGAAGATGTGGGAAGAGCTACCCCAATAGTAATAGGTGGAAGATGGCAGTTGTGGAAAAAGACAGCAGGCTTGAGGACTGTCTTCTGTTTGGTCTAGCAATTTTAGAACATTTTTTAAAAAAAAATTTCTTAATTGCCATTCTATTTGCTTACTAAAGATGACATACAATAATAAGAAAAAAGGCAAAGTTAGGCAGGCTGATACACAAGTAAAATATGACAATTTCTCCACTAGTTTGGTAATATCTTCACTGGGACCATCCAAAATGTCACAAAGTGTAGCATACTTTTGAGTTCCCCAGAACTCAGCATACAAATAAGATGTTTACACAGAGATGAGACCAAGAGGTCAGATTGTAGACTCAGTTACAAGATGGAGACTGCAGGCTAAATAACTCCCTCCCAGGTGCTTCAGATATCAGGTTACACACCTAGGATTCTGGAATAAATAAGCAATGCCATCTCCAAATTTCTGATAAATTAAAGCCTGGCTTGTAACATATCTGTGTCAAAAATAATGAATAAAAAATTATCCTGAAATGGTTAAAAATGTTAAACTTTTGAAATAATATTATGATTCTAAAGTATAATTCAAATTAGCTTGTTACACACATTGTATTTTTGTCCTAAATTTAGAAAATTTAGGTGTGTGCACACATATCCTGCCTTCATTCTTGGTTTGAAAAACTTCTGGTAAATTCTTTATTCCATTCAGTATCATAGATTTGTGAAAGGCTAGTACAAATATTGAAAATGGAAATTTAGTTGAAGGACTGAACCTTGGAAACCAACAGACTCACTTCTCTCTTCCCAAAGTACTTCTAGATCTGACTTTTCAAATCACTTTTGCAAGTTTCTCGTCCGCAGGCATGTTGGAGGCCTGACTTCTTTTAATCCAGTAAAACACAAAAATATAAGTTGTAGTTCCTGCCTTTTACATTAGGTTGTGACTAAATCAGAACATTATTTGAGCTCAATCCCTTCTTTTCTGAATGTAATTAGGAACACACTGATTCTTATTGCAGCTGGCAGCCTCTCACTATTGCCTTTTTCTTCATGTGACCCCCATGGTCTCGATGACCTTTCCTGGGGTTAGTCATAGGCCTTTTTCATTGTGATGGGCTAGAAGTGGCTCATGTGGAGTTGATTATTTCCTTGCTTGTCTGGTCTTTTTGGTGCCATAACTTCAAGTCATTTCCATTTTCTTCTCTGTTTTTGGCTGACCACAGTGAAAGGAAATGCTTTTGCTGGCGACAGGATCAGTTTACATGCTTGGCCGACTTGATTGAGCCTGTGAAAAGGTGGGGGCGCAGGGTAACAAACCCCAAAGGTGCTATATTTCCTAGGTATAATTTGGTAGTTGGTAGTGTCTATTAAACATCTAAAATCTGCTTAAATTTACATTTCCCTGATTTTCCAGTCTCCCTTTCAGTGTTTAATGCACAGCAACTTTTTAAAAATCCCAAACCCACAGCCCTGTGAGAGAGAATGTATTAGTGTCAATTGTACATGAATGCGCATTGAGAGATTTTACAGTTCTCAGAAGAGTGAAGAAATGAACCCTGGGGTTAGCAGTTAAAATTGATGGGCAGCAAGTCAGTTGCTACTAGCTGATGTTTAACCACTCCTTGTAAACAAATAAGGCCTAGTGAATTGCATATGCCAGCTGTTACATTTGTATTCCTGAGGTCTGACGAAACAGCATGAAAACTGTGATCAAAGGCTTTGAGAATCACGGAGGAGCCAGTGACTAAGGAAATGCCACTGACTAAGGAAATACCTTTCTCTAAATAATGTAGACATCTCTACTTTTGCTTTTAAGGTGGCTCAGTGTGAAACTTAATGATCAATTTTCACTTTTAAAAATGTGTGCTGTTCCTGACACATGTTGTGGAATCTAAATGGGTTTTCATTGATGCAAGGGGGGCAGTGTGACATGATGTTTTTTCACACAATGTTATGTACAGATTAAGATCATACAAAACTCTGAAATTGCAACAGAATGAAATAAGCAACTTTCATAAGTTGAAATTTCTCTGTCGCACAAAATTTTAAAATCCTCCATTTTTCAAAGGCATTGACTTGCACTGGTGGTGTCATTTGCTGCCTCTCTCAGCTCTCCACCCCTCACTTCCGTAATATGTAGATAGTACTGACATACATTCATGGATTTTTAAAGTATTATAACAAGTGAGAGCTGGACCATAAAGAAGGCTGATCGCCGAAGAATTGATGCTTTTGAATTATGGTGCTGGAGGAGACTCTTGAGAGTCCCATGGACGGCAAGAAGATCAAACCTCTCCATTCTGAAGGAAATCAGCCCTGAGTGCTCACTGGAAGGACAGATCCTGAAGCTGAGGCTCCAATACTTTGGCCACCTCATGAGAAGAGAAGACTCCCTGGAAAAGACCCTGATGTTGGGAAAGATGGAGGGCACAAGGAGAAGGGGACGGCAGAGAATGAGATGGTTGGATAGTGTTCTTGAAGCTACCAGCATGAGTTTGATCAAACTGTGGGAGGCAGTGGAGGACAGAAGTGCCTGGCGTGCTCTGGTCCATGGGGTCACGAAGAGTCGGACATGACTAAACGACTAAACAACAACAACAAGAAAAAATGTACCTGAAGTGTGTTGAACACTGTTGAGTGCCATATAGATGGATTATTATTCATTCAGTTAATATTCTCAAAGGGCAAAGAAGCTTTGTTGTAATTCATCTAAAGCAAATTAGCCACTTATCAAAAGCTCATTTTAGAGCTGGGGTAACAAAAGCAATATTGTCTGGCTTCTGGGAAATGGAATCATGATCTTACTAATTTTTGATTTTTTTTGAAAACTTGGTGCTGCTTTAAATGGATGATTTGCTTATTTGTTTAAGCACATCAGTAGAAGGGCCTAAAATATATTCCAGTGCAGACATCACTAGATATATAGATGGTACAAAACAATGTATTAATCATGTGCACAAAATGATCTGAAAATATTTGATTGGATTGTAATGTTAACTGCAGAATTTCCTGCAAATATCTCTAAAAATATTGTTCACTCATTTGATTTGAAATTCTGAACTAAAGCTAAATATAAATAGTGATGATTTGATTCTGCAGTAAATTTTCCAGTTCTGAATTTTGTTCACTATGGACAGTTAACATAGTAAATAAGGAATAAGTAATGATCCAGGTTTTGGAATATTGGAAATTGTGATTAATGTCCAAAATAATATTCTGTGACTGAAATAAATGTAACATCTCATGCTGCCTCTTTCTTGAAGATTTGCAACTTGTACAGATGAGCAGACTTCAGTCTGTAGACTCATTAAATCTTGACCTATTGAAATGATCAATAGAGATATCAGTGATGACAAATGAAAGGACACCTGTCACTTAACAAAGTTGTTGGCCTTTCCTTTCAGCTTCAGGCTGGGTTTCAGTACTGTTGTTACCCTGGTAGATGACCTATGCTGTTGCAGAGATCTGGGTACCATGAATATTTATCTCCCCCCCCCCCAATCTTTCAGTTGACTTTGATACCATTGATTATGGATGTTGCTGGGAGGTTCAAGAAGGTGAACCTGGGGAACTGTTCTTCTGTTTAGCAGCTTAATTGTTGTAGGGTCCTTCCAGGATCCACACTGTCTCCAGGGTGATAATATATACAAGAATCATCAGAGTGAGATCAGCCCCAATAGGCATATGGTACACACTTCCGTTTATGTCTTCCATCTTAATGACATGATTCTTCAGCTTTACTGGGCACTTGCCTAGGGTCAATAATGCACTGATTAAATCCAGTCAAGTTGCTCATAGTCAATATTTCTCTGAAATGAAGTGAGACGAGTAACTATCAGGGACATAGGGACCATGACCTACAGGCTGAGGTCCCTTTAGCCCCCACCAATAAAATATTTGAGGGAGGCGGGTCCCTGAAGGTTGATTGGCATTGCCATTCAAATGGTGTGCATGTGCCATGTCATGTGATCAGTTATGCAGGATGGGGCTTACCTGGACCCCCTCAATATTTTATTCAAGTTGACACCTGTGATCAGGGAGGGTGTCTTTTTAGTAGTGGCAACCCAGGTAGAGAGCTCTTCCCAGGGATGTGTGTGTGTGGTGTCAAGCTTGTGGTCTTTTCAGTATAGTGTGAAGACTTTGCTGCTTATTGAGCTTAATGGCAATTAATATTGATTGGTCAGACTATCTACATATTTTGACTTTTAAAAAACAAAATATTGAACTTGTTAGGATTCACCTGCTTATCTCTCAGTATGATATATGAGGGACTCCATTCTCCTGTACAGACTTGCAGTTACTGCAGTATAGTCACTCACTGCAGTCTGCAGATGGAACCCTCCTGATTGTACCATGAACCACAGAGATCCAATTGCTGGTTGTGCAAGGAAATCCTTCTCTTTTGTGGCACCTACCACATGAAATGTTCTTCTCACTGAAATCAGGGAAATGCCAACCTTGGGGTGTTTCTGCCACTGATTTGAAGACATATCTGTTCATCTTTTCCCTGACCCTTAATATTACTAATACTGGTCATTGGGATGATTGTACTGATTATTTTTATTGGATTTGATGCATTTTATTATTGTGCGAGCTGCTTTGGTATTTCTTTCTGGAATAGAAATGTTTTAATAAACAACCTGAAAAATCTACCTGCAATGCCCTTCTGCATTCTACAGAGGAAAAACCCATCTCTGTGCAAAAGAATATGTGAACACAAATCTGACACCAGAAATGACATTATGGGGGGCATTTCTGTAAATGACCTCAAAGTGCCCATCCTAAAGCAAAGGGACTTCAGAGGCAGAATAGTTTTCCAGTGCCAGAATTTCTGTCATCATCTACACTTTGTGAATTACCACTGTCAAGTATGTAATGGTCACTGTCTATGTTTTCTGCATTTCATTTTCCTTTGACCTCAGTTTTTACAGTCCCTCTCAATGTGGTATATGCGTGTAAATATGTGTGTATCTACCTGTAACTTGAAGTAACACTTCATATGTTTGATGAGGTGGACTAAAGACAACAAATACTTATGCCGGAACCACAAAAGACTAACACAGCTGTTACTTGGGAAATGGTTAGAATTCTACTGATATTTGATACTTCATTGTTTGTAAGCTGCCTCATAGACCAAATGGTAGAAAGGCAGAATATTTTGCTGCCCTCAAAAATAGAAATGCTTTTGTAAATAAATACAGTGCCAAAATGTAGTTCAATGATGACTGCTTAGCTGCCCTGATTGAGATGATGCTTAAATCAGAAGCCGCTTGTGTTTGTGAATTACTGTTTTCTGATACAGAAATTAACATACATGACATTTTGTTTTATATGGAAACTAATCTGCCAATAATAAATAAATTCTGGTCAGAAAGCCACTTAAGTGGTTACTGGATGAAGAGAAAGTGGGAGTAAAGAAATTCTTTAATAAGCCATCATAAAGTAAACTTCTTGAAAAGCAACATAATTTATTTTCTCTTATTAAACATGTTGCTATAAATAGTACTGGGTGTTTTCTGGGTGTTCAGTTTTGTAGCAAACAGTAAAATTTCTGACATGTACAAGTTGCGTGAATCTGCTTCTACTTTTCATAATACATTTTATTAAGCATTCATGCTCCACTGAAAATTTAATATGGCAAGCATTCAGGAATCATGGATTTTTATCAGGCATTGCCCACCACATTAAAACTTACCTTCAAAATATATGGGCTAGAAACTTAGGTCACATCCACAACTTACATTTAAAGCTCTTATACTGTTATAAGGGTAATGGAGAATCCTGGGAACTGAAGTTTGCTCAGGGTGCTGGTAATTGCAGGTCTGTGAGGTCAACACCCTAAAACAAACTACATTTCCTAGGATTCTTTGCAGGAAGTCATGGCTGTTAAATTGATATGAGTGCTTTATAGTGAGGGTGTGACCTTGTTCTTTTAGAATTAAAAGCATTGGAGAATGTAACATATGGTTGACTTCAATTGCAAGTGTAAGTATGCTTTGCCCTCTATCACTAGCCAGAAGAGTGAGGACCACTGGGAGGTTGTACCCCCTCCATCCCAGAGCACCATGGCAAAGGGAAGACTAGCCTGGCCCTAGCCATCAGCCATATTTTCTTTCCATCTCCCTAATGGAAATAACTCTGCACCAACCACGAGGGCCTGTGACTGCAGTTGTATGAAGAAGATGACACTGGCTTCCCTCACTTACCAGAGCACTAAGGACCATTGAGTAGTTTCACAGGTTCTATTCCAGCCAGAATATTCACAAGGGAAGGCCAGTGATTATATGTGTTAAAATTTCACCTCTTCATTCTGGCAGTATCAAACTGTTGATTTTCCTCAACCCTTTTCTTTTAGTCCCTTCTGCATGTGTGTCTCTTCCTTTGTAAAACTAAGGGTAGGGCCTGTGAATTCTTTCATTTGTGCACAGTGCTTACCACCACATGCATTGTCCGATATGAGCCTTTTTGTAGCCATTTTTGAGAAGCAGGATTAAGAGCATAAAGCCTGACTATGTAGCAACAAAAAACACAAAAGTCCACTTTAGACTGTTTATTTCATTGGATGGTTTCTTGTGTGAATACAACTGATGTTTTGTAAACCATGTTTCATTTAATACAACACTGATTTTTAAAAATAAAAGACAATCCTAGAAAATCAATACATTAAAGGGCGTGTATAGCATAGATGCGGGACGCGGGTGGTGCTGTGGGTAAAACCTCAGCGCCTAGGGCTTGCCGATCGCATGGTCGGCGGTTCAAATCCCCGCGGCAGGGTGAGCTCCCATCTTTCGGTCCCAGCTCCTGCCCACCTAGCAGTTCGAAAGCACTCCTAAGTGCAAGCAGATAAATAGGTACCGCTTTATAGCGGGAAGGTAAACGGTGTTTCCGTGTGCTGCGCTGGTGCTGGCTCGCCAGAGCAGCTTCGTCACGCTGGCCACGTGACCAGGAAGTGTCTCCGGACAGCGCTGGCCCCTGGCCTCTTAAGTGAGATGGGCGCACAACCCTAGAGTCGGACACGACTGGCCCATACGGGCAGGGGTACCTTTACCTTTTATAGCATAGATATGTATATGGTCCACTGGATGACTTTTGAATTTTTTCTGTATACACAGCCTATGAAATAACTGGGTAAAGTTGATGATGATGAGTGTAGTTTCAACTACACTCTTTACATAAATAGATGGTAGAAGGATTTGGCAGATAGAGAAAACACTGCTTCTCATCCTCTTAAAGTTCTCTAAATGTTTACTTCTCACATGCTGCTCAGGTGGTTCTACTATTGAATAAATGAAAAACAAGCAAATGCACTCTTCTATACAGTTATTTCCATTTGTACAGCTTGAACTCTAAAGGATCACAAATAAAAATGAACTAAATACCTTGGATTATTTATGTGAGTTTTTCTCTTTTCAGTAAGAAAATTACCCAGCAAATGGTAATATAAAATGTTGAGTTCCTGCTGGTTGAGTATAGTTCACTTCTACATTGGACATTCTAATGCAGCAATTATATACCTCATTTTATGCCATTTTTAAAAAACGCTTTCCTTACCAGACATGGAAAATAATTGACAGATTTGGTGCTAGCAATACCTCTAGAGTAAGCAAAAACACTACAGGAGACCTGTACACTCACCCACCCCTTTAGGCATGTTGTTCTTCCTAAAATGACTTTCAGGTACACCAGAACTGTATTGCAGTTGGAAACAGTTAGTGAAAAGTATGTAACATCTGTTTAAAACAGAGCTGAAAATGTAAATGCAGTGTGTTGAACAAATGCAAAGACTTCACTCCTAAAAGCTGAATTCCCTTAAGTAACTTGGAGATCTCTTATGGCCTTCTTTGATAAGGAAAGCAACATAGGGCTCATCTACGCTTCTGCTTGTGCTGTTCCTAGAAAGCACGGGTCTGAGTGGTTTTCCCCTTGCCCCACTCCTTTCCAACTGACAGAAAAGAAGTAGGCCTTCCCTCAAACGACCTTCAGTGTATCATTCTCATGACACCATCTGTGTGGCTGTACCATATTACATCTTATTCATGCAGTCTTTCTGGCCTCATCTTACTGTCCCATCAGAATGCTTCTATTCTGCAGGCATTTGACATACCTGATTAATGAATTTAATATGGCAAACCCTTGTTTTAGATTACTTTTATCTGCTATGTCAGCCTTTTTAGCTGTTCTTACATTTACGTATCTGAAAGCTATCTTGAGTCCCTGTTAAGGAACAACAACAACAACGTTGCTGCTGCTGCTGCTATATTGGTTTGTGGTAGTGGTAGGTTTGATTTTTCCTGTTTTTACCTATTGTGTACTGCCTTTACAACAGCAAATGCATTGGAAGGGCAGGTTAGAGTTTTCCTAGCACTGAGAGATGCTGAGGAGAAACTCAGGAGCTGGAAATGGAACAAGACAGTTTCATACCTGAAAAACAGTAGTAATAAAATAAATACCTAAATAGTATCCTTCAACATGTGCCGCTCCTTCCTCCTTGTTAGGAATTCCTTGGTAGCTAAGTTATACAAATGTTGTATTTGCTTAAATAGCAGGTACAGCTTCATTTTGTATGATGGGATTCAATTAACCCACTAATATGTCTGTCAGGATCATATAAGTATGTGGAAATGGTACTGTAGCAATTATGGAATGAAGAAATAACCAACCTTATTTTTAGATTTTAAAAACTAACAAAAGCCAACTAGACAAAAGACATCTGCGAGAATTTCCTTTCGTAAAACAGTTATCATATTTACACACTTGTCAATATTAAAAGATGAAAGATTTATACGATCTGTAGGGGGGAGGGGGGTTATTGGTTTATTTTATTTTTGTTCATTTTAAAAATGTATTTTGTGTATTTAATCTTTTTTTTTATGCTGTGAACCACCCAAAGATCTATGGATGTAGTGTACAGATTGAGTAAATCATAGTGTGGCCACCCCTGATCTATCAAATAGCATTCCTGTTAAGATATGACAGGTGTCCACTATCTGTACTTTCGAGAAACCATTAATGACATTTTTGTTCTGATAGGTTTATCCAGGTGGATAATGGGTCTTTACTACAAGTGTTTACTTGTTAGGATTTTAGTATTCTTTTAAATGTATTTGTTTTTGGTGTTTTAAACAGTTTTTAATTTTCTTATGTGTAAATCACATTGAGACAGTTATTTAGAAGGCTATTAAAAAATTAATTGTAATAATAATAACATGCCTATTCTTTTGTAGGCTCTTCAGTGATTCTCATTAATCTGAAGCTCCTTGCCACAACACTTTCTAACTTGGCACTATGCATCCTGATCCTGGACCTTTACAAGAACTACTTTTTCTTATAGTTACCATTTGCTTCTCAACTACAGCTTCAGGTAAGTTCGCCTTCCTAAACTGTCATATATACCAAATGTTCTCCTCCAGACATTTTGGTGGTTGATCTCTATTGCCATGCCCCTATATCATGTGCTCCTCACTTGGGCACAGCCTAACCATTCGAATAGCCGACCTTCTGATCGGCAAGCCCTAGGCTCTGTGGTTTAACCCACAGTGCCACCCGCGTGGATACATCCCATCAAAGACTGCCCACTAATATGGATTATTAGAGAGATACAGTATACTTACAAGAAGCAGAAAAAGTGAACCACACATGGGTGGAGCTGTTCATATCAATGATACAGACTGATAAATTGGATCAGAAAGACCTTCCTGGATATAAGTACCTGAAGTGTCTGTTAATATCTGATAATCAAGCCAAAATATTATACTACTTTCTGTATTTAAAACTGAGTTTTTAAAAATCAGTCTAAGGATTTAGAATTAAACTTGATGATACAACTTGATGATGATGGTGATCAGAGGTTGTTGTATATTAAATAGTATGGCTTCACTGTAATGAAAGCGGTTTCTGCATTGTCTAGCACTGTACTTGATTTTGAGAGTGGTAAAAATGCTCATATTGAGCTAAGGTTTAACTTCAAAATAGTTTTCTGTTCCAATATGTAGTGCTTATGAGTAACGAATGCATAAATATTCAGGCTAGATATAAATTTAGAAATAGTATAAACTGGTCTGTCTTTGTAGGAGATAGATTTTAAAAAATAAAATTCTATGGGATCCCCCCCCAATGATGTTGCCTATCGAAAATCCTGACACTATTTTATATTCTTTTGATTGTTGTGTTTTCTATATTGTACCTTTATTACATATTTCTTTTGCATCAATACGTATTAATGTTTTCCACTGCTTTGGGGGCCTTTGCGCTAAACTGCAGTACTGTATATAACTTGCAGCATACCAAATGTTTAGTTCACATTTTCGTACATACTCAAACTGCTAACAGCTAAAGGAATTGGTTGCACTGAGTGTGTGTGTGTGTCTTTCTTTTCTAGACTTGATTCCTCACTTTGTTTCTGAGCCACTTTCTACCATCCAGAAACCTGGTGCAACTGTAAGGCTTCATTGTACTGCTGAGCCCTCTACAGCTCATGTAGCTTGGCTGTTCAATGGAGAGAAATTACACAAGAAAGTGGAGCAAGTAGACTCACAGCCAGGATACCTTACAATCTTCTCCCTTAGCCCTTCAAATTCTGGTGTATACCAATGCGTAGTCAATAACAGCATTGGTGCAATTATCAGCAGGCCTGCAACAGTATCTATTGCCTGTAAGTTATACTTTTATTTATGGTAAAACTGAGCACATTACCCTTTTATAACTTCTCCTTTTATTTTGTCCATTTTTTTTGTTTGCCACATCCATGAATTTAACGTCTTGGAGGAATTTATGTGTCTTTAAACATGCCTTATTTGGGACAAAGGGGTGACCTCTGTGTTAGAAGCACATAGTAAAACAAAATATCTATTTTGTGTTTTTCTCTTGAAGTTAACTTCATAATATAGAAAGAAACTATTACTAATTTCTTCCAGTAAAAATCAGTCCTCATATTGCAATTTATCAACATGTTCTAGAAAGGGAGTTTGTGCTAAATGAAGAAATCTATTTGAAGGCCTTTCCAAACACCCCCTAGTTTTTAGGTAGATGGTGCAAGTTTGCTCAGTTTTACCTGAATTGAAAGGGGAGGGGAAGAAAAGCTTGTTAATTCCATGGGAACTGCCATAATTTACATTATAAACCATAATCAACTGTAAAAAAATTAGATTTGCATGTACAATCTTAAATGAAAGTTAAAAAGCCTCAACAAAATAATCCCATGCTTATATTTGTCTTTTGAAAACCTTTCCCCCTCTTGTTTTCAAAAGTATTTCCAACTTGAGGGTGATTTGGCTTTGGGGGATCAGAAGTAAGATGCTTGAATTGTCTTGTAAGTCTGAGTTAAAGAATCTCCTTTATAAAGATGCTGTGTGTATGAAGCATATCCCAAATACCCATAAGAGAAAAGTTTCTCATAATTGAGACGGGTAAGTGTTTTTGTAGAGTATTGACCCATAGCAGGATTCCCTTGAGAGCTTATAAAGGTCAGTTAGCACTGACAAACTCTACTGGTTGCAATAAATTGTGAATATATCTAAGTGTACTGTACCACTTGGAGGTGAAAATGGCAATGGTGGAGCTACTGGTAGGTGAATTGGCATTTAAGTGAACTAGCAGCTCTGTAACATAAGCTGAGAATTGTACAAAACAGTGGCCCAGTTCACACATCACATTAAACCATAGTTAAAAGAAACCAGTGTGGAGCAGCATGTTCATGCATGCTGCTGAAGTCATGGGCACTTCACTTCTTCCTTGCCACTGCATGTCATGTTGTTCAAACCCAGTTGTTTTTTCTACAGAGGAGCAAGATGTGGAAGCCAAGGTTATTTGGAGAGAAACAAACCACAAGAGTGGGTTCAGATAACATGACATACCAGATCATGGCCTATTTCCCAACAGTACAGCAGGAGCAGGGGAGGAAGAAGACATCTGTACTCTCAGCAGTATGCACCAGCAACTCTGCTCATTCAAACTCAGTCATAATTTATTTTAACAATGGTTTAATGTGCTGTGCAAACCTATGAAAAACCAATGAAAAGTACAGTAGCACTATATTCTACACATTGTTGAATTTCCATTCTGCTATTCTAAGTATCTTGCATTGCAGGAACAAAATGTACTCTGTTCTTGTTACATGCCCTTTCTCTTGCACCTGATTTTATAACAGTATCCCACTAATTCTTGCATTTTAGCCTTTCCTTTTAGCCTTATTGCAATATAACTGAAAGTTTTTTCTAATGATACTTTGAATGAATTCATCCTACCTTTCATTTAAAATCGAAATTCTCTGATTGCCCATATAGCATTGTTGAGGTCAAAAAGGTTAGAAGAATTTTTAGATGGTGCTCTTCAGGAGACAGTCAATACAGTAACAATGGAGATTCATACTTAGGTATATTCATCCCCAACACATACGTGTGTGCGTGCACACAGAGATGATGATGATGATAATAATAATAATAATAATAATAATATAATAATTTATTATTTATACCCCGCCCATCTGGCTGAGTTTCCCCAGCCACTCTGGGCGGCTTCCAATCAAGTGTTAAAAACAATACAGTATTAAATATTAAAAACCTCCCTAAACAGGGCTGCCTTCAGATGTCTTTTAAAGAGAAGATAGCTGCTTATTTCCTTCACATCTGAAGGGAAGGCGTTCCACAGGGCGGGCGCCGCTACCGAGAAGGCCCTCTGTCTGGTTCCCTGTAACTTCACTTCTCGCAATGAGGGAACCGCCAGAAGGCCCTCGGCGCTGGATCTCAGTGTCCGGGCTGAACGATGGGGGTGGAGCTTGTAGAAAATAAACTTCAAACTGGGCTGTATGCTGGAACTTTAATTTCTGTGCTTAGTAAAGTGGGAGGGGAAGGACACACATGAACTTAAGGCTTTCCTTCATTGTTACTTCATTGACATTCTCTCCTGAGAAATATCCTCTGATCAGGACTTGAGCACCCCATTTTTATTAAACCCAAAACTTTGGAAGTAGATCCTGCTGTATTTTCTGAACCTTTAAAGAAAAAACTACATTTTCTTGTAGATCTTGATGATTTTGAGACCTCAGTGAGGAACACAATTGTTGCAGAAGAAGGGAATACTGCTTTAATCAGTTGCAAGCCACCAAAAAGTAGTCCAGAGGCACATATTCGTTTCCGTGTACGAGGGAAATGGCTGGAACAATCAACAGGTGAGACTCTGTGTAATAAAAAGATATAAATGGCTGCAATACAGTGCACCCTTACCAAAGAATAAGTCCAATGGAACTCCATAGAATTAACTTCTGGGTAGATATATACTGTATATAGAGGGATGTCACTTTCTGTCTGTTTCCTGACCATTAGGAATTGCTACAGTAATTTGAGGTTTGGTCATTACATTATCTTTCTGTTTCAGTAAACACTGATTAATCTGCACACTTGAGTAGAAAATCAGTCCATAGCAACTCAATTAATAATAACCCAATTTTATCCTAGAAAACTACCTAATTCTCCCATCTGGAAATCTGCAAATTTTGAATGTATCTTCAGATGACAAAGGATTCTATAAGTGTGCAGCATATAACCCAGTCACTGATGATCTTAAACATGAACCCAATGGACATAAGCTCATAATCAGCAGTGAGTATTGAATATGATAAGACTAAAATTGTTCCATGAAATCATAGGGCATAAACCACCAAGGACTACCACTGCAAGTTCCCTTAATCTCATACCTTGCACTTTGAAAAGTTCAGTTTAGAGGAAGCCCTGTCAAAGTATCAGGTACTATGCACACAACGCATAACGAGTTTTCCTTAACCATGGTTAAGCATTGAATCTAAATACCTAAATTATTACTATGGATGTGAAAACATAATTTGGAGTGTGTTTGTAAATTGTAGTATTAACCTTTTTTAAGAGTTGCATCTGCATCAAGCAGACCATTGCAAAGGGCCACAACTCAGTGGCAGAGCATATACTTTGCCTGAAAAAGTTGGCGTCTCTAGGTAGGACCAAGAAATGTCCACACCTTGAAACCCTGGAGAGCTGCTGCCAGACATGATAAGCAATACTGAGCTAGATAAACCAATAGTCTGGCTTCGTGTAAGGTAGATTCTTATGGTTAAAGCAGTTTGCAAGCAGAGAAATGAACAAAGAAGGCAAAGTGATAAGCAGATCTTACTAATGTGTACTACTTAAGGTTTAGCTTGGCCATGCATGGCAAACATTTGGAAATTTAACCAGGCTGAAGGGAACAAACTACAATCAAATGTTACATCTTCACTCAGCCTAGGGTCAACAGTCTGTAGTTATGTTGGCATGTTTATAAAACGGTATAGAAACATAATGCCTTGGTGAGAATGTAGGAAGCCAGAGAGTCTTGAACACCCAATTGAAAAGAACTCATGTATCCTTTCCTCTCAATTTCTAGGCTCTTCCTCAGACAACTTTCACATTGTTCATCCCACCACTTCTCAGACTTTGACAGTACCTCAGCACAATCCTTTGATGTTGGAATGTGTTGTTAGTGGGCTGCCTGTTTCTTATGTCCATTGGTATAAGGATGACCAAGATGTACTCACTAAAGGCAGGTGGAGAATGCTTCACTCTCATCTTATGATAGACTCAATTAATACGTCAGATGCTGGAAATTACTCCTGTGTGGTGGATAACAAGTCCGGAGTTGTGAAACATGTAAACTACAGTATAAATGTACTTGGTAAGATATGCAGTGGCAAAATGCTTGATTGGCGAGTTTTTTTGAAGCAATATATTTATGGTCCATGAGACATGCTATTGTGAAATTAACTGAATGAAAGCAGCATATCATATGTACATTTTCTTTTCCATTCTAGAATCACCATCAATTTCAAAAGGATTGCAAGATCACTTAGTGTCCCTGGGTAAAAATATACATCTTTCCTGTGAAATACATGGAAACCCGACACCTAACCTCACCTGGTACCATAATGCAGCTCCTGTCCATCTTTCTTCACGGCACTTACCTTCAGGAAACAAGCTGAGAATTAATGGTTTCACCAGAGAAGATTCAGGGTTGTATCAGTGTTTAGTCAACAATGGCATTGGATTTGTGCAGTCTACTGGGAGACTTCATTCCCAAGGAGGTAAAAAAAATAAATCACATCAAACACCTTTCTGTTTATAAACTTCTGCTTTTCTTTTTGACATCTTTCAGTCTAACATGAAGATAGCCTGTTGCTTCCTGGGATTATTCTCCTAAATTGTTCTGATCAACAAGTTACGCTTTAAAATGGTAGACCTCATTTCTTGTGTTGCAAAGTAGTCTGTAGTCCACTGACCAAATACTAGCCAATTTTTGATAGGCCACCTAGTGTGTGAGCTATGAGATTGTGACAGACTAAATTTATTAGCCTCTTAGTTTTGATGGTGTTGAGAGTGTTGCTAATGGTTTTGATGATGTTGCCAATTGAAACTAAATTCCAGCTGTAGACTTATATATGCAGAATCTCAAATAATGGAATTCTGATAATACTTCTTGCTGATGTGTCAGTTTAGGGAGCATATTTGAAAGCTTTCAGTTTCTTTCTCTTCAGAATATTAAATATTCTTTTAGTAGAGTAGTTAACAATCAGAGCACCTGCATGAGTAGGTTCTGATGTGTTTGTGGCCCAAAGCAGTCTACTTAGCTTTTATGTGCATAGATGTCCATATATTACCCCCTGGCCCCCTTTATGACTGTGCTGGCTTCGGGATATGCAAGAACAGTACTGTATTTTATTATAATATGAGTTTGTATCTTATATTTATATTTTTAATAGACAGAGGCTTCAAGCCAACTATAACCTCGCTGCCAGCAACCAGCAGAGTAGCAGAAGGTGACACAGTCACACTGTCCTGCAATGCCACTGGGTTGCCTCCGCCTGTAATCCGTTGGTACAACAGTCATGGGCTGATTACCAGCCATCCTTCACAGGTGCTTTATTCAAAATCACGGAAGTCATCCTCCCAAGCAAGAACTGGCAACTCCATTTCAGACAGAACCTACTTCATCATGTCTCGCAGTGGATCAAGCTCCTTATATGTTCAGCCTGTTACATCAGAGCATGCTGGGAAATATACCTGTGAAGCAATTAACGAATATGGGACTGCTCGTTCCGAAGCTTTCCTTACCGTTGGTAAGTGGCATCCAAGTTGCTGCTCCAATAGTGTGCAGATATTTTGGCTGAAGTACTGTCAGGATAACTTTTTATTTTATTGGATTTGGACAAATCATACATCTAATGGATGGTCAGGAGCATTTGCCTGTTGCTTCCCATACATATTGTGCAGCTTATCATGCTTTGTTTCTGGCCAAGCAAACCCATGAATGGAAACCAGGGTTCTTGACTTAACAGTTGTGGTTGGTCTGGTGGAAATAAACGATGACTGTTAGTTCATACATAATGCTAAGCCAGGGCTGTGATTTGTTTCCTCCTGGCATGGAAAACACAGGAGCAGGGAAGGAGCAAAGTAAGGTATGACTCACTTGTGTGCCGGTGCCCAGTGCTTGTTCACGTTAAATCTGAGTTTTATTTTTATTTTATATTTAATTATGCTTTTGTGTGATGTGCAAACTGGCTCACTGGGCCACAAGAACGTGTCTTTCATTTTTTTTAGTAAAGATCAAAAAGCAAAGAAATATTTTGTGTTATATAGGGCAGGGGTAGCCAAAATGATGCCCTTCAGGTGCTGTTGGATTACAACTTCCATCACCCCCAGCCATTGGCTATTGGCTGGGGCTGATGGCAGTTGTAAACCAATAATATTTGGAATCCATGCATATCTCCAGGGCTTTTTTTCAGCCACAACTCACCAGAACTCAGTTCAGGCATCTCTCAGGTAGACACCATTGCCCTTATAAGAGATTAAGGGAAGCATTCATGGAGAGTTCTGGCGCCTCTTTTTCTAGCACTGCAGATCTCTAACCTTCAACTTCTTTCTGTAGATTCCTATGAAGCTAGTACAAAAGCAGAAGAAATTGCTCCTGTGGAAATTGCCCAGAGTGATGAAGGAGATGGAGATTATGATTCAGATACGGGCCTTCAAAGTTCATCTCCAACAGAGATTCTTACTGAAGAAGTCGCTACAGAAAAAACATCCAGTGGCATTTCTCCACCTGAAGCTCCAATCATTCTCAGTCCTCCACAGACTCTTAAACCAGATCAGTACAATCTGGTATGGCGCCCTGGAAAAGATGGTGGTCAGCCAATTAATGCCTATTTTGTGAAATATCGCAAGGTACTTATTCAAATTGCATTATATTTGATAAACTTTGCATTTCCTTTTTTTTGAAAATTGGATGAGTTGGACTACCATCATTTTTAGTAATGAACAGGGCTTATGTTAAACACACACACACACACACACACACACACAGTACAGAACTCTGGTATTTGATGATAATATTAGGCCAAAGAGAGATACATCCATCTGGATATGTAGGTAGCTATTTAGGAATGCAGAGGTTTCAGGTTCTTTTGCTACTGGCAACATGAAATAGAGCCTTTGGAGTTTCTAATTTAACCTCCCAATTTAAATACTGCCCAGACGCTTGTGGAGAAAACCCTAGCAAGATTAGTTAACTCCATGTCCCAGTGCATTCAAGTCTCTGCTCCTAAAGCTTGCTCTAGGCTTTGCAGGAAAAGTCATTAAGAAAACTCTTTCACATCAGTTACTTGTTTTCACTTTCTTATAGTGAAATAACTAAGGTATTATATTTAGACTTGCCTTTCCTGTATTTAACTGCAGCAGATTCAGATAGGGGTTTATTTGCTCTTAGCCTCTTGTGATTCCTTTTTGCAGTTGGATGATAATCTCAATGTTACCAACTGGAATACAGTTCGTGTCCCTGGAAGCGAAAATGAACTTTCTCTCTCAGAACTGGAACCTTCCAGTCTCTATGAAGTCTTGATGGTAGCCAGAAATGTGGCCGGTGAAGGCCAGCCTTCCATGCTTACTTTCCGTACTAGCAAAGGTAAGTAAGCGTGTACTCAAAATACATTGCAGTTGATGGGCTTTTTTCTAAAGTTCCCATTTGCGGAGACCTATAATACCCATAAAAAAACAAAGATAGCGGCTGCAGTCTCATTGGAACTCCATGTCCAGTATTTGCTCTGAACCAGGATTCAGGAATTGAACATAGATCTGCAGTCTGAGTAGAACCCTGAGATTCTATGAGTGATCTTCCATTCACAGAACAATGTCAGCACTTGCTGATATAAGGGGAGGAAGGTGATTTTTGCAAATTTCTCCTCTCCTCTTTAGCACCTAGGAAGATTTACTCTGGTAGAGTGGGGGTCCCTTGGGAACAGTATTGAAAGTTGGCTGGCTGGCTGGCTGCAGAATGAAGGCAGATTGGCAAAATCACCTTTCTTGCATTATTGGGAGGCTGTGCTCTTTCATACATAGAAGGGCACTTTAGGATCTCTTCACAATGAGAATACGCTTTCCTTGGGAACTTCCCAAAGTTCCCTTGAAACAGACTTGCAGATTTGGGCTGTCCTATAGCAAAGGCTAAACTGATATACCATCAGTAGCATGGCATATTCAGTTTTAGTGGGATTTCTGTAGTGTAAATATCATTTAGGTTCAATAGTATTGCTGCCTATTTCCATGGGGCAGAAAGCTGTTCTCAAATGGCATAAAAATTGTGTGGGACGTGTGTGATTATAAACCTTTACTACTTGGTTCAAAACATGCCAAAGGAGAGGATATTGACTGACTAGCAAGGTTTCTTCCACTCACTGAGCACATAATTCTCTTTTAGAAAGAACCTCCTCCTCAAAAAATACACAGGCTCCCTCTCAACCAGTTGGTATTCCTAAGCACTCTGTCATTCAAGAAGGGGCAACCAACAATTTTGGAGTGGTCCTTCCAGATTCATCTCGACATAGTGGAGGTAGGTGTTACCATTCAGATTTTTGTCTGTGCATTTTATACTGCAGCATACATTATGGTTTGGGGTGTGGGTGTGGGTGTAAACCCTCCTGAATGTTCTCTGGCTGTTCATCTGATTTTCAGGTCATTTATGTGTAAGTGTTCAATTTGTGACTTTTCTGACTGAGCACTAAACTATTTGTGGAATTGGGAAGGACCCGTAGCTCATTGCAGAATGCATGCTTTGCAAGAAGAGGATCCAAATTCAATCCCTGGCATCTTCAGTTAAAACAAAAATCTGGTAGCAGATTATGAAAGACTGAGAACCTGGAAAATTGTCACTGCTCAGTGTGGGCAGTACTGGGCTAGATGTTCAATAGTCTGATGTGATATAAGGCAGCTTCTACATCGAGTTAAAAATCTTGGGTAGCAGTGCTGGGTAAGACCTCTGCTTTTGGGAGAGTGCTTCCAGTCAGAGTAAATTGCAGTGGGCTAGATTGGGGTAGAGAACCTCTGGTCTGTGGAGCTTTGCCAAACCACATCCACTTGCCCCAAACCTGACATCATATGTGATGTGAGGTGCCAGGCAGATAGAGATGTGACTGAATCCTGCAGCTGGAAAGCAATATCTAATCTGCCAATTAGTCGACCCCCACCTTGTGGACCAACTTTGACAGAGTATACACATTATAATGTCATCAGATGATATACATTGGTCCCCCTGATTCATCAGAGTTTGTTCAAGAATGAACTCTCTGTGCATCAGCTGAGGTGTGGGGATTCAGGAACTTGATTCCCAGGGGGAACTCTCTGGTGCATCCAAACCTTCTAGAAAGTAGGACTCTTCACTCATTACATGATTTATTTACCCTCATGATTTCCTATATGATTTGTTGTGTAATGAAGAGGGTTCCAATGTATAATCAAAATGTTTTATTTGTGTTGGTCTTTGGGTTGCATGTTGAGATGGTAGGATTAATGGAATTTATAATTAGTGAGAGATGTCCTACTCATTTACTAAAAAATGAGTCCAATGTATGTTCCACCACTTTTGTCAAGTTGCTAAATTTTACAGAATAATTTAACGTTTCATGGTTAAATTGATGTGAAACAACATAGTCAAGTGCCGGCGCTTGCATGTGTTGTCTGTCCTATGTGGTAGAAGATGACAAGCTGGAAAATAGCCTTAAGAATATATAACCTTTTCATGGTTAAACTATGTATCTTCCTCTTCCAAATTATATCCCATTTCTCTATGCTGTACTCTATGTAGTTTAAGTGTATGAACCAATAAAGTAAAGACTGAAGGATATGTCTGCCAGAATGGTTATAATCACACTTACTAACACCACCTCTCTCCATTCTTTCTGTTCCCACTGCTGTCTAACTTCAAGTGAGTTCAGTAAGTATTAATATAATCTGCATGGTTTTGAATGCTAGCTAACTTGTTTCTAAGAGGTTTTAAAGCTTCTTGATACTTATGAAGGCTTTATTCTTATAGTTACTGTATCTAGGAATTTCAGTTTAGATTGTAGGCTTTCTGTTCTGCAAATGGTGAGGTTTCTGTGCAGTACGTTCATTTCAGTTTGGTACCAAGTAGTAGTGACACAGCAGATCACCCTGTCTATTTCTGTGGTTGTGAATTAAGCTATGCAATTCTCTTGGTTTCTGATGATGTGCTAATACTTCAGGACTGGTGTGCGCTGACATAATACAGTGTTCTTGCATAACGTAGACTGTGTACAATAGACTACATTGCCAAATTAGCTTTTTTTCCCCCCTAAGAAGCTTTAATTATCTCCATATTTGAAAACTGAAATGATCTTCCATGTTTGCATTTCAGAAAGGATTTTCTGGGCTTAAGACTAATGCACATTTGAGTATGTTCTTTCTCACTTGACTGAAACACATTATTAAATGAAATCTGGGTAGAGAAATCAAGTGCTTCTAGCTATTCTAAATCTTTATGAAGCCTTCTCAATTTCCTATTTCAGTACCTGAGGCACCAGATCGACCTACTATTTCCACAGCATCAGAGACTTCTGTTTATGTCACTTGGATCCCACGTGCCAATGGTGGATCACCCATCACTGCCTTTAAAGTAGAATATAAACGCATGAACAGGAACAGTGAGTGGCTGGTTGCTGCTGATAACATCTCCCCTTCCAAACTTTCAGTGGAAGTTGGCAGTTTGGATCCAGGTATTAATATGCATTTTTTGTTCAAGAGAGATCACAATCAGTATTATGCGTTTCTGCATTTGCGCTGTAGCCAAGTTAAAATCCTGTTAAACTATAAGATGTTGCTTTTAATGTCACCAATGCTATATAAGATTCAGGGGAATTAGCAGTCCTTGTGTCTTAACTATCACAAACTTTTTTAGTCAAGCATCTGAATAGCATTTTCAAAATAAGCATGAGAATAAGTCACTGACCAGCTTTTACTTTGCTAACTTGGTATAGAGAGCAGGCATGTGCTCACATCTTGCCATATCTTTTCTGGTGGAAAATAACATCTCATCCAGTATTTGGCTAGATTGGATCTTTCTATCAGGAAGGGATGTCCCGCATAGTAAGTGAGAAAAATAGTATAAGATAACCTTACAACAAGGGTCATTTGGATCTTTCTGTTCTATGTTTCTAGAATGCTGGGTTTTATCTTTTCATCTAATGTTCAGTTCTCTCTTTTTTTGCCATATGAAAGGAGCTGCATATAAGTTTCGTGTGATTGCTATTAATAACTACGGGGAGAGCCCACGAAGTTCTGCCTCTCGGCCTTATCAGGTAGCTGGCTTTACCAATCGGTTTTCCAACCGACCCGTCACAGGACCACACATTGCTTACACTGAGGCGGTCAGCGACACTCAGATCATGTTAAAGTGGACTGTAAGTATCAATTTATGTGCACCATGAAAAAAATTGATTTTGCTTGCATCTCACGTTAGATCAAATGTCTGTTCTGTAAAGCAACAAATCAGTGGATTATACTAAACTGACCTTTTGGGAACCAAAAGCTGTATATGAAAAGCAGTGAGCACTTGAAATGCACAGTATAAATGCTGAGTATGTGCAGTCAGTATTAGCAACCAGTATTGCACTCAGGAAAATGCCTTGGTGAACATGTACTTTTAAAAACTTGCATCAAAACATAATATAGATAGTGCCTACTGTAGCTCTGTAGGGAGGCTGTTCCACATAGTAGGTGCTACCGTCACAACAGCCCTTTTCCTGGTGGTCTGGAGGCTGGAAGGATGCATAAGAGAGCTCATCTCATTGCATGGACAAGTCTATATGGGAGGAAGCATTCCTTTGTGTAACCCGGTTCCAAGTTGTTTAAGGTTTTATAAATTGCAGTAGACCCTTAAACTTTGTTTAATAGCAAACTGAAAGCCAGTGCAGTTTCTTCAAGTGGGATGTTACATGCCCACAGTATGGTGCTCCACTGAGCAACCAAGTTACCACATTGTACACCAGCTGCAACTTTCGAAACAGTCTTCAGAGCAGCCCCACATTGAATACATTATATTACTGCAATTTCAAAATTTCCAAGGCATGGGTCACTGGCTTAGGTTGTGCCTTTCTAAGAACAGTCATAGCTGACATACCAGCCAGAGCTATAAAAAGGCATTCATAGCCATGGAGCCTACTTGAGTCGCCAGTGACAATGATAGATTCAGGTATAACCCAGACTAGATACCTATTCCTTTAGACAAAAGCAGCCCCATCCCGAACATGCAACTCTCCTGTTTCCCAGAACCAGGAACCACTTACCCACAGGGCCTCAGCTTTAGTTTATTGATCCTCATCCAGCCCACTACTGCATCCAGGCATTGATCCAGGACCTAAACAGTTACACCTGATTCAGATATTACAGAGAACTGGAGCACAGTATCACCATCATACTGAGGACGCAGTGTGCCAGATAGCCTAATAACCTCTCCCAACAGCTTCATGCATTGATGTTAAATACCAGATGCTAGGGGCCTGAGGAACAGTTATCCAGTGCCACTCACTGAATTTGACTCCACAGGTAGAACAAAACAGTGCATCCCACACCCAAGTCATGGTGTCAATTTAGGCTGATACCATATAGCTGATAATATCAAAGGGTTGTGTAAAGGCAATAGGGTCACATTACTCCTGCCCTTCTCCTGATAAAGGTCATCCCTCAAGGTGACCAAAGCTAATTTGGTCTGAACCCAGAATGGAATGGTTCCAGATTATAAAAACCTTTAAACAATAATGAGAGTATAGCTTTAGCTAAAATTCTAGAACTGTATTCACAAAATACTTCTCACTGTTTTAAAGCCCACTTTTGTTCTGATTTCTCTTCCCACATTACATTAACATTGTCTTTCAGCCCCTGCCCCAGGAAAATATATCCCTTGTTGACTGTGGTTCTGGAATTTTAGTTGTTTTAATATCTCTTTTCCAGTATATCACTTCGAGCAACAACAACACACCCATCCAAGGATTTTATATTTATTACCGGCCAACAGATAGTGACAATGATAGTGATTACAAGAGGGATGTTGTGGAAGGTAAGATACATTACTCTGATTATGCAAGGAATTGCTCCAGTTACAGTACTTCTTATTCCCCCCTCTAAAGCATCAACCCAAATGCTGTTCTAATGTAAAGAAAACATAACAAAGACATAAAAAAAAGACATCACAGAAATAGACAACTCTCTACTATAGACTAAGGGACTGTGCTCTTTGTAACATTTAAGAAAGCCAAAGTGTAATGTGTGTGGGGGGGTGAGAACCCTTTCTGATTCTTGTGAACTAGAGTTGAGGCACTAGAATAAACATGTTTTCAATCAGTGTCTTGTACCAGATGGTCAGTAGCTTCTCTGCTAGAGGAACTTTCACTAGTACACTCCAGAATTGCATTTGCCTCTGTTGCAGCCACACCAAACTAATGGTTAATAGTTGTTTGTAACAAATATCTCTTCCTCCCTGTGTCACTATCTGCCAGATCTTGAACCCTTGTCACAGAAATTGCAGTGGGGACTATATTTGTGGAGTATTAGTTCTCATAATAAATTTCGCACTTGATCCATAAATCTCATTATGGTCTAACAGGATTGTGTGGAAGCTGTTCATGTGAATGAAAGATCCTTCACTTTTTGAATTCAGTGTCCCATTACTATAAAGATGCCATGTTGTTAACTTTTAGGTTACAAATTTGAGATAAGCTGCAAAATTTTCTATACTGCAATTGTTCTTTTATTTAATTCAAGTTAATAAATGTGCTTGAAGCTGGAAAAGAACTGGCTTCTCAGATTTAGTCTCATAACACTAATATATAAGCAGCTGATTTTATTGGATGGATTTTGGTCCATTTGTAGGTCTTAATTTTTATGAACTGTAGAGTGGGAAAGTATATAAACCAATTACATTCGTTAACGCAGGAACAGGCATTTGGTTGAGCACTGACAACTACAGAATTCTCCTGATAACACCTGTTAGTGCATCTATGAGCTCTTAAAATTATTTTATGTAAGATTAAACCTGTTCTCACAATTGCATAGAATGGCTATGGCTGCCACAAGTTGCCATGCTTGAATCTATTACTATATTAATATTGCTCTACAATGCTACAGGGCTGCTAAACACCTATGTAATGAGTGTAGTTAACTGAGAGGTTAAACTATTACCTTGGAAGAAGTTCAGTGTTTCACTTGTAGCCTTTCTGGTAGACAGAATTTGTGTTTATAAATGTTTAAGTGAGCTCCGCTGTGCTGTGAAATTTGCTTGTTCCTGATTTTCAGGTTTATGCATTCTGAAATCTTAATGGAAGCCTGAAACCACTAGCAGCTGCTCTGCTGTGCCAAAGCTTGAACAGAAATTTGCACAGTGGTAGAAATGTTATACATCAAACTTTTCTTTACTACATTATATAGCCACAACTACTTATTGATTTAAATATTCAAATTAGCCTTAGTTATGTAGGAAAATATAGAGAGGGGAATCTCTTGTGCATGCATTTTGGATCACTGCAGCTGCATTGTATTTTTCTTTTTCTTTTTTTGTACCTTTCATAAGTAAATTTCAACACAGGATTTTCAATTCCAAACAGTAGTAAAGTTTTTGCAATGGTTGTGACTTCATTAGTAGCCCGAGGTTTCATTTCATGATCAGTCTTGTCTTTCTGAGATTGTCTCAAAACTTTGATGCCTTTTCTGTATATGTTGCCACGTGCTAGCTTGATTTTATTTTTAAAGTTCCTGATGTTTGCATTTGGTTCTTCATTATGTAGTCAGTAGTTTTTGTCTTTCTGCTTGTTCAACAAAAGCACCACCAAATCTTCTGTTGTCTCCTGTGCTGAAATTTTGCATTCCATACTTGGTTCATGGAAATAGTGTCAAAAACTCAAGGTGAATTCAGATAACAGTTGCTTACATTTTCCTTGCTTCAATATATGGGAACAGAGTTAAAATATTTGTACTGATTCCAATTCTAGTAAACGTTTGAAGGGAAAATCTAAAGCCTGATGTAATTACTAAAAGGATGCTTGAGGTGTAATGAGAAGATGGAGCTTAGAAAGATTTGAAAAACTGAGTTCCTGGGGAAAAGCTAGTCTGCTGCTTCAGCCTGTATTCATTTTTGAGGATATAAGCTGCAAACATAAATGAACTATGATTTGTTTGAAACAGTCACCTCTAAGGCTCTTCAGCAAAGCAGTTAAACACACAGACTTTCAGATATTGGCAGGCTATATTGTACAACAGTGCTATTCTCTTGTCGGTTCAGTCTTTCAGTAGGGACAATAGTTGTATATGCATGTGATTCACACCTGGAGTGTGATTTTGAGGGGAAGCAGAATTACACTGGCTGGCTCAAGCTCTATGCATTGAAGCAAAGGTGAAAATTAGGTGTCTGTGCGTGTACATGTCTGGAGCCTTCCATGCAGTTGAGATCCATGATTGATCAATGTTTCAGGTTGTGCCGAAGCATCTGTGCACATAAAGGCCCATTTTCACCTTTGTATGTGGAGATCAGGGGAAGCACCAACTGAAACGATTCTGCTTTACTTCCACCTTTCTAAGTGGAGCAAAGAAGAGCATTGGGTTATTGTGTAAATAGCACCCCTACTTGGGTGCTGTTGAAATACAGTAGCGTCTTGATACTATTCTTCCCTGTGAAGGCTGTAGCTTATAGATCTGTCTGTGTTCTAGGTGGAAGTAGTTCCAGCAGAAATAGACCACGATGTTGACATTTAAGAAGCATTAGGCATATCTAAACCATCTTAATTATAATATAGTGGGTTCCTCTTTATTAAAACTTGTCATAAGGGTGAGCATACAGACTGAAAGTGATTTATGAGTACGGAGAAAACACCAGGTGGTGTCTAAACGAAAAATTGACTTTCAGCCAGACACAGTAAAATCATTCTCTTAAATGAACTTGTTTGGATTAGAATTTCCAATGCTGAATATCAAAGGCCTTCTTACCTCATATGTTCTCATAGTACATAAAAATTGTCTGCAGCTAATGCTAGTCATGCTGTTAGTAAACTACTTACGCTTTCCTCAGGTTCTCTGGAGTATGTTCTTAGACTTAAGTATAGAATTGAGTGGCTTCAAGTCTTTTTGTGATGTCTACACTTTTTTGCCTTTAAAAAGACACACGCACCCTAAGGTGGCTAGCAGAATGTTACTCCTTTTATCATATGATTTGTTGTATCAACAGAAGACCTACAGACAAAAGTACAGTTTCTCTTTCTACCAGGCTCCTATCACATGCTTTATTTTTTAAAAAGTCAAGTCTTAATAGCATGGTGGAAAGTGCTGTGGGAAAACCCCACCTTGCACAGCTGAGTCCTTTACTCACTATCAAAATGACAAGCGACACTCAATAATTCTCTAAAAGCAAATTTAATTTCTTACTTGAGCAGGAAAGGTAACATCAAGCGATTAGAAAAGTGATCAGAGGCTGAAGCCTTATCTGTTTGCACACAGTTTTTATACTTATAGGTTAGACATGCAAGACTCCCAGTAATACAATCTTGCGTGTGATAGCACCAGCTTAACTGCATAGACAGATGCTTCAACATTTCAGCTAGCTAGGCATTTTTCTGTTTATTCCATTTAAATGTCATGGCCTAGCATGCTCCTAAAACTTCCCTTTACACACCCTCTTGTGGTTTGCTTTTTCACTGTTCCTCGCTTAAGCTTGCATTTCAGCATGATTACAATGAGAATACATGATTATGGTGTCAGCCTGCAACAAGATGGTGTTAGTCTTGCTTAAGCTATAACAAAGGTGGAGGTGGTTCATGTTACTCTTTGTATCATATTGTGATTAGTTGTATCAACAGCAAGACCTACAGTCAAAAGTACAGTGTCTCTTTCTACCAGGCTCCTATTGCATTCTTTATTTTTTTTTATTTTTTAAGTCAGATCTTAATAGCATGGTGGAAGGTCATCAACAATGGGGCTAGATGGGGAAAGACATTCTATGATCATATCATGTTGTGATCCATGGCTGTCCATGCACACTGCTTTGTATTGGCCAAATTCCAAAGTTTAAAACAACCACTTTCTGCCAAATATTTCTTATTGCAGTTTTATTTACATGTCTGATTCAGACTTTGCCCTTAGGGTTTTATGTTAAATAGATGCTACATTCCATCTTTGAGATGAACATGTTCAGGAAGGTTGTAGACATTTTATTAGTAGTAAATTACATTCTTCTTATATGCACATTTGTGTATGTAAGACTGATTTTGGCCTGCTATCTTAGCTCTTAATTGCAATGGGTCATTTATTTTTTACCTGTTGTCCTCAAATTGTAAGGACAGTTCCTACATTTTTTAGCTCGGTTTATATTTTCCAAATTGTGAAACAAACATGCTACATGTCTGTATGTTTTTCTTTCTAGGCACAAAGCAATGGCACTTGATAAGTCACCTGCAACCTGAAACATCTTATGATATTAAAATGCAGTGCTACAATGAAGGAGGTGAAAGTGACTACAGCAATGTGATGATCTGTGAGACCAAAGGTGAGCAGGAGCTGTTATTTTTCTTCTGTCACTAAACCAATGGCCATATATTTGCTGTTCCCTAATCTTCATACTTGGAACGTGGGTGGCACTGTGGTCCAAACCACAGAGCCTAGGGCTTGCTGATCAGAAGGTCAGCAGTTTGAATCCCTGCAATGGGGTAAGCTCCCATTGTTCAGTTCCAGCTCCCCCCCACCTAGCAGTTCGAAAGCACATCAATGTGCAAGTAGATAAATAGGTACCGCTCCGGCAGGAAGGTAAATGGCGTTTCCATGCGCTGCTCTGGTGCGCCAGAAGCAGCTTAGTCATGCTGGCCACATGACCCGGAAGCTGTCTGCGGACAAACGCCGGCTCCCTCGGCCTATAGAGCGAGATGAGCGCGCAACCCCTGAGTTGTCCGCGACTGGACCTAACGGTCAGGGGTACCTTTACCTTTACCTTTAATCTTCATACTTATGTAAGAATTCATTTCTTTTCAAATATTTTTCACAATATTTCAGATGTTTTAGTTAGTTTCTTGACTTCATGAAAATAAATATTCCATCTCAGCACACTATATGTAATCTAATATGGGCTTTTAGAAATCACATGCTACCATCAAAACCAAACCTCAGTGCTTGAGAGAGCTTCTCATTCAATGCATAAAACTGTGCTATCTTCCCATACTTTATCTCAATCTAATGTTCCTGCTTGTTGTTGCTGTAAACAAAACGACGGCTTCAGTTTCTCGGTTCAGAAAGACACGTAGGATTTATCATCAGCTACCCAATACCCTTGTTGTTCAATAAATAATTTATTTCTTTTAAAGCAAATTATGTTTGAAACTATGATCAGTTTTAAAATATAAAATTTTGGGGTACTAGTAAGGGTAGAAGAAGGATCTTTAATAAATTTTACGCACACCTGTCCCAGAATGTATTGGTATGTGTTCATTTCAAGCCATCCATAAGCATTGATATTTGACAACAAAAATGGGCCCATTATCTTTTTTTGTCAACTACTTTACATTCTGGTAATGTTCATTATTCCTATGTGTGAAAGTAGCTAAAGCAGTGACACATGTGTGGATTTGAGGGTAAACAAATTCCAAAACAAATATATATTATCGAGTAACTTATAATAAAAAATGTTCTACCATCATATTTTATGCCATTTTGAATTGCAGTAGTTGCAGCTCTTGATTGACTTATAGAATTAATAACACTTCTGTAGACTTGCTATTTTAAATGTGCGTTTTATCTTATACTCTCTTCCCTCCATATTAGTGAAGCGCACACCTGGAGCATCAGAATACCCAGTGAAGGACCTTAGCACACCACCAAATTCTCCTGATCGTGGAGTTGGAAGTAATGCTGGTCAACCAAATGGTCCTGTCCGAAGCAGTGACATGTTATACCTGATCGTGGGCTGTGTCCTTGGAGTGATGGTGCTTATTCTGATAGCCTTCATTGCTATGTGCTTGTGGAAGAATCGCCAGCAAATTGCCATGCAGAGTAGGTTAATTCTAATATTCTTCATGTCCTCTGCTGGACCAAACCTAATGAAACAATATTGTTGCCAAGTAACCTAACACCACAACATTTACTATGAATTTCAGTTGCTGTTATGATCACCACTGAGTAACGGAGGGGAACAAATTTGAAAAAGTGCTTTATTCTTATGAAACATAGAGATTAGAGCCTAACTCCGTGCCTTCACTTTCCATTCCAACTTAGTAATAGAAATGTATTCTAGGAGAACTTTATATTTTCACTTTCAAAGGATATTGGTAGATAAAGTTAATGGCCAACATACATAGTTACAGTCTTCTTTGAAATCTTCAGCTGGGAAAGGGAGATGCTTCCTCTTCCTACACTTTTGGTATTCTAAATGTTCATAAGGTATAGCAATTGTGTCTTGATCCGGGGAAAATGTGGGATATAAATAAATACAATAATAATAGCAATTTTACTTGGGTCTTATAACTATAGATCTGACAGAACAATCTATATTGCATTGTTAAGAATAGTGCTGGTGGGATAAAATAAGTGTCTTTATGCCACAAAAGCTGTCAGATTCCCCAAACAGTGGTAAATATGCAAAACATGTAATCTGTGTTAGCCCCTTAATAATCAGTGGTGGTAATCTGCTATCTGAACTCTGTTAGTCAGATTGTAACATGTTTTACAATTTGTAAAGGGCTTAAGGTTACAATTTGTAAAGGGCTTAAGGCATTGTAGTGCTAGGGGTGTAAACTCTACCATGAACAGCCAGCTATAAAACATTTTCATCTGTAACCTTTTCAGATAAAAAACATGTTTAAGAGTTGAAGTGTTAAGCATTTTCTCCCAATCCTCACTCTTGCAGAGTATGACCCTCCTGGTTACCTTTACCAACGTGCTGATATCAATGGGCAAATGGTTGAGTACACAACATTACCAGGCACAAGTCGTATCAATGGCAGCATACATGGAAACTTTATCAGTAATGGAAACCATAATAATGGTTGCCTTCACCTCCATCACAAGGTTCCTAATGGAACGAATGGAATCATGAATGGTGCTGTAAATGGAGGAACTGTTGTTTATCCAAGGCACACTAATTCCCTGTCCAGAGCGCACATGGAATATGAACACACCCACCACCTCGGAAATGTAAGTAAGCCCTAGGTGTTAGAGGTCTGTTTCTTGAACATAATACGAAATGAAATCTTAGGAAATGGAAAGCATTCAGCACTTAACAAAAATATGTTGAAAATTCCACAACATGGCATGCTTTTTGAATCTTAACTTGCTGGAAGTAACCTCATAGAAGTATGTTACATTAAAATTAATCATTTCAGACCCCTACAAGAGAACTGCACATGTATTTCAAATGACATCTCCATACATCTCAATTAATTTTATATTTTGAATCTGAATATATGGATTTGTTTGTAAACTCTATCCCCACCCAACCCCCTTTTTTACATAACCCATGAGCTTTTACTGCACTGTTAGGGGTTAGAATCTTCATTTTTAAACAGCATTTGTAACACCCAATATTAATGTTTTGCTAACCTGGTGATTACAGAGAGGCTCAAAAAGGTTGGCTAAAAGATCAAGCATAGCAAATATGCTGTCTTTCAGTTCTCATCATTTCTTGTGACTCTGCCAAGTTTTTTCAGAATAAAGATGTTATGCATGCATGTGTGAACCTGATGGGATGAACAAACACCATTGAAAAGTTTTGCGTTAGACTTGGTTGAAGAAAGTTGTGCTTTTAGTGATCTATTTTTATATTATATATGTGCATGTCATCAATGGTGATTTTTTATGTGTGAACCAGCATATAGATAGATAGAGGTAACTTGCATAAGTGTAGTCTCCCATGTACTATTCTGCTTTGTTGGTTTTTTTTGTTCTTGAAGGCTGTCAGCCCAACTTTGATGAAGGTGCTTGGGTGGAATTATTCCTCAGGCATTCTCAGTTTAGCTCTACGTCACAGTAATAATGGCAGTTACACATTGGATACCCTTCCACTCACATTGCTTGGAGATTTTTGTGATCTTATTGGAGACTTCTCACATTCTTCCATTAATTGTGCCAGAACCTTTAGCTTTATGACCAGGCTGTTACTACAGCCCCATTTCAGGTTTAACTTTTAAGCAGTGCACTTTATTACATTACAGTGTGCCAAAACTTTAGGTTAATAAATCAGAAAATCCCTCCTCCTGGTCCTGCTCTGACACACCATAAGTCTATCTGCATTCTGAATGCTTGAGACTTGGGTTGAAATTATTAAGAATGATTGTGATTATGCCCATGTATTATGAAAAAAATATTCATTTGTTTCCCCAAGGAATTATCTAAATACTAATTTTTTTTTAACACTAGTCCTGCTCAAAACGTTTTGAATATTTTATGGGGAAACAAATAATGTGTTCAATTTTTTTGAGTAAGTATACTTCTGAGGGTAGTGGGGAATATAGGACTAGTGTTTGTTTTTGGTAACTGAACACAAGAGCTTCATTTTAGGGAGAAACAGATTGCTGCTCAAGCAAGAGTTGCCACTTCAGATAACCTTGCCTTATCTTATTTCTTTTTCCAGCACTCTTAAACTCCTAAGTTCTCATTCTTTCTAAAAAGCCAACCCAAACACTGATTTTACAAGTATCAAAACACAATTCTATAAGAATTCTGTAAGTGATGGATATATCCAGACTATGTGAACCTAAACAGAACAATTGTCTATTGTCTATATAGGGGTATTCCAGGGACACAAACCTAAAACAGGTGTTAACCAGTTTTCTTTTAGATGCTTGTCTAAGGCCTGATTCTCACTTTGACATTTACATTCTTAATAAAAATACAGTCATACCTCGGGTTACAGGTTGCGTGTTTTCGGGTTGTGCACCACCCCAAACCTGGAAGTACCAGAACGGTTTATTCCAGGTTTCGGCACATGCGCAGAAGCACTAAATCGCACTTTGCGCATACACATAAGTTCCGAAACGCGACCCCCTCGTGCGCAGATGCGGCGCTGCGGGTTGCGAACGTGCCTTCCGCACGGATCATGTTCGCAACCCACTGTAGTACTTTTAAACTAAATATGAAATCTGTAGTTCAGCATGCATGCCTATAAAATAATCCAAAGCAAAGGCCTTTTCTTATTCACTGGTTTTGTTTATTTCAAAGGGCTGCATACTGACATTTAGAGAGAGACACTCTTCAACTTAATGAGAGCCATGTGTCTGTTGTACTTGCCCCATCCATAATATCAAAGTGAGAATCTGCCTATAATATTCTAATTTGTCCACTTCATCTTGAAACAACACACCAGGGCTAAATTGGAGTATGAAATTGGAATTTTGTGTGGCTATATAGTACGTTCTTTTAAGGCCCTCTGACCTACACAGAGAACCATGATTTACTGGTGAGCAAATTTATTGCGTTGAGCAAATGTGGCAACTTAGAACTAGTGTACAGGAGGAGTTTTGCTTTGGATGTCTTCATAGTCAAATACTGGACAGAAAGATTTGTTCAGTAGAGTTTGAGTCTTGGATGTAAAATGGTCTTTCACAGTCTTGAGTAGTTAAATACAGATTTTTATTGCCACCTGTACTACCTCATTTTCAAATATTCCTCAAACCTGCATCTCCCTTGCATTCAGCAGTGAGGTATGTGTTAATCTTAGCATTTTTATTTGTAAAGGATTCTGCAGCCAAAACCAACAATTCAAAATCCCTCTCACCCCCAAACCCCAAATCACTCTTGGCTGGTGAATTATTGCATCTGTGAAAATAAAGAACATTTCAAAACTGAGTTTGGTGAAGCAAGCTGATCTAATCAGATTAATTCCAAGAAAATCAGTCAGATGTATTCATCATACTAGCCACATGTATATCTTGTCTCCACAAGCAGACAAAAGTCTGTATTGGAAAGGAAATTACTTTCATGTCTCATCTGTGTGTGAAGCATTTTCAGTTTTGTCAAATTTGAGTTGGGCACTACAGGCTGAAAACAGAGCCAAGGAAATTACAACATACGTGGGCAAGCTACAGCTGTTAGTTTTTGCTGTGGCATACATGCTGAAAGTTAGGCTTTACAAAACAAATTTTGCAATACTGTGCGCTCTGTCTTTTTGATGAATGCCAAACTTCATTACAAATTAGAATAGAATCTGTTGTTGTTGTTAAATGTAACAGATGGCATGCTTAAGGGCTTGAATTTATTCTGATTTGTTATTCTCTCCCCATCCCAAACCCCCAATTTATCTAGGGTGGTGGTGTATACACAGCTATGCCTCAGACAGACCCTTCAGAATGCGCGAACTGCCGGAACTGTCGGAACAATAACAGGTAGTAAATCGGGGAAAGGAGAATAAAGTGAGCTTTGGGATTGAGTCTGCTCCAGTTGCTTACTGCACCTATGCATTTTAGGGGCTTTCAAATGGAGGTTGCTTTTTATCCCTGATTTTCACATAAAGACTATGCAAGATTTATTTATAAAAGCTGTTACGTTTTATGGAAATGTGCATCCTAAGATGTTGGCACTTTAACAGCAGCTTCCTGGGATTTCTTGAATACTTTGAGTCCAGAAACAGGTACCATAGCAGCTGGTGATGCTGCCTCAGGATAAAAATAATCTAATCTTGTGTTCTGTTACCTTGCCATTGCAAATGAATGGGTGAGCTTGCAAATCTTCTAGGTTTATTGTTGTTATCATACCACTGTGATTTCAACATGGGTGTCTCAAACATCCCAAACAAGGGATGAATATCATCACCCAGAGGAGCTTCTCTCTGGATCCTCGTAGCTTAGTTTGTAAGCTAAGCTTCCAAGAGGCATAGTTCTTTTGCCATCCATTCTCTTTTATCTTCCCCATCTACCAGCACCTTCCAGTCTTTTCCCAACTGGAACATCTTTGAGTAGCTTGTTCCCTCTATGATATTGAATTGGTATATGATAGCCCAGCAGGTGCACGCTGTTTTCTTCCTTTTATATTGAATTATTACTATGAAGAGGCCCCAAAATAAGGCAAAAGTCCCCAAGCTCTGTACAGCAAAACAGAACAAACACAAGAAATGCGGATTATCTGCTCAATTTGTATGTTCCAGTTGCAAAATGGGAGTACTGGATTGACAGTTTTGAAGTATGGCAGGTGTTTTAACAGACCTCTTATCCTTGTAGTGAGGATGGGGCATGCAGTTAGGTAATGAGCTAAGTGCCTCCAAAAATACAGGATCTGCATCTTGCCGCGAGGTATCTCTGAACCCTTCTCCTGAGACTTCAGATCAATGGCAGGCTAAACACCACACCCAAAAATGTAGCATCGAGCAAGAGAATTTCCAGTTTCCACAGATGCACAAATATGTCATTTCACATAACGTTTATAAGAGTCAACAGGAGAAATGACGCTGTCCAAGAACCAGCCACAAGGTTGGGTGTGGCTCACTGCTTAGCACTGGATACATTTGGCTACTTTGGAGTCCTGAAAACAGTTCCATCTTCAAATATATAGTATCTAGTTGCCACAAAAGTCATCCATCGACACAGAAAAGTGCTCTTAGGAAGCACAATGACAGGAAAGAACAGCTGTTACAAGCTCATCATTTTTAGGCTGAAAGTTTCATGCTGCAACAGATAATTTCATTATTCTAAAAGAAGCTAACTGCATGTGCACATCAAGAGAAACTGGGTGATTGGATAGAGCTAGTAATAAAGATAATCCAAGCAGAGGTTATATTGGGTATAATATTATCATTGTTAAATGTTTCCACTTTACTCTTTTGTAAATGGTGCCAATCCCCCCCCCCAAGTTTCTTAAGTGACCACGGCAATAACTAGTTGGCGAATCAGAGCGCCATGTATGCTGCCAAACATCTCTGCACATGCACCTGAATTCTTTGGCTTTCCCATTTCAACTCCAACTCCCTTAGGTGCACCAGAGGCTGCTCTAGTGAGACTATCAGATTTCAAGAGTGACTCTTCGGGGTCCATGGTGGCAGGAGTGAGAAGTCACAGCTTGTGGGGGGGAGGTTCAGTCAACATCTCTTTAGTCTTACCCTTGATTTTTGCAACTTTCCATTAGCAAACATTGCACACCGTAGTCAGCGAGAAACCACTGTCTGTCTGCAGGGGACACGTGGAATGCCCTGGTTGATTACCAGGGTTAATTTGGTCTTATTTTGCACACAGCTGACCCTTTTGGGCCCTTAGATCAAACAAACTCAACATTTGAGGATCAATGCTAATGTTTTCCTGGTCAGACTGTTTTAAATACACCTGGGGTAATAGTTCTCTTTTACAGAAGATAAAAAGCACTCCTTGTGTTGGCTGTATATTTTGAGCTTAGTGGCTTGTGGAGTAAGGGGAAAACCCTCATGCAAACATTTTTAAGTTTGTTCATCCCAGAATATAGCCAGTTTCTTGCCCTTCAGTGTAAAACAAGCGGAAATTAAATGGCTTAGTCAGGAGCCATTCTTAATTCCTTTGCTGTCAACTTAAGTAAGCACAGCTTCTAAAATAGATGATTGTACTGTAGAACTGTGTAGCAGTTCTGTGGTGTCAGTTTTTCTTAGTATTGAGTGTGGTGCAGTCATCCCAGTCTTCTCTAATCAAAGACTGATGTAACTATGATTCCAGGATTGCACAATCCCTACTTATAGTTGCCTGTGTTTTGAGTCAGTCACGTATTTATGTGTTTATTACTTTAGATGCACAAAGCAAATGATGTTTTATTTTAAAGAAAAAGTTATCCCCCAGCATTCAAGCCATTCTGCGTTGCAAATTTTAAAGCAAATGTACTATCCTTTCAAATAGAATCAGACAAAAATGTAGTAGTAGATCTATGCTGACTATCAAAAGTCGGATTTTACAGGTCTTCTGTTAAAAATACACAAGGAGAGTTAATTCCATGATTATGGTTAGACCATAGTGTGCGCATCAGCATTTGCCTCTGCTGTCTGCATTTGTGATTCTTTTTGGGAATCTCTGTGATTCTTGCAATAGGATATGGGAAGGATCCGATTGCTCAGGTAGAGCTGAGGTTGCAATTGTTTTGATATGCACATTTAAATATACATTTGGAAACCAGCACTTTGACCTATACTATTGGAAGAGCAAAGGCTCCTAAACAGAGGTTCTTAGTTGTTGCCTTACAGATGTGGAACTCCCTTCTAGATTTCCATTGAAGTCTCAGCCTGGATACCTTCCAGAAGTATTTTTAGGCTAGGTTTACACGTGCAGCAGAATTTATAAAAACTCCTAACCCACAAGGCATCTCACAACTGTAAATCAAAACATAACAACTTACCAATAATAGAACTGTTAAAAATATACAGCAACAGGTTTGAATTACTCAAATGAAGCAAAAAACGTGGCAGAACAAAGTCTTTTCAATTCGCATAAATGGCATTAAAGAAGGGACCAGTTGACTCTCCCAAAGACCGTTCCAGAGTCTAGACATTGCAGCCAAGTATTCAGTATCCTGCTGGACCTATGATGGCAGTGAGATGCGGAGCATGGCCTCTAAGAACATAGAAACATGAGTCTATAGGTATCATTGTTATATGATCCCCATATTGGTTTAAAAGCCTTGCCAGGAATAGAACCCTTAGCTGCTAATGAGGGAGGTTGTAGCCGAGCATTCAAAAACATCTTTCCACCTGTAGTCTGGTGTGATGCAGTCCATTTTACTGCCTCATTCTAGGACAGACATAACCTTCCCTGTTCTGGCTGGCTTTTATGCCACAAGAACTTCATGGAATAATCCAGCAGTGCTGGAAGACATAGACAGACGCTGGCTGGTAACTTGTGCAAGCAGCAGCTGAGTTCCTTGTCTTGGCAGAAAATATAGATATGGAGAAAGGGCAATAGCACTCCTGCTAAGGTCTTGAATATCCATTTGTTCAAGTGCATAGGTTCTCACACGGCACAGAAAGATATATGCTGCTCTGTGCTACATTGTCTAGACACTCTTCCACTATGCACAAGGTTAAGGGAGCCTGAAAGTTTTTTAAAAAATTAAGAGGATGGCTTGTTAACTTGAGACACATTTTAAATATCCTGCAATTAAGAATCTTGCAGCTTGTGTTGTATTTGTCCATATGAGTGTTCCATTTGTGAAATGAATCTTCTCTCTCTCCATTCACATTCCTCCTCTGAATCCACCTTTTCTGTGAATCCTGTGCCCTAACTTCTTAATCTTGATCACAAGCCAAAACACAGTCTCTGTGTATTTCCATCTGCTCACATTCATCCCCTTTAGCTCTGTTGTCTCTCATCATGACGAAATTTAGACTGTAAGCTACTTGCAGCAGGGCGACTTTTGGGTTTCTTCTGTAAAGTGCAAAGCACGTCGTTGGCACTGTATAAATAACAAAGCATTTCTAATTATGATTCTGCTTCTGTGGCTAAAGAAAGTTCCACATAATAAGCTTTCCGTCTGTAAAGCTAAATATTATGTAGCTTTAGGATGTATTTTGACAGCCATTGTGAATAAGTGGTGTGGTTGCCAAGGAATAATTTAAGACAGAGCTTCATGTTAATCATCTTCTTCCTAGGAGATAATTATGGAGAGCTAGCAAACCATAGTCAATGAAAAGTGAATGAATTCAAAGAAAGTATATGCCAGTAGTTCCTCTACTTGGTGGAAGAATGCTTTCTATGTTTTATTTCAAGTTCTCATAAAAAACCCTGTAACAAGAAAAGGTTTAATTTAAATCACTGTAAACATGTATATATATGAGAGGATGAAGTGCAGTGTCAAAATATTTTTGCTACTTCTATCATAGTTTTGGAGAATATTCTTAATTGTTCACATGCTTTGTGTCCCAGATTTTCAGTTCATATGCCTGTCTTAAATAGATATGGGTGTGCTTTGGTTTCTCATTTGTTTAGTTACAAATAATATAGTTAAGTACTTGTTAGCATATATCTTGAAAGTTGAAAAAGCAAGTTGATAACCACCTCAGTGTCCTTAGAAGCTGGTTCTCCAGCTGCAAACATTTATAGCACTGGCAGTTTCCCAACACTTTGGATTAGCTCTGGGCATGTCTACAAAGGATTTTAGCTGTAAGATGCCTTTTTTTGTTGTTCAAAGGCTAAGTAGATTCCGCTATAAGGAATTGACTTCCTTCCCTGCTTGACTAGTCTTTCACAATCCAGAATGAGAGAGAATTATCAAAGATTCTTTCTGGGAAGGCTTAGAAAGCATGTTCTCACTTTCTAAGTTTACAATGCTGAAGAATCCAATATTGAATGTAATCACTCTATCAGCAGCACTTTAACAGAGGTCAAGTTACCAATTGAAAGAGCAAATTGATATTGAAGTTCTTTTTCTTATATTTCCAAAAAAAATACCCCATTTAAAAATGTGTAAGAGAGCACTTAGTGGGAGCTGGCTTTAAAAAAAACAAAACCTCTATTTTGTACAACTGGGTAATGAAACGTTGTTTATTTCATTTATGAATCACTTTATAAGGTTCATCACAAAGTGATTTACAGTATACTTTATAGTGAGCCATTTTCCATGAATGTGTTTGAATTTTTCTAGGTGCTTCACTAAAACCAGTGGCACTTTTGGAAGCAACCCTGCAGCTGTGATGCCCATCGTAGCACCTTATCAGCAGGACAGTTTAGAAATGAAACCGTTGAATCATATGATGGTTGCGATGTGCTTAGCGTCCACAACCCCCGGATGCAACGCTGAGGCAGAGGAAGACGGCAAGGAGAAAGTGGATCCCCCATCTCCTCGGGACTCCTGTGACCAAGAAAATGTGAATCCACTCAGTACAGATTGTATAGAAGGTACGCCAGCATTTTGGGAATTGTGGAAATATATAGCTGCCTCCGAGGCAGTTGCTTTTTATTTATAATCAGAGCAATTTAGCGCAGAAACCAAACTCAGACTGAGATTAAATACTTAAGCTTCTTGTGGTTCCCTGTGCATGTTATGGAATTTGGTGCTGTGGTGCTTAAACTGCGGGCTTCTTTTTCTTTTTCAAAAATGGATTTCATCCAGTACTCTCCTTGGATTATTTGTGGTGACTAAATTGTTTTAAACACTGTGCTAATTTATTTAAATCTCTGCCAAGACCACCTTCGGCTGTGATCTTGTGTTTCAGCAACTAAGATTAATCAAACTAGCTACTTAGGATAGAAGAGCTGCAGGACAGCGGGGGAGGGAGGAATGTTGATGATTCATCAAATAGTAGTCTTGTTTCCCAGCCTGTTGGAGCTTGTATGAAGCCTCTTGATAAATTTGATGGTTGTTGAAGTTGCTAATAGACAACTAGATAATAATAGCCGCGTTTTGAATTTGCAGATCACAGTGCACATTTGGAAACATCAGATCACATGTTGAGCTGGAGCCCCCTTATTCTCCAGCCTCTTTCAAAAGACTGTAATGAAAAGACAGAAGGGATTTCAAATGGCGTTACGTTGGACGGTTTGGGGAGTCTTCGACAGCTCCAAGTACAAGAGACTTAAGGAACTGACCTCCTTCCCCTCCCCACTTAAAGCCAGTAACTGCACAGCAGAGTCGCTGAAAGAGACTTACAACAGGATGTTAATTATAAAAGATGCTATTTATTTTTTGGTGTAGTGTCCTATGAATGTATGTTTTTAAGAAAGCCTTTTGCCTTTTCATTTTATTTATGTCTTGAGAAATTCCTTCCCATCCCTTCCAGCACAACACCATTGTGACTATCTGAAGGTATGTTGTCATTACAGGAAACATACTAAAATGTTTTCCACGGACATTGGAAGAATACAGCTTCATTATAGTGCAAACATTTAGGAGAAGTACTTATTGGATTGGTTCAGATCCAAGTTGATCTTTGGTTTATAATTTACAATTTGGTGGTATAACTCCACAGGATGGTTCAGTGCAAATGAAAACAGAATGAACTGTTGGGCTATGGAAATTTAAATTGTTACAGCATATTAATGAACTGTTGCCACCTAACTCTAAAACACCCTAAAGTGGAAAAACATGGAACTTGCAGTGGAAGTCTGGTTCTCAGTCAGTGCTAGCGAAAACTTGTTAGAAAATGGCAGGACTGCTCATTTAAGTGAATGTAGTACTTGAGGTGTGAAGTTCTTGCCATACTCGTTCCAGATAGTGAAAGGCACAACATGGGCAACAATTAATGGTTGGCAAACACATTATGTAACCCTTACTGTTGGGTGGAAGAATTGAGCATGGGTATTTCGCACCGGCACCCCTTGTTGCCATTCTAAAGCGTTTTGATTTGTTTCCTGATGTTCCTGTTATGTGTCCTGTGCATCAAGGAGAATGTGCAGGGCACATTTTCCTACTTGGGTTAGGTGAGCTTTTTTGAAAGGCTTTGTAGGATGCTTGGGTTAAAAAAAAGCAAGGGGAGAATTTGATGTCAGTGATTTAGGAAAGCAATCAAAATTGTTCTGAATTGGAAATGGCTCCCTCCTATCTCTCCCCCCCCCAAAAAAAAGTGTGTTTCTGGAGTTTGCTTTAAGGGTAAATAAGTTCATACACAGTCCACATTAAGAAAAACAGCTTAGAGAGGGAGACACCAGGAGGGAAATGGCCAAAATGGAGGAAGTTGAGAATAGTTGCCCTGGTTAATCCGTAGTTAGAACCTTTATAACTATTCACTTTCACAAGATGGAGCAGTGTTGAGGGAGGTTTGGGGACAAAAGTGCTAGGTGTTGGTAGTTAAGTTTAGCAACACATTCTATGAAATAGGTCTTACAGACTCGCCCTTTGCAAGAAGTTTGTCCAGCAAAGGGTTCTGCTTTGGCTGCTTTATAAATACACTGGAGCATTACACAATCAAACTTAGAATGTAAGGCCTCTAGAACATTTTGTTCATTTGGTTTAGCTACCAGCTACCAGCTTCAGACTCAAGTCCTTTGTCTTACACCTTCCCAGGGTTGCCAACTTGAATAAAATATTTGGGGGGGGGGGGGCTTCCCAAAAATTATCGTGATTATTCTGTGTATCTTCATGGAACTTGGATAATAGGGCAGTCAGGGTTGGGGGTGATGCAGAATGTTTAATACCCGTGTTTCACTTCTTTTGGAGTACAAAATAGCTGCTTTGCCCCGCAGCGCCCAATACTATTCAGTGGTTGTGTCAGACTTGCAGCCAAGTTGTACAACACCTGTATATGTAGCTTTAAGAAAGGTGCCTGTGCTTCAGAAATAGCTGAGGGCACAATGTGTACGTCACAAGGCTAGCTGCATATTTCCACCTTCTCCCAGTTTTAACCAGCACAAATAAAACAAACTTACACTTGTAAAACAGCTCCACGAATTGGAGGCACGTAACTCTATATTTGCAGTTGCCCCGTGGCAATATGAATTCATTTTCCTAGCTAGATCCAGGAACTAGAAACGCCCCGTTTGAAGAAGGGGTGAGGGGGGAAATAGAGGAAAGGCCAAATACGCTGAATAGTAATTGCAAGCCCCTTACAGAAGAGCAGAGGTGCTCATCGGTGCAATGTACCATACTGAGTAACATTTGTGTGTGTATTTTGTGTGTGTGTGTATGCGCGCGATAAAAACAAGCTTTGTATTTTTATATCTGTTGCAGCAATTGTCAAATGCTGTGTGTGTATATAGTGTGTGATTATTTTATATAATATATTATGTATATTATATAATTTTATAAATAAGGCTCCCTAATGAGAATTTGCAGTGCTTATTGGGTTACTGTGCAAGGACCCCTTTCTTTGTAGGAAATTAGAACAAGACTTGATTCAATTTATAATTAGGCCCACAGAACATCTCTGCTGCTCATCTCCAAACTAAACTAACGGCTGGACACTTCTGAGAAATTACTTTTCAAAGCCTTAGAGGGGGAGTGACAACTAGTAAATGAATGTGACCTGCTGGAAGCAAAGTCCCAGCTGGTTTGGAGACAATTATTATATATGCCTTTTCAAAAAGCAAGAATGTCAGAGTACCTTTGATGTGGGAATTTAAGGGATTCTGGCACCTCTGTCATACGAGGCCACTTCAATTCAAAAGAGTTCAGGCAGGTAAGATGAGCCTTTCGATGTGGAACTGAGAAAGTCATACTTGGAGGCTGGGAAAGAGTTTGTAATCTGTTGTAGTAGAATCTCATCAAGGACTGCTTTATTTATATTGTGTGACACTGTTTTAAGTGTTTTTCCTTTTTATTGTATTTTATTTATAAAAGTTATATATTGCCTTTATATTTTAGGGGGATTGTGAGTTTTCCCTCAATCATAGGTGTGTAATTATGAACCTTGCAAAGCATAGACAAGTGGCCAAGTTTCTCTGATCCACCTGCTCATTCAGTTCCATATTAGATTCTGACTAGTGACTCCTGGTCAGGAAACAAAGAAAATCTTGTTTTTGCTTGTACTGATGGATAATAATGTGCCTTCCTACTTGGTATCCACTTAAGCTGTCACTGCCTTTTCAAATTCATTAAGCACAATAAATTTGTTGGGACTTTTTAATGGCTCATAAAGCACTTTCATGAGACTTCCAGCATCTTGTTTAAAATCTTCAGAATGCTAGCTTCTCAGTGTTTCTAGTTCTCATGTTTTCACAGAGCTTTGGAACCAAATAAGCAAGAAGAAGTCTAAACTCCACATTCATTCTCATGCTTTTAGTGTTTAGCAGATTTTCCCTGAATATTTCTCATATACAAAATTCATGATCAGAATATATTACTGCCACAGATGAACTGCTGCATGTCTGTCATCAGTAGTTTGGCATCTGTCCTCATGGAAAGATGCAGATTATGTTAAAGCAGAAACAAAATGCACAATTTTGGCTTGAGATAGGTTAGATGTTCTCCTTTTGTTCATCCTTAAGGTCTCTGACTCATTAGAAGGGCTTCTGACTATTTTAAAATGGCAAGAACTGATGCAGCGATATATTATTATACCACAGCTATCCATGTTGTGCATGGCACTAGCAGGTATGTAAGTCCAAGCAAAAAATTGGCAAGTATGTCCCACTGAAATCTGTCCTTCTTACTTCATTATAAGGAGCCAGTGCTGGGAACCCACTTCAGCTTTGACAAGTTTTTTTTGAACAACTTTTTTGATGGCATATGTCCTGCCTATGGAACTGAAGCATTTCCCAACCTGGTGCCCTCTATATGTTGCTGGATTACAATTTCCATAATCCCAAAACATTGGTCATACTGCTAGAGCTGATGGAGTCCCACAACTTCTGAAGTGTACTAGGTTAAGGGATACTGGTCTTAATTATAAAAGGTCTTATCCCCCTCCAATCTCTTAAAAGCAATTTGGTTAAATAAAGTATTGCTGTCTAAGCAGCAAGCGTTCTAATATTTGTAATTCTTGTTCTTTTGCAAATAAATGGTTTTAAAGATGCATGTCTTTTGTATCATATAGAAAAAAATACACTATATTTTCCTTTAAAAGTTGTAATATTCTTTTTTTTAAAGAAAATTGTACATATGTTTAAATGATGTAGGTTTGGGCAGGATTTTCCTTGTTTTTAATATTAAAGAGAATGCTGCTGCTTTGGTGTAATAGTTACAATTGCTGTCTGGTGTTTCAGTCTCCAATGTTTAAATCTGAATTCTCCAGAATTATGGTTTCCAAGTGCTATGCCAAGTAAGTTAACTGCTTAACGCTGCTTTGTTATCGTTGTTTTGGTATTAGTAGTAGTACACACAACATTTCTCTCTCTCTCTCTCTCTCTCTCTCTCTCTCTCTCTCTCTCTCACACACACACACACACACACAGCCGCACATCATAAAATGAAATGATTGGTTACTATGTGTTTACCCCGGACATGTGGGGACATTTTCAGGACCTTTTCAATAGTTGTGCCCTGGTTTTGGAATGCACTCCCCAGAAAAGTTCCTCTGGCACCCACCCTGATAGTTTTCCTACAACAGGTGAAGTCTTTTTTATTTCCCCAAGCTTTTTTTTACTGAACCCAATAGATCAATTGGGTTATTTTTTTGCTGCCCTCTATAGGTTTGATGTTTTTTAGTTTATGCATACATTATTTTATGGTGTTTAAATTGGTGTTTGATAATATGTTTGGAATAATAATAATAACAAATAATAACTAATTTCAAATCCACTATTTGGCACACACCTTATTTAAATGTGACAGTAGGCCAGCCTTCTCTGACCTTGTGCCGTTTCAAAGTATTGAACTATAACTCCCAGTATTCCTTAACCATGGCTGTGCTGCCTAGAGCTGATGGGAGTTATAGTCCTGACACCTGGAGAGCACCAGGTGAGGGAAGGCTCCGCTTGAGGATTACAGTGCTTCCATGTGTTTGCCACTGCCATCCCATAACCAGCTGTTGCTACACCGCATTGGTGTCTAAAACTGCTGTGGAGGTTTCATATAAAATAGCAACCCAAGCGCTTACTATGGTTGCCTTCCTCTGGGGACCAGTTTTTCCAGCAGACAATTAGAACAGGCTTGTAATAATTGTGGAATTGGATGCCATTTCAGGGACAAAAAGCAAACTGCACCTTTTTCATATAACGTGTATACTGCCAAGCCTTGTGTATTTTTAATATTGCCTGTTGTGGATCTGTGTTACCTGTCTAAATGGCCTCTAATGTTTGCGGGATTTCAGTTATCTTCCTCAACTCTGAAAAGGGCCGCCAATGAAGTTTAGAAGTGTTTTTATAAAGATGAATAAATATACATAAGAAACCACCTGCTGAATCAGGCCAGGGGCCCATCTTGCTCATCATCCTGTTCTTATAGCGACCACCCAGATGCCTGGGGGAAGCTTGGAAGCTGGACCTGAATGCCACAGCGTTCTTCCCTCCTCACCACCTCAAGAGAAGGACATAAGTTGAGAAGCTCCTAGATTGTTCTAAGGGAAAGTGTAGTGTGGTCAAACCAGCCTGTGAAACTGCTCTGCACCAAGACTGCTTCCTGCAGTTGGTCAGACTGCCTTGTCTATAAAATCTTACACCAGAAATCCTGCACTCAAAATTCCCCACAAGACCCCTCTCCAGCTATCTCGTGAGTAGCCACTGCCTTAAAACTGGACCTGCAGCGATGCCTCCACAGCTTCTATATCACTCCTTTGTCCACCCATCCTCATAGAATTGGTCAATGCATTCCACTGGTACTTTGGATGGCTTTTGCCACACCCCTATCTCCTTGTTTCAACTTTTTGAGCTGCTATTCTGCCTGTCTAAATAAGTTCCACAAATCCTATGATCGCTCTTAAGAAGGTAGGAAATGGAATCCTACTTTCTATCATGGCCTACGGAGACAGTGGATGTTGCAGCCTCAACACACACCCCAAAACAAGATTCCTTGAAGGAACCTGCTTTTAAAGTGTTCCCTGATCCAGATCCTCAGAGGGGGTTCCTGTAATTTGAATCGCATAGTTGTGAATTATTTCCTAGATGTGTGGCAGTGATGAGCAAAAGCAGTACTTGGTGTAAATGCAACCCTTAAAAGGAAAGGGGTCTTCACAAAGTCTGGAGTCCAGTGACAATGGCTGAAGCTACATGGAGCTGTTGGACTCAGGCAGAGGTCAGGAACTTGTGACCCACCAACATCCTGACCATTGGCCATGCTAGCTGGGATTGATGGGAACAGAGAGTCCGACAAGACCTCAGTGGTCACATGCTCCCAATTTCTGGGCTAGGGAACCTTACAGAAAGGCGGAAATAATGCAAAATGTGGTGGTCTGCCTTTTTAATTGCAGAGAAACCGGTTACGCAGGAGTTGGGCTTCCAGTGACCGAGGCACAAACTTTTCTTTGGTGTAGATATTAGAAGAGAATGTCTGTGTGGTTGTGGTGGTGAGGTTGCTACAACACAATGCACTGTGTACAGAAATGTGATAGCAAGCAGGCAGATTGCTTGGGTAGTGAATGCCGTCTCCCACCGATCCCATAGACAAGCTGGGGGGGGGGGATATGTCTGGGTCTTTGCCTGGGCCTTGTTTGCTGAAGAGTCTCATTGTTCCAGTTGCTTAGGGCTCCTGTTTTATTGGCCCAGGCAAGTCGCTAATGAGAGATGAGAGGATGCAGGGATTCCATGGCAGATGAGACCGGGTGGGTGCTTGTGGGGCTGGCAGTTCCCACAGTTTTTCTGACTGTCCTCTTGGGAGACAATGAAAGGAATGTCTCCTATGGTTAAAGTAGCTGTTGACATCCTATGTTCTTTGAGGCACTGGATTTAAAACTAGGAGGGATTAATCTGATGCAGCCAGAACTTCTGTTAGCATGTGTGCCCCTAACCACCCCCTTTCTCATTCATTTGAACAATGAGCTGAGCAAACAACTGGCTCTTCAATCCATTCCTCTGTCCCTGATCATCATCAGCTCAGCCTCTCCTCCACCTGCTAAGATTTGGACCACCATAAATCATCTAGGAATGGCTGTGTTGATTTCAGCAAAAATAAATAAATGGGAGGGCAGGTACATGTCAGTAAATGAATGTATAAGCTGCCTTTCCATCTTGAACAGAAGATTCAAAGGTCACAACATGTTGGAAACAGAGAAAGAGCAAGTGCAAAAGTGGCCAGTTTGTGAGCTGAAATCAGCCAAGGGAGTGATGCTGTTTGACTGATGAAACTGATTGCAACAATAGCCAGTGTAGTGAGCCACAGCTTGGCAGCATAGTGTGTGTGTGTGTGTGTGTGTGTGTGTGTGTGTGCAGGCATGAGACATGGACATGTTTAACTCCTGGCATCTCCATTTAAAGCAGGAATCACAGCATCCACAGAACTTACCTAGGCAGCATTTAATGGCATTGCAAGAAGGACTTGCAAGCAACCTAGAGCGATGGCTACAGCCTTTGTCTGTAGAGCAATTATTGGCTCCACTTTTCCAGACCAGATTAGACAATTTTCCAGTCTTTTCAGGCAAACTCCATCCCCAAGGAAAAAGACCAAGGGTGACAAAGGGGGTGGGGGTAGGGGCGGGGTATCATTAGTAATAGCTTGTGGTGCAGTAAAGTAATTTTGGACTATTGCCTTAACAGTGACAACACTTTTTAGACAGTGTTGTGTATAATACACTTCACTTCAAGCTATGGAAAACCAGTCCTCTGTTTATGCCAACTTGCCTGCTCATGTTGCCGAGTGGGACCCTGGATGCCTGTTCCAAAGTCTTGATGATGCCACTGGCAAGAGTTGTGGTGCTCTGACTGGGTGAAGATTTCTGCACATGATTCTTGGGTATATGAATTTTGGGGTGATTTACATCACATGCTCAAGAGACCTCTTAAAATTATCCTTCTCCCTGGACCAGACCATGTCAGGCAGTGGGATGTGGGGGTTGAACTGCCTGGGTGAATACTCTCTCCCACCCACAAATTTCTGGGTAGAGAAGAACTAATGCAGCCTAGCAAAAGACAAGAATTCTTACCTTGGTAGGAGATTCTCTTACTTTCAGCATTCAAGGTGCTGTTGATGTGCAGGAGCATTCCACTGTGCAACTGCTCCACCTCCAGTCCAATTATACAGAATAAGCTCTAAGGTGCAGCGTTCTTCCAGTGGCCCATCCATTTTTGTTCCTTAGTGTTCAGGCCATTTATCACCACATTAGACCAGAGATTGACAATCAGTAACCCTCAGGTGGGGTTGGACTCCAGCTCTCATCATCCCCAGCCCAAATGGTCAGTGATGATGGGAGTTGGAATCCAAAACATCTGGAGAGTCACAGGTTCCCCACTAGATCCAAAAAAAGAATCTTCTTCACCTCCAACAGCTAACCTACTGCCATTGACTTGGAAGTTGTCTTGTATTTGTACAAGAGATGGACACAGCCATTCCCAAGGAGCAAAATAATTTTGCAAAGCCCTGAAATGGGTGCATGATCCAATCGCACTGGGGTTCCCAAACTGGGAAATTAGTCCATTGGTTACCACACTTCTTCTTGGACCTGGGGCTCCAGATAGACTACCCAGCCTCCTTCAAAAGACAGGAAGAGGTGGTCAGAGAACCTAGGCTGAGCAGAGAAGTCAGACCCATTTCAATAGATTTGTCCAACCATTTCCCTCAAGCGAGACTGAACAGGAGGGGCAGCAGGGAGGGTATAGCTATGGCAAAGAAATATTCCCTGAGTTGTTGTGGATCAAACACAAAGGTGACTGTCATTTAGTCGTAAGGGGCAGACATGGGTAGAGCTGTGAGGGCAGCTTCTACCAAAACAGGAATCACCACGAGACTTTTATTGCTCCAAAGGGCACCTATAAGAGTGAATTTAACCTGTAGGATGAGCATTGGGGAGAAAGGATAGCATCTATCTCTACCAAAATGGCAAGATCCAGCCTGGGATTGTGCTTCTATATCTTTTAAATCGAGTTATTTAAATGCAGCACTTGACCCGGCACCTGCTTTCTGCAGGCATTGGGTGTGCAAGGGAGTTCCCTATGGGCAGGTCCCTTGTGCTGGCTAATCCAGAAGCCTTGGCTCTACTGCCCCTCAACTGCTCTTCTTTGCCTATACAAAATCATGAGTACACTTTAGGGCTTCTGATGGTACATTTGCAGCCACATTTCTACTTGCCCCACATCTTGTGGTCTCTGGTGTCAGGCATGTGGGTGTGGTTTTGACCAAGTAAATGTGTTTAGGATCTGGATGAAAGGTTAGTTTGGGCCCTTTCTTTGGGCTCGTTCGCACTTCCCCTTGTCCCATACCTAGAAAGTATGGCTTTGAGCAATTTTGCCTTTGCCCAGCAACTGTCCCCTGGAAAACCGGCACTTTAGCGGTGATTTGGAACCAAGGACAATCTGTGGGGAAACCCAATTGCCCTTCGTTCCCATTCAGTGCTAAACCATGGGGGTTTTTTTGGGGGGGGAGTGGTGGGGCAAACAGAAATGTGGGTGAGCCCTTGCACTCATGGAGATATCCATTCATCAGAACAACCAAAATTTTCAGTCAATGGCTCACAGATACCATCACAATTGTCATTGTCTCCAAGAGACAAGCATTTTCTTGAGATAGGAAAAACGATCTTTTCTTCAGCCTACTATATATCTTGCAAACTGAATGTGTTTGCTTAATGTCAGCTGAGGACTTAAACAAGTTCCACTTGGATGGGAGCTGTAGAAAACAGCTTGGTGGTTTCGATCTAGCCAGCAATTAGAGAAATAGGTCTGAGGTTTAAAGCAGGCTGGCAGCCAAGTAAGCTAAAAAAAAAAAACCCCACCTAAGACAAATATTGAGTTAGAAGCAAGGTCTTGCTTTCCATTTCTGCGGTTGTAATTTGTGTAATGTTAAATAGCCACCTGCACCTTTTGGTTTGAACCAAACTGTCAGAGAAACCGGGTTTTAGTGGCAGAGCACATGGGCCACAAGCAGAAGGTCCCAGGTTCTGTCCCCAGCATCTCCAAATAGAATTGGGACAGTCCTGAAACTCTGAGGTGGTGCTGCCAGTCAGTGCAGACGGAGGGGTAGCAAATGTGATGCTCTCCAAATGCTATGTACTGCATGCTCCCATCAGCCTCAGACAGCATAGCCAATAGCCAGGAGTGATGAATGTTGTTATCGAGGGAACACTGAATAGGTTCCAGCATAGTGTAGTGGTTAAGAGTGGTAGATTCGTAATCTGGTGAACCGGGTTCGCGTCTCCGTTCCTCCACATGCAGCTGCTGGGTGACCTTCTGCTAGTCACACTTCTTTGAAGTCTCTTAGCCCCTCAGTGTTTGTTGTGGGGGAGGAAGGGAAAGGAGAATGTTAGCTGCTTTGAGACTCCTTAGGGTAGTGATAAAGCAGGATATCAAATCCAAACTCCTCCTCCTCCTCCTCCCTGCCCCTGAAAATATATTGAGCTAGATGAACCAGCTGCCTCACGTGGTACAATGCAACTTTCTATTAATCCAAAGCAACTGATCCAGATAGCAAGAGCTTCTGCTTCTCAGCAGATGGTGGCAGCTCTTTCCCTAGTACATCTTAAGGGTGGATTTAGCCTTAAAGGTGAAGCTGTAGTAACTAGACTCTCATCTAAGCAAGTAACCTCTGAGATGCTGGAGGAAGAGAGGGGGTTAGGACTCTATCGTTTTCTAAGGGAGCCCAGGGATGACACATCCACTTAATATCCCAGGCACTTTCAGATTCCTCCTCCTCCCAATAAGGAAAAAAAAGATTCCACACTGTCAGTGCATCAGACTGTTTAACAGCGGCAACCAATCATCAGCAATGGTTTTCTGCACGCCCACTAATGTACAACGAAGCCAGCATCTGTTGGATAACAGGATTTTGTCCCAGGTCTCCCAGATGAGGTCTCTGAATCTTCAGTAACCACATGCAAACTAAAGTGGCACCTCTGAGGCTTCCTAGTCGTCATTCCTAGACCAGGAACTGCCCAGCCAGCTTCTACAAAGAGGAAGGAAAGAAGCACATTTCTTTCTCTAAGGAAGGCATCTTCCAGATTTTTCACAGGCTACCCCTTATTTGCTGCAAGGAGCCTTTTGATTCTGTGGCTAGCGCTTAGATGTGGCCTTCTGCCTTCAGAGAGGAAGGAGCTTCAGGGTCTGCGATGAGAAAGATCTTGCCTGATTCAAGGAGCGGTCTGATATCTCCCTCCAGTTTCCCCCAAGCATTGCAATCCTTCCCCATATTACTGTCCTCCCCTTCTTGACCTGAATAGCTCTCCCCAAGCTATTTTGACTACCGGGGAGTCAGATTTCCTGGTGGTCATGGGGTGGCAGTCACTGTGATTGTCACATTAACTGGAGGGTCATCAGCAGTGGGATCTGGGACAGGCGCTGGAGCTGGGGCTTCTTCCTGGGCAACGGCCGAATCCTCTGGGGCTTCTGTACCCTCCCCGGGGCTAACCTCTGTAAAAGGAAGAAACACATGCACAAAGTATATAAGGAACAGTGGTACCTTGGGTTACAGACGCTTCGGGTTACAGACGCTTCAGGTTAAAGACTCTGCTAACCCAGAAATAGTACCTTGGGTTAAGAACTTTGCTTCAAGATGAGAGCAGAAATTGTGTGGCGGCGGTGGCAGCGACAGCAGGAGGCCCCATTAGCTAAAGTGGTAACTCTGGTTAAGAACAGTTTCAGGTTAAGAACGGACCTCCAGAACGAATAAAGTTCTTAACCCGAGGTACCACTGTACTTGTGAGAGGTGGCATAGGAAGGGGTGTGCGGTGGGTGCGGGTCATCACTGAGGAGGGTGATCGTGGGCCTGGCCTGCAAGGTGCCTGAACCACACCTCTCTCTTGGGGAGTGATGCAGTGGCTCAGGCACCTGCAGGCTCCACGCTGCCTGAAATGGCAACGTGGGGCTTGTGGACACCATGGAGGTTCTGCACAGCATGCTCTGTCCTGGCTTGCCCTCCCCCAGGTTTAGGGCATTTGCGCCGCCCCGGGTGCCTGAGCAGCTAGCTATGCCACTGCTTGTGAGCTGATGGGGGAAAGGCAGTCAACAGGAGACGAAATGCAAAAAGACTTTAAAAGAGTATTTATGTATGCAAAAACAGCCACAAGAATGCTGCTCATCCAGAAGTGGAAGGAAGAGAAAGTCCTAACCAAAGTAGAGTGGCTAACCAAGATGATGGATTATGCCGAAATGGCAAAGATGACCGTGAAGATCAGACAACAAGATGATTTAAAAAAAAATAGTCATGAGTGAGGAAAAGAATGATAGAATATCTTAAAGACCACTGTAGATACTTAAAAACGTTAGCAGGCTTGTTATCGCACTTATAATGTAATATGATTTAAGGTAAAAAAGGAGATAAAACGGATTAGATAAATGTAATTATATGTAATAGAATGAAAAGGAAAATTGGAAACCAGGGGTGAGGGGTGGGGAGTCCAGGGATCTAAGCAGTCCCAGATGTATAGAAATTGAAAATGTCTTAAATGTATAAGAATGTTGTTTTCAAAAAATGAAAAATAAAACATACATTTTTAAAAACGAAAGGCAGTCAATAGTTTCTGCCTATGTACACATGACATTCTATTCTAGAATCAATGGAAACTGCATACTTGAGGGGTTTTTTGTTTTTTTTAATGTAGCCCGCACACGATCTAGACCTATGGCACATATTTTTTGCCCAGAAAAGTGCTTCTTGAGAAATAAGTCCCTTTCTGAAGAGAAGGACTCATTGCTATTCGATTCTGTATTACCCTGCCAGGTGTCCATTTGGAAAGAAATGGAGGAAGTCCCAGCAACTGGGGGATATATCCACATCTGCGTAATGGCATTGTGAGTGGGCATATAACAAGATTGCAACCACTTCCTTCTTCATTCACCTGCCTCGTGCGCGGTGAGGAAAAGGCAGGGGAAATCTAATCAAAGGAAGCTTGTCAAATGTGTATCAAGTAGCCATGCCCAGCCATGAACAGCAAGAACTAGAACAGGCATCCCCAAACTTGGCCCTCCAGCTGTTTTGGGACTACAACTCCCATCATCCCTAGCTTAACAGGACCAGTGGTCAGGGATGATGGGAATTGTAGTCCAACAACAGCTGGAGGGCTGAGTTTGGGGGTTCCTGATCTACAATAAACCTAGACTGAAAGCAGCATGTTGACAACTCCAAATTGAGAAAAGGTACATTTTGGTGCTACAAACATTTGCATATACAGGTCTCTGTAATTTTTTGCTAGAATCTGTTACTAAGTTCCTTCCTTCCTTGGACCATTCATTGGAAAGGGGCAAAAGGAAAGTAAGATGGGGAGAGATTTTCTGAAGAGAGGCCTGCCCTTTACCTCAATTAAACCTTTTGAGGTTGCCAAGGCTTTTCCATTTAGCCCCACATCATTTGCAGTGGCGTGAGGCTCTTGTCCTGTCTCTGTAATTTCTCACCAGCGTTGCCACATCACTGCGTGTTGCATCCCTTCCAAGGCATTCCAGGAAGTGCGGCTCGTGGGAAGGAGCACGAGACTCTTCCCACAGGTCACACGTCCTAGCAAGACCCAGTCAGGTGAGCTGCACCCACTTCTGAACACTTCAGAGAAATCCCTTCCCTCCCCCTTTGCAAAAGAACATGGGGCAGAGAACCAGCCCCTATTTTTGCAGGATGAGAGCGTTTGGGGAAAACAAGGGAGGGATTGTTGACCCAGATTGTTGACTCCTAGGTCCGACACTTTGTCCCAATGAAATGCAGGTTTTGTGCTTGCAGGCACACAGAAACAATGCCTAACAATGGCAAGTTGGGTGCAAGGAGTTTGTTTTGTATACGTGTGATCTTTTTGTGTGCTTTGGGGAATGCAGCGACTCAGCACGGTCAGAATCGTGGAATGTGACTGAACAGAAGCAGGGCAGGAGGGCGCTGAGACTTCCTATATTTTTCAATGAAAACCAAACTCTCGTCATACAAAATTCCAGCTTCAATTACAAAAAGAGAGAACAGATTCATGTGCCTAATTAGGAAAGTTGGACGCTGCTGCTGCTCCCAAAGAGGCAAGCTGCTGTTCAGTTTAAAAGAGAGCTTGCCTCTTCGAAACTGGGAATGGCAGTGACATTTATGTACTTATAAATACACAACCGTTTCCATTCCAGAGAACCAAGTTTCTGAATGGATGAACTGAGCTGCACTATGTCAAAAGGCATGTAAAATCTGCACTCATTGGTGCCTTTGTCCACACATGTGAGTCACCAGTTCCTGCTGTGGTTGCCAGTCCTCCAGAGTAGATTTTCAGAGGCACAATGGGTTTTCCAAGAAAAGGGATAACCACACCAATTCTTCCCCTGGTGGGAGCTTCACACGAGCGGAACTCCACTTAGGGGATGCTCCCACAAGTAGAAGCCTAGTTTGGATGCAAGTCAACTTTGTTAATCCGGTGATGGTGGAGGTCTGCCATCGGTTTACCTGCTGCTGTTTCCTCGGCTTCCGTGGAAGGCTCTCCAAGCTGCTCACTGGTCCCTCCTTCCATCCCTGCTGCTGTCTCAGCATCTTCTGGAGTGCTGATGTGCTCACGGGCTTCTCCGCCAGCCCTAAAAGGGAGTGTACACAAGAGACATAGAAGGAAAAAGTGAAGACACAGCTAGAAACATCTCGAGTCTTTTGGCTCTCTCACATCCATACTATTCCTACAATCATGTGTTCACAATTTCGGTTCTTTAGACTTGGGTGGAGCTTGGGCTTTTCTTGAGTGTTTTACTCTGGCAAGTGTCCAATATAAAATCTCCTAAGTTCTCTCTCTCTCTCTCTCTCTCTCTCTCTCTCTCTCTCTCTCCTTTTCAAATTTATACATTTCACTGATTTTGCAATCATTTTGACATTTCAAAACTTGAATTCCTTCCCCCTATTTCTGCGGTTCCTCAAATTTATTTTTAATATCTTCTGCATATCCAAATTAACTTAATTTGTTCATTGATTCATCTTCTTTAAATATATACTCTAATGAAACTGCAAGTTATTGCAATAGTCCTGCCAATGTTCTTATCTGTTTACAATTTATCTGGAAATACTCAATAAACCATTTCCATTCTTTTATAAAAAGTTTGTTATCCTGATTTCTTATGCTTCCGGTAAGTTTCACCATTTCTGCATATTCCGTAAGTTTTTGTATCCATTCTTCTTTCACTGGGACTTCTGCTTCTTTCCATTTGGGGGCAAGTAACATTCTTGTCGTAAGGTCTCTGTCAACTGACATCTTCTGCCAAATGCTAAGCCTGGCACCATAGCTGCAAAATTGTTATTTGCCCAAAAATGGAAGGAAGAAGAGGTCACAACGAGAGAAGAATGGTTACAGAAACTAATTCAGAAAGGGCAAAACTTACCGGAAGAATAAGAAATCAAGATAACAGACTTTTTAGATAGCAATGGAAATGGTTTATTGAGCATTTACAAATGAGCTGTAAACTGATCGAGACATTGGCAGGATTATTCTAAAAACCTGCAGCTTCAAAAATATATATGAGATATATATATATATATATAAGAATAGATGAAGAAAATAAAAAGTTAAGATAATTTGGAGTACGCGGGAAAGGATGAAAATAAATGTAAAGAACCACAAAAAGAGGGGGAAGGGAGTTGAAGTTGGAAATGTTAAAATTATGGTTGAGTAGTTGTTGTAATGTATACAAACGAAAATTATAAATAAAATCATATATATATATATAAATGCTAAATTTGACAGCCAGTACACAAAACAGCAACAACCAAATATTAAAAATAAGCATCGAGGTCATATATGAAACATTGAAATCAAATGGCAGTAGATATTCAGTATTGACAAAATATTTAAAGGCTATCTGGAAGTGTGTGTACACACTGACATATACACACACTGCAAAGCCATGAAATTCATGATTCCTCCCATCTCCTGAGCCATCTAGGTGGCAAGTCACAGTTTATATTCTGGGCAGTAAGATGGGGTGGGGGGACCAGAGGTCCTCCAAATTTTGTTGAACTCTGATTCCCATCAGCCTTGAACTTTGCTGCATGGAGCTGATGAGTGTTGCAGTCCAACAACATCTGGAGAATTTCAGGGTCCCCATACCTACAGCAAGGGCTCCTGAAGCACCTGTAGCTTGCCATTGGTTTGCTGCAGGAAGAGATGCAAAAACCCTCACAGTCCCTTCCAATTCTATGACTTCTTGTTCAAACTGGAACATTGACAGGGCCACAACAGACTTTGCTGTATCTGATTCCTGTCTTGTGATTCCTGGTTTATGATTCGTGCCTATCAATTCTTGCTCAACAGCTGCCTACAACCCAACTCTGACAAGCTCTGACATCAAAATTAGCAAAGGAAAATTCTGGGAAGAACATTTATTTTGGCATAAAGTGTTCCATGGGGTCTAGCTGTTTGAGCTGTGAATGCAGACCACTTGCAGTCAAGAGGTTGCTCTCCATATGTTGTTCTCCACGCCCATCAGCTCCAGCCAGCATAGGCAATGATTAGGAATGATGGGAGTTATAGTCCAATATCTGTAAGGCTGGACCATATTCGCTATCCCTAACATAAGTCAACAAGAGCAAATGAGAGCAGGAATCGATGAGTGACAGAGGACATAAGAGGCAAAGAATAGAAGCTACCACTTACATTCTGAAGAGCAGGTCGTGTAACCCTGTAACATAATAAAGCAAAGAGACCACATCTTTAGAACTATGTTGCAGGAACAATGGCAAAATTAAACCCCGTCCTCAAAACCCAGGGAAAGGGAGCTTCAGAGATGAGGCTCACCCTCACAAGACATGTTTGTAGCATGGGTGGAGAACCTGTTGGAGAACAGGTGTTGCTGGGCTACAGTGCCATTGGCTGGCATCTGTCTCGAGAGCCAGTGGAGTGTGCCTCCGGGGGTGAAGTCCAATGGCTGCATTAGCAGCAGTGAAGTGCCCTCCCCAGGGTACAAGCCTGAGCACTAAACCTGGCTACACTATTGGCTACACCGGTAGAGGCTGATGGGAGTCAGACTCCAGCAAGATCTGGAGGACCACCAGGTTTCTCCAGTGCAAGAAATAAATCTGTCCTGCAGCAACGAGCCACTTGCTTCGAGCAAAAGCAGAACGGACTCATGACTTTGCATGGCTATAGGAAACATTTCACTTGATCTACTTTGGCATTATACCTTTGTTGTGTTCAGATGGGAAGAGAGCCCCCCTGGTCACTAACCTGGGGGCTGTAGGCGTCATGGTGGATCTCTCTCTCTCTGCCTCTCTTTCTTTCTCTGTCTCATCTATTCCACCCTGTTTCAGTTCAGTACACACCACAATGCATCACCATGTTATCTAGGCAAGGCCCCACTGATTGTACCCCTGGATGGCTGTGCTATTTTGACTTCTTTGTCTCTCTGCTTCGCTCCACATCAGACTTCAGCTGCACTTGCTGAGCAAGAGGAGGAACTTGGGAAACTGCCTTGCGCCGAGTCAGACCATCTATCTCTTGTCTTGTCAACACTGACCAGCAGCAGCTTCCAACAATTTCAGTGCAGCTTACAGAGTCGAAACACAATTGTGGCACAAGACAGATAAAATGTAAGTGCATCATAAAGAAATGGGGGTGAGGGGAGAGGCTGAGCATATGCCCTCCTAGTGGTGCAGGAATAAAACTGTGAGCACATTTGCAAAGCTAAGCAGGGTCCGACATGGTTTCAGATTGGATGGGAGACCGTCCATTGCAGGGGGTTGGGTTCCTTCCAACTCTATGATTCTAATCTGTACCAAGATAATGCCTACACCAAGAGGTGTGTCCTGGAGAAGAAGGGGGAGTCTAGTGAGAATCCCGAGGGTGAAATAGAGATGCCTCAGGGCCACATTCAGCCACAGGGCCTGTGGTCACCCCCCACCTCCCCATGACTCAAGGCCCTTTATTCTTTGCCCTTGAAGAGATGCCTTGAATAACACCCCAATCTTGGAAGGTCTTTGTGGAACCCCTTGAGTTAGCAGCAGCAGGGAGGGCAATTGCCCAGCAGTCAGACACTCACTTGGATTGTTCTCCCGGTTCCGAATGATGTACTGGAACACCAGGAGGGATGTAACTGTTGCCACTATCATTCCTGCCACTGCGGCACCAATCACTGCAGGGTAAGCGTTAAAAGGAGGGTCGGCTGCAAGAGAGAGGAAGCTGCTGTTGAAGGCCACAGAGTCATACCACAACTGGATCATCAGGACCCCAGAACATGCTATAGCAAATGGATCTCAGCATCACACATCACAGGGGCTTCCGGCATACCAGTCTGTGGAAACGAGGTTCTAAATATTGCCTCTGCTGAGCATCTTTCGAATTTCGGCTTTCACATAGGGCCCCTGCAAACTGGTGTTTCCTTTGGCGGGTGCATTCTGCTAAATATGTGACTAATGCATTGCTGCTGGATTCATACAGGAGCATCCACTCCTCATTCCATTTCATTGGTCGATCTATTATGATCCCCTAATATTACCGCGTTGTTGCTGTCTGGGGAGGCACTCTTGCGCTATAGCACAGCAAAAGCAGGGGGTGGAATGGGGCAGAATGGAGCATTTGTGGTATGAACAGTTACCAGATTTCAGCAGAAGTCCCAGGAACTGTGTGGACTGGAAATGAAGCAATATTGCCTACACTGAAATTTTGCAGGCACAAACAGTATCGAAAGCTGGGTGACTAACAACCACCTGATCATAGCTGTCAACTTTTCCCCTTTCTTGTGAGGAATCCTATTCTGAATAAGGGAATTTCCCTTTAAAAAAGGGAAACGTTGACAGCTATGACCCTGATACCATCAGGAGCACCTCTGCCTCACTCCGATTCACCCATTACTCTCCTGACGCTGATTTTAAGCTTTTTTGTGGGGGGGAGTCATAAAAGCCAATCACAGATTGTCCACATTAACATGCCAGTTGGTCCTTGGCAGCACTGTGCTATTGGAGAATTCTTTCTCTGCTAAAGGAAGCCCTCAGTGAGGCTTTACACAAACTCTCCTCAGGCTCCTCCCAGGGAGCCTGCTCATTCCAGGCTGCCGCATCTGTTTCCAATCTCCTCCATTTTCCCAAGAAAATAGTTTGCTTGTTTTTCTTGAGTGTTTCGTTTTGGTTTTGCACCTTCCTTAAAGCTGTCCCCGACCTGCACCCAGACTTGTTGCAACAGCTGCTGCCCATATGGAGGGGAGAGGCAGCCGTTTTCGCCTGGCACCAGCAGAGTTAAGCCAAGATGTGCGGGGAATATTGGGCAGAAGGCAGAACAACTGGACTGCAGGTGGAACTTGGCTCCCAGGTCAACAAGGAACCCAAAAGAGAAGCCCCTTTACAGAGCCTGTAAACATTGCTGTGTGCATCATAAACTATATAAGTTCCACAAATAGTTTCTGGGGCACCACAGTCCTAGAGATAAGTGCTGTTTCTTCAATTCTCCAGGAGTTATGGTGGCCGGCTGTATACTGTCTCCAGTACAGACCCTCCAAGTATCCCTTTTTCCCCATCTGCCATAACAAATGTGAGCAAATGAGCTAAGGTGATTTTACAATAAACAGCTGATCATGTCAAAATCTGCAATGGGACCATGAGAAGCTGTTCTCTAGTTGCACCTTTAGGACCTGGAAATGGTTGTGAACAAGGATCCTCCCCCACAAAGGGAACAGGGAATCCTATAAACTGTTGTTCCGTAAGGGAGATCCAAAGGCTTCTAGCTAAGAAACTCAGAGCACCTGATCAAACTACAGTACCCCATAAGAACGCTGAGAAGCCACTGGCAGTTAACAAACTGGTGTGAGACCGACATAATTTTGCAGTGTGTGTGTCTGCCGTATGGTACAGCAAACTGTATCTTCCCTCTATGGCATCACGCAATCACAAGCCCTATTATGCAATATGGGATGTGCAAGAAATACATATAATGGGTGGGGAAAATGGGCTCTGCCACCAGGCTCTGTTTGATCAGCTGAACATCTAGAATGACACCTTTGCACATGTATCTGAGCTTTCAGTGCTCAGATCAGGCTTTCCCAACCTGGTGCCCGTCAGATGTTATTTGACTACAGTCCTGATCGTTCCTGGCCATTGACCATAATGGTTGGGACTGACGGGAGTCCCAACACTTGGAGGGCAACAAGTGTTGGAGAAGAGCGACACACAATCTCTCTTTGCGACAGAGAATTCTGCAAAAGGTTCCCAGTGACAAGTCACATCCGCCCCATACATTTAAAGCATGAGAATTCTCCCAAAGAATCCTGGGAACTGCAATTTGTTATGGGTGCTCGGAAGTGTAGCTTTGTGGGGGGTAAACTACAGTCCCCATGACTCTTTAAAGGAAGTAAAAGGTAAAGGGACCATTAGGTCCAGTTGTGGCCGACTCTGGGGTTGCGGTGCTCATCTCGCTTTATATGCCGAGGGAGCCGGCGTACAGCTTCCGGGTCATGTGGCCAGCAGGACTAAGCCGCTTCTGGCGAACCAGAGCAGCACACGGAAACGCCGTTTACCTTCCTGCCGGAGTGGTACCTATTTATCTACTTGCACTTTGACGTGCTTTCAAACTGCTAGGTTGGCAGGAGCTGGGACCGAGCCACGGGAGCTCACCCCATCATAATGTGCTTTAAATGTGCTCTCACTGTATATGTTATAGACATTACAGAGCCTGTTAATCCAGAATGTTTGGCTGAATTCAGAGAGGCTGAGGGCTGATCCACTGGATGCAGTCTTGATCTTCCATCTCTGATCAAATAACCTGGTCCTTTCCTCCTTTGTCAAGAGATCTCATTTTTCGTATGTTTGGGAGATCTTGCAGTGAAAGCCCAGCTCTGTCAAACCCACTCAAATGACAGGCAGGGGTTTATATCGAAGGAACCCCAAGCTAGCAAGCGAAGAAGCAATTCCTTTCCAATGAGCCTGGTGGGCATGTCTTAGATAGGAGGGCGGAGAACACTTCCCAGAAGAAGAAGACGAAGGAAAATAATCCATGGCAGGAAGGATTAACCAAACCATGCAATTAAGGAGAGATGATGGGGCACAGGAATGACAACTCCATCCAAAAAGAAAAAGAAAACCACCCAAAAAAAAACAAACAACAACTCACCCATCAGATATAATTTGCCCCGCCTGATCCCTGTAGCATGCAGCAGCCTGTACCACTTGGTTTTGCAAATCTAAATCCAGCCTCATGCAGTGCAGCAAGACAAGAAAAGCAGAGGAAGCTGAGCCGCTCCCCGATGCAAAAGAAGATCAGCAACAGCAGCACAATTGAACACACACAGAGAGGGAGCAAAAGCAAAGGCACTGGGAGAAGCAATGGCAAGAAGCAGGTTCTTTCTGGTCACTGCAATCACATTCCAGACTCAAGAAGCACTTCCCCCTCTATCCTGTTTCTCATCTAACCTGGCTTTGGCTCCCAGCTAACCCAGGATTGTGTCTGCTATGACTGGCAACAACTCTTCAGGGTGTCTCAGGTAGGTCCTCCTTATCATCTGCTACTACTTGATCCTACCACCTGGGACATTCTGCATGCAAAGCACCTGCTCTGTCCCAGAGCTATGGGGTCTTAACTCACAGGGCAGCCTATGCAACACATCTACTCTCCCCACAATGAGATTACCCCACAGCCATCCTCCCCCTGTGGCTGTTCTGCTCCATCATGTTGCATTTGTGATTTAACCCACCACCTCCACCAGACAGACACAGAGAATGAACTGCCACAGGGTTTCATGTAAACACTTATCTTCCAAGCGAAGTGGATTCAGATTTTGCAGCCCTCAAATGGCACACGTACCACCTCCAGCTTTGAAATGCTCCCCATAGTTTGAGAAGGGGGCATTTGCTTCACTCCCCCACAAACCACTCGAAAAAAGAATCCACTTTTAATGTTTGTTCGGGGTTTTTTGTGCTCTCTCCCAACACACACTCCCTATTTACATCCTGAAATCTGCTCTGTTAGGGATGAAGAAATGGCTCATGACTGACACAAGGATCAGCCAATTCACACTGTTACACAGCCAAGCTCTGAAAAGATGGAGGGAAGTTCCTTCAGTCTAGAGCAGGGGTGGGGAACCTGTGGCTTTCCAGATGTTGTCTGACTCTAAAAAAGGATGGAAGAAAAATTCATGGAGGAGAGAGCTATCAAAGGCTACTAGCCACAATGACTGTACTCTGGCTGGCTCCATAGTTGAAGGCAGTAATGCTTCTGAAAACCAGTTGCTGAAGACCACAGGAAGGAAGAGTGCTCTTGTGCTTAAATCCTACTTGCAGGTTTTCCACGAGCATCTGTGCTACTATGAGACCAGAATGCTGTACTTGATGGGCCATTGGCTTGATTCAGCAGGATCCTCTTGTGTTCTTATTATGTCTGACCATTGCCCATGCTACTCCAGCAACCTCTGGAGGGTCTCCATTTCCCCACCCCTGGTCTAGAGAAATATATATTTTCTGCAGAGTCCCTTTAACCAACTTTTAGAACTTTGCACCAAATGGATTGGCATTTGGGTTTTTAAAGGCATGGATGGAAAGCCTCTTCCTTCTGCCTAATCTGTTCATATCAGTGGGAGAAGTAATCGCAACTACATCACTTGGAGATCAATGGTGACTGAGCAATTGTCAATACAAAATATTAAACTAAATTCTGAATCACTCAGAAGACTATATGGATATAGCAGACTGTGCAAATCAAAGTCTGAATATAAAGCATCTGGGTCTTCCCAGATAAGAGCTGAAACCCAACAGCCTTCGAATCTAATTAACAGATGTGTTTATTTATTGCATCAGTCCCATTAAAACAAACAAACAAACCACCAACCGATCATATTATTTCTTACATATCCGAAAAGAATTGATTGCTTCTTGGGAGAAAGGGCTAAGTTTGCCCCCCCCATCCAGATGCCCAGCTCTTCCCCCGGCTCACATGAATCTACCATGTGGCCCTTAGGAAGGGGGTCACCACAGCTCCCAAGTTGACTTCTGTCACAGCCTGCAGAGGAATGCTGTCACCCTAGCTACCCACGTCACCTGGTGTCTTTACTTCAGAGGGGTGCCCAGTCGTCCGGTGGTTGACAGCCAAGATGCGGAAGGCATACACAATTGCAGGATCCAGCCCGCCCAGCCTCTGGTCGCGGGTGTCAGGGTCAATATCGCTGACTACTGTTTCCCAGCTGCTGGCCAGCTGGTTTTTGGGAGCCTTCTTTGCTTCCCTCATCTGGACCACAAAGCTGGTCAAGTTCCCTGAGCCCTGGGTCTGCCACTCCAGTTCCACCTCTGTGCGGTGGCGAGTGTACATCAGCTTGCTGATTGTCACATTGGGCGGGGAGGGGTACTCTGCAAAGGAGGAGAAGGGTATTCAGTTAGTCAGTCAGTCTTGGCAAACCTCATACCTGCCATTGCTTGGGAATTCCAAGAAATCAAAAATTCAGTGCACTTTGGAAAGGTTCAGTTCACGTATTGATTCAAAATGGTATTCACCGTATTTTTTGCCCCATAAAACGCACTTTTTTCTTCCTAAGATGTAAGGGGAAATGTCTGTGCATCTTATGGAGCGAATGCGTGGTCCCTGGAGCCGAATTGCCCAGGGGCGAAAAGCAGATCATGCTTTTTTTTTTTGAAAGAGGGAAGGGGGTGTTGAAAGGAAGCAGCTGATCGGGGGGAGAGATAAGGGACGCTAGAGATAAAGGAGGCTACCTGGGAGGGGGGAGGTAAAAGCACATGGATCCTCAGGATTTTTGCATTGGGTCACCCCAAATTCACCATCAGATCACATGTCTGTGGCCACAGCATGAACCACAAAAATGATACATCCACTCTTTCATTCAGAATATTTTTTTTCTTGTTTTCCTCCTCTAAAAACTAGGTGCGTCTTATGGTCACGTGCGTCTTATGGAGCGAAAAATACGGTAGCTGTACCCCAACACAGATGAAAACCTCCTCCTTGAGAGCACAACATTTGTCAAAGATAAAAAGAAATAATATGGATAAATAATTACTACATGCAGTAAAAAGGATACAGATCTTCACTTGTAGATTAATAGATTATTGAATGTGTTAACACGAATAGAAGTTCTAAATACTGCAGTTGCTGAATACGGATTATTATTTTGATTGGCATGTAACTGGATTAAATTAGATTTTGGAAGCAGAATTAAAAGAAATTATCAAATCTGTAATTCTAGCATGTGGGGAACCACCAAATTTATACAATTGGAAAGTTGATTAATTGATATTTGATTTGGTATTGTGATTTGAAATGGATATAATGAGGCTTATTTTGGATTCTTGTAACTAAAAACTTATTAAAAAATTATTTTAAAAAAAGAAAGAAAACCTGCTCCTTGAACATGGAAAATTGGGTTACTATATCTTAAGAGGTGTCCAAATGTATGCAGTTTGGAATGTTTCAGTCCGCCATCTTGATTCAAAATGGTGTCCAGCTGTATCTAAACAGAGACAAAAACCTGCTCCTTGATCTCAAAAACTATAATGCAAAATTTGCTTACCAGGTACATAAAAGGTAAAGAAGAAGAAGAAGAAGAAGAGTTTGGATTTGATATCCCGCCTTTCATTCCCCTTCAGGAGTATCAAAGCGGCTAACATTCTCCTTTCCCTTCCTCCCCCACAACAAACACTCTGTGAGGTGAGTGGGGCTGAGAGACTTCAAAGAAGTGTGACTGGCCCAAGGTCACCCAGCAGCTGCATGTGGAGGAGCAGAGACATGAACCCGGTTCCCCAGATTACAAGACTACCACTCTTAACCACTACACCACACAGGTAAAAGACCCCTGACAGTTAAGTCCAGTCGTGAACAACTCTGGGGTTGCAGTGCTCATCTCGCTTTACTGGCCAAAGGAGCTGACGTTTGTTGACAGACAGTTTTCTGGGTCATGTGGCCAGCATGACTAAGCCGCTTCTGGTGAAACCAGAGTAGCTCATGGAAACGCCGTTTGCCTTCCCGCCAGAGCAGTACCTATTTGTCTACTTGCACTTTGATGTGCTTTCGAACTGCTAGGTTGGCAGGAGCTGGGACTGAGCAACGGGAGCTCACCCCGTCGCGGGGATTTGAACCGCCGACCTTCCAATCAGCAAGCCCTAGGCTCAGTGGTTTAGACCACAGCGCCACCCACGTCCCACCAGATACATAGCTTTCCAAAATGCACAGCAGATACATCCTGCCTTTTCTCCAAGGGGTTTATGATAGCATGCATAAGAATCCTATTGGGAAGTTTACAAACAGGACACAACATCAATAGCCACCCCCCCCCCCCTGCTCCTGCTGTTGCTCTACAGAAACTATCACTCGGAGACGCGATGCTGTCCCCTGGATCTGGAGGTTGCACATAGCCATGGATAAACACTTTGTCTACAAATGAGTTATTCGCTGTGCTGTTGCATCAACACAATCAAGAGCAGTCAATGTGTTGTGGGATCTCATCCCCCCATCTCCATGCCTTGAATCCATAGTACCCAACTTTAGAGTATCAAGCAGAGAAATCCAAACGATAGGAAGCCAGCGTAATTTATAGTGGGAGAAATTATGGCCGTGAAATTTACCCCTATTGCGAGCTGGCTAAAGCCTGGCAGAGGGAACCAAGCTTTTAAAACAGAATTAAACTTACACCACACTTTTTCCCAGCATCAATTCTGCTGGGTTACTCAGTCATGTGACATGTGAATGGAGTTTGGAATAGAAGATTTGGAGATATGCTTCAGAGGTCCAGACTATGGGGAGCCCGGAAAAATTAATAATTACAATTTAGACTATAATTGGTCATTTTTTTATTTTAGTTTATTATTTTTAATTGGATTATGATTCAGATATGCTGATTGGCTGTTTTTATTGGAAAATCAATAAAAAAGATTTTTTTAAAAAGAAAGAATGGAGTTTGGAATAGGGGCAAGTCTCCCCCAGCCCCACCCTACCTCTGACGCTCCCCTGGAACACCCCTTTTGCAGAATTTACCTCAGCTGAGCCCTGGCTGAGCCAGGATGGATGACTTATGTCAACACATCTGAGCTGGGATGAGACACTTCAACTGGTGCAACCCCAGCTGAGTCCAAGCTCAACTGGCTCAGCCACAGATCAACGTATTCCAAACTCCACACATCCCAGCAGATCTTGGGTTTGGATTGCAGCCGTAGCATTTTCACTTTACCTTCACGCATCTGCTTACTTTTAACCAGCAGGTTGATGCTGGCAGAGGTGTTGCCCACAGCATTCATGGCAGCGCAGCGATAGGTACCACTGTCTTTCATCCACTCTGTGTCCCGAAGGGTCAAGTTAAGCCAGGCGTTCTCCTGCTGCAGCCGGTATTTCCTAGCATCCGTCCTGACAACCTGATTCTTGTTGTTGTACCAAAAGACCTCTGATCCCAGGTAGGCGCCTTCGAGCAAACAGGCCAGCTCAACCTCATTGCCTTCAAACAGCGACACTTTGGATCTGTCTACCACAAGCTTAGGAGGTTCTGTGAAGAAGAAGAAAAGAAGGAAGGAAGAGCCTGAGAAAAGTCGGCAATAAAGGTGCCCGTTTGGGCCCCCTTTTAACAATTGTGTGCCAGGCAGGAATTTGATAGGGAAAGCTTTTGCTTAACAATCTCAGAAAATTAGAATATTAAATGAAATCAGCAAAACAAGGATTGCAAATATAGAAATAGTGGACCTCTGAGAAGTAGAAGCATGCATATGTACTCAGTACTTGGTTTGGGCCCCTTTTGCATCAATTACTGCCTCAATGTGGCGTGGCATGGATGCTATCAGCCTGTGGCACTGCTGAGGTGTTATGGAAGACCAGGATGCTTCAGTAGCAGCCTTCAGCTCTTCTGCATTGCTCGGTCTCATGTCTCTCATATTTCTCTTGGCAATGCCCCATAGATTCTCTATGGGGTTCAGGTCAGGCAAGTTTGCCGGCCAATCAAGCACAGTAATCCCATAATTTGGGGTTTTCATCAGCTGTGCGCCATGATCATCACAATTATAACAAATAAAGGCTTGACATATCTCGCTTTGCATGTCATGAGTCTATCACGTATATTAGTTTCACCTTTTAAGTTGAATTACTGAAATAAATGAACTTTTCCACAATATTCTAGTTTTTCGAGTTTCACGTGCACTATGCCCCTGAGCTATGGCCCCATCCCAAAGGTACTGTTCTCATCTGCTTACCCAAACGGACCCGGCACTCAGTAGCTCTTGTGAGAAGTGGGTGGGCTGCCACGCAGGTGAACTCCTTTCCCCCCAGGGTGGCGTTTGATTTCATGACAAAGATGTTGTGGGATTGTTTCAGTCCTCCGAGCACATGGTCCTTCCAGTCTCTCCACCACAGAGTCACCCGGGGTTCTCCGCCTGCCCAGTCACAGGTCAGCATGAGGAATTCGTTCTGCTTGGTTGCTACGGCGCTGCAGGTCGGGTTCCCACCAGGGACCCCTGTGGCACAAACAGGACAATTCAGAGGCAGATTTCTAGCCTTAACAACTCACCAAGGCTCACTGCCTTCAGAATTCTGCTGGAGAATTCCATCTGGCCCTCCCGTTTCAAGGCAAACTGACCTAAGTTGCAGTATGCGCAGACTTAATGCCCTGATCAGAACACAGTTAATGATCAAATGATGCACTTCCATAGCTCTTGTGATGCGTGCAAAAATATGTTTTTTAAAAAATATATATTTATTTATTGAAATTAAACCTTTTAAACAGCAAAATCAGGGATTCTACCAGATCATAGTCAATAAATAAATACATCGGTATACAAATACTAATAGTATTATTTGAAAAGTTAGAAGCAGCGTAAGTTTGAACACTCTCATTAACTCTGTTATTCTAAATATTACAAAAATACCCATCTTTCCAAAAACCTGTTAGGTTGATTGATGCATATTTTTTAATATAATAAGTAAACTCAATCATTGTTAAAAGGTAAAGGGACCCCTGAACGTTAGGTCCAGTCGCGGACGACTCTGGGGTTGTGGCACTCATCTCACTTTACTGGTCAAGGGAGCCAGTGTACAGCTTCTGGGTCATGTGGCCAGCATGACTAAGCCACTTCTGGCGAACAAGAGCAACACACGGAAACACCGTTTACCTTCCCACTGGAGTGGTACCTATTTATCTACTTGCACTTTGAGGTGATTTTGAACTGCTAGGTTGGCAGGAGCAGGGACCGAGCAATGGGAGCTCACCCCATCGCAGGGATTCGAACCTCCAACCTTTTGATCAGCAAGCCCTAGGCTCTGTGGTTTAACCCACAGCGCCACCCACAGCATCAGATAGTTGTTTATTTACTTGGCATCTGATGGGATGGCGTTCCACAGGGTGGGTGCCACTACCGAGAAGGCACTCTGTTTGGTTCCCTGTAAACCCACTTCTCCCAGTGAGGGAACCGCCAGAAGGCCCTCAGAGCTGGACCTCAGTGTCCGGGCTGGACAATGAGGGTGGAGACGCTCCTCCAGGTATACTGGGCCAAGGCCATTTAGGGCTTTAAAGGTCAGCACTAACACTTTGAATTGTCCTCGGAAACGTGTTTCAAATGTGCTTTAAATGCCTGGTGTAAATTACATGCCACATGTTCCCAAGCTTTTCACTGGAACAATGAGAGCTGGGGACTTAAGAACAAAAACCAAAGCCAGAGAGCCTCGTGTCCTAAGGGCCCTTAAATTAGGATGGGGCTCACTCATTGCGAAGCGTGATTTGCTGTTAACCCGGACCAAAATGGCATGGGGAAGTTTAAACGCCAATCGTGCTGCACGTAGAGAGCTCTCTATACAAACTGATATAAAAAAAAAGCAGAGACATCACCTTGCCAACAAAGGTCCGTATAGTTAAAGCTATGGTTTTCCCAGTAGTGATGTATGGAAGTGAGAGCTGGACCATAAAGAAGGCTGATCGCCGAAGAATTGATGCTTTTGAATTATGGTGCTGGAGGAGACTCTTGAGAGTCCCATGGACTGCAAGAAGATCAAATGTATCCATTCTTAAGGAAATCAGCCCTGAGTGGTCACTGGAAGGACAGATCGTGAAGCTGAGGCTCCAATACTTTGGCCACCTTATGAGAAGAGAAGACTCCCTGGAAAAGACCCTGATGTTGGGAAAGATGGAGGGCATAAGGAGAAGGGGACGACAGAGGATGAGATGGTTGGACAGTGTTCTCGAAGCTACCAGCATGAGTAGCTCCCCAAACTGTGGGAGGCAGTGGAAGACAGAAGTGCCTGGCGTGCTCTGGTCCATGGGGTCACGAAGAGTCGGACATGACTAAACAACAACAACATACAAACTGATATCTCCCCATGATCCAGTCACAGCCCTTCAGTGCAAGCCAGGGCTGCGTATGAGCCTCAACATCCAGATTACACAACTTTTAGAAGACATCTGAAGGCAGCCCTGTATCAGGAGGTTTTTAATGCTTGATGTTTTTATTATGTTTTTACATATGCTGTAAGCTGCCCAGAGTGGCTGGGGAAACCCAGCCAGATGGGCGGGGAATAATAATAATAATAATAATAATAATAATAATAATAATAATGGACAAAGGTTTTACTGGGAGGAGAAGGAAGGTCACTACTCACACACAGTGGTTCTGCAGATGGTCTCGTCTCTGAGCGCCGGGTGAGAAGCCAGGCAAGTGTAGGAGGTCCCGTTGCGAACGTCTTTGCCATGATGGATCTGGGTGGCATTGGAGTAGGTCGCTGTGCTGTTTCCTCCCCACCGGGATTTCACCCACCGCAGCCGCACCAGGGGGAACCCTCCCTGCCACAAACAGCGCAGGGCAAGGTCTTGGAAATTGGTGGCTGGCAGCGGAGTGCAGCTGGGCTTCCCCTTGGGCAGATCTGTGCGTGGGGGGGCAAACATGGTATCAACAGCAACGAGGAGTTCCTGGCACCCAGTACATCCCTGTTGCCTGGGGCCCAATGGGTGGCAAGAGGCAAGAACTGGCATTCCCATGTATGCCTCTTGCAACATGGACACACGCAGTCGTTCAATTTACAGCCATCCTGCTCAACCATCCCAATATAAGCGGGAAATCCCAGAATTACAGAAGCCATCCTGGCTTCTGGTGGGATCCTGGAATGTCCTGTTCTTCGGTTTGGCACTCTGGCGCAAATCAGCTGGTTCACGCCAGAGCATGGGACCCAAAGATGCTCTATTTTTGGTCTCACACTCTTGTGCAAGTCAGAGAGCTTGGGGCCAAAGAACAAACAAGCGTCCCCATTTGGATCAGCAGAATGTTGGAGTGTGTCAAATGCATATTGTAGGCGATTCCCTTTAGCATCTCAAATGCACCTATGAAGGTGATTCCCTTTGACATCTCCACAGGCTTCACCCACAGTGGCATTGCAGTTCCTAGAGCTCCTTGGGAAGAGGGATTGATTGTTATACCACTCTGACAATTGTAGCTCTGTGAGGAGAATAGGGGACTCTTAGCAGCTCTCAGCACTTTTAACAAACCACAGTCCCCGGGAATCTTGGTGGGAAGTCACGGCTGTTTAAAGAAGTATGATGCTCTGGTCCCTACCAGAGATGAATGGCAGGCTAAATGGATGGACTACGCTGAGATGGCAAAAATGACCTCGGAAATCGGAAATCAGGAAGAGCAAAATTTTAATAAAGAATGAGGGAAATTTATATTGTACTTGGAAGAACACTGTGTAAACAATTGAACTCTTTAACAGGACTCAGATAACAATTGTAATGTAACAAAGACTTTGAACATAATGGATAATTAATCAGCTGGATGACTTAAAAAAATGAAGTAGAAAAGGATAAATGTGGAACCCATGGAAGGGTAGAGGGAAGTCTATAGATTTGAATGAATCTTATATTTGTTTTGATTTATATGCAATTTTGAATGTAAACATTAATTGGAAAAACCAAACAAAAATTAATATAAAAAGTGGTATGACACCCCTTTAAATGTATTATTGTGCAGATGGCGTCTGACTGTGGCAAGATAGGGTTGGAAACCCATAGTGGAGTTGGGTGGAAGAGAGAATCCTAGAGATGGCACGGATTGAACAGAAGTACATTACGCTGCAATGTTTTGTTGCCGGATGCACTTGTTGCGGCTTCATTTCTTTCACTCTTCTCTCTCTCTCTCTCTCTCTCTCTCTCTCTCTCTCTCTCTGTGTGTGTGTGTGTGTGTGTGTGTGTGTTTAAAAAATAATGTCCACAAGCCAAGATGGCTGCCAATGTACTCCTTAAAAGCCAACGCACCTGTGCAGCAGAACTGCATGACTCATCTTTCATAGACTGCCAATCATTTGAGGATGCAGGTGGGGAAATCTCCTGTCTGGTTCCCACATGAAAACAACATATTGCCTGTAGGTCAGCCATGAACTCAGACAGGGTTGTTTTCTGTGTGAAAAGAGAGAGGGAGAAATCCCCAACCCCAACCTACAGTTCTAGGTGGTACAGTACAGGAAGACTGGTAAAATGCTATTGCTACACATGTAAAGAGGCACCACAACAACTTACTGGGGATGGAAGATCATGCAATTTGGTCTCTGGTTTAAGGGCAAGGTTTAAGAATTCCTAGGTGGATTCTAAGGCCATGTCCAAATTACAGTCGTACCTCGGAAGTTGAACGGAATCCGTTCCGGAAGTCCATTCGAATTACAAAACATTCAGAAACCAAGGTGCGGCTTCTGATTGGCTGCAGGAACTTCCTGCAGCCAATCAGAAGCTGCGGAAGCCGCATCAGCCATTTGGATTCCAAAGAACGTTTGCAAACTGGAATAATCACTTCTGGGTTTGCGGCATTCGGGAGCCAAAACGTTCTACTCACAAAGCGTTCGACTTGCGAGGTACAACTGTACTGGCTTAAAACACAGCTGTCTCGTTCTATTTCTTATTTTGGATTGAAGTCGGTTTGTGGGAAATGCATCAAAATGCTGTGTTTCCCTTTTAAAAAACAACAGGATAGATAGATACCGGCTTGATGTGGATTGTGGTTAATGTTGTGTGAACACGGCTTCCCAAACCAGCAGTGAAAGTGCACTGGTTGCAGAGTAAACGAGCACCTCTTCCAATGTTGCATCAGACATTAAACAACAAAGAAGAACCCCTTTCAGCCCACTTGAAAAAGTCTCCTTGGCTACTTACTGCTGCTGTTAGCTACATAAATAATAACAAGAACATCAAACAAAGCAATCCTCCCTTTTTAGTCCTAATAAAATGTCAACCCCATTCGCTCCACACTAGTTCCTTCCAAATAAATGCAGATGGAAATAAATCTTTACTCTCTTTCATTCCTTTTTTGCAACAACAACAACAAAAAAGCCAAATTAGAAGCGTCTGACCAGAAAGAACAAAATTAAGTTTGTTTTGGCTCATATGCAGAAGAACCCAATTAAGATACTGTAGCTAAAGAGTAAGACATCAGCACCCTTCTGCCGTACATTGTTTTGTTTTTCAAAAAAAGGAAAGTTGTGAGTTCTTTGTTCTGTGACAGGTGACATTCTGCTTTGCTTTCTCTATCATTTAGGTTCATCAAAAGATGGAAACATCTCTAGAAGAGGCACCCATGGCCTTCATTTCCTACTGATGCTCTACACACCAAATAATCCCTCCCCCCCCCCCCGTCTCCTCTTTAGCCATGACAATATTTGGAAAGGTAGAAGGAAATAAAAACCAGAAGACAGAGGGAAGGAAGGAGCAGCAGCACATGCCAGAGCCTCATGCCCAAACAAGACGAGAAGGGATTACTTACAGTAGACTGTTAAGATAATGGCGGTTTGGGTACGTGTATTCAGGTGCATGTTCTGAGCAAGGCAAGTATAGATTCCTGTTTGGGTCCTTGAAATCCTGGTGATCACATACTTCTGACCAGAGTAGACTTGGGAGCTATTGTAGAACCAAATATAGTGGCTGGGTGGATTAGACGATGCCAGGCATGTCAGGATCACCTCTTCTTGCTCATTGGCTGAGAAGCCATGTTGGTTTACAGCAAACGGCTCCACGCTGATCACGGGTTCATCAGGCCCATCTACGGAAGAGACCATGAGGTTAGTTAGAGGCGTACCTGCTGCAGAGAAAGGGCTCGGGATGAACTTTAGAAGCCAGTATATTTAGCCATCATTATGACAGTCAGATAGGGACGCGGGTGTTGCTGTGGTCTAAACCACAGAGCCTAGGACTTGCCAATCTGAAGGCTGGCGGTTTGAATCCCCGCAACAGGGTGAGCTCCCATTGCTCGGTCCCTGCTCCTGCCAACCTAGCAGTTTGAAAGCACGTCAAAGTGCAAGTAGATAAATAGGTACCGCTCTGGTGGGAAGGTAAACGGCGTTTTCCGTGCGCTGCTCTGGTTCACCGGAAGCGGCTTAGTCTAAGGTTACCAGATGTCCCTGTTTCCTGGGGACAGTCCCTGGATTTACAAATCAGTCCCCACACAAAATCCATTGAAGTTGAAAAGTGTCCCTGGATTCAATGAAAAAAATCTGGTAACCTTAGCTTAGTCAAGCTGGCCACATGACCCGGAAGCTGTCTGTGGACAAACGCTGGCTCCCTTGGCCTATAGAGCGAGATGAGTGTGCAACCCCAGAGTCGTCCGCGACTGGACCTAAAGGTCAGGGGTACCTTTACCTTTATGATAGTCAGAGCAGATCTACAGTATTTACTTGTAGCCACGTTAAACTGGTATCATTGTCAGGGCTTCCACCCAGTGCAAACAGGAGCTGAGCAGGAAAAGCAGTTTCTCTTACAGGGTGTATATATTTGACATGACCTTTCACGTTGCCAAGTTGGCAACCCCTGTCTTGGGAGATTTAGATGTACTTAGATGTATCCCTTCTCTCTTTCCCTGATCAAAATTCCCCCCCAAAATTTCCCCATTTTTCCTCATAGGCTTTTTCTTCATGGAGAAAACAGCAATTTTTAGATCATGGAACAGCAGGGATTTGGAGAGGTCCTCTTCATCTGCACTAAAAAATGTCCAAGGCAGCTAACAATAAAATTCAATACATAATAAATAAGTAGTTTCACAATACTACCCCTTCTGAGAGTCTGAGGCTGCTGCCGAGTTAAAATTAGAACATTGAGAGATTTGACTCAGAGAGAAATGAGATAAAGAAAGCACAGACACGACCTTTTACCAAAACAGTTGTGGGAGATACAACATAGACATCCTGGCATTGGTAAGCTAATTCATAGATATATTGTGATAAACACACACACACACACACACACACACACAACCTTTGCCCTGATTCAATCCACAGGTTATAGAGCTGAAACTTGAGAGTGAATAAGAGAGTGAGAGAAAACAAACAAACACAGTTTACAATCCAATATTCACTCATCTGTAAACTTAGTTCTAGACCACCCTACATTAAAATTATCTTCAATATGAGTATAAATGGAATCTTCATAATTGCCATTTAATTAATGAATTAACCCATATGACAGCAGAGGAAACGCTTTAAATAATTCTGATGCTCTCGTTTCATGCACTTAATTGTTCAATTCTTTGTTTGCTTTCCTTTAAAAGGTAGCATTTCTATTAATTTTCTTGTTGTTGCAAGGTATCAAATGTTATTAAACCACTCTCATTCTGTTGGGATAGCTGAATCTCTTGATGAATTTGAATTGCACGGTTTTGCATTGCAGTCTCCCTTTGAAGTCCCTTTGTCCAAGACTGTCCGTTTTGAGATCGGTTACACCATTAATGGCATAATTATCACTGTCTGCATTTCATTTTCCGCTGATCTCACTGTGTGCAATCCCCAACCATCTCTCTCCATAGACCAGAAACTCAAGATGACACTCCAGGCTGCTGTGTTGTTGTTTTTTATTGTGTATGTATTCTGCAACATGTCACAACCACAGTGAATTAGCAATGGATTCATTCCGCTTAAGTTTGTTCTGTGATGCTTCCCCATTGCTGCCACATTATTGCTGTCCAGAGGGGCTACAGTGCAACCAAAGCAGGGGAACAAAAATAAACCAGATATTTTGCATTATAAAAAAAAAGTTACAGGGTTTCAGCAGAATGTTACAGGTTATGCACTGATTGGAAATGAAGCTGTGTGACTGCTCCAGAGCCTCTGCAGGGGCAAACCATATTGAAAGCATGTGACCATCCCAGTAGCATCAATAGCACAAATAATCATGAATGCACAATAAAAAGGATGTCAGGAAAGGCCCTCCATGCGTCCGATGAAGTGAATGAAAGCTTATGCCATAATAAATGTGTCTTTAAGTCGCAAGACTCTGTTGATTTACTGTATTTTTCGCTCCATAAGAGGCACTTTTTTTCTTCGTAAAAAGTAAGGGGAAATGTCTGTGTGTCTTATGGAGCGAATACGTGGTCCCTAACACTGAATTGCCCAGGGGCAAAAAACAGATCCTGCTTTTTTTTTTTAAGAAAGAGAGAAAGGGGTGTTGAAATGAAGCTGCTGAGCAGCTGATTGGCAAGCAATCAGGAGGGAGATAAGGGACGCTAGCCTGGAGCGGGGAGGTAAAAGCACATGGATCCTCAGGGTTTTTGCATTGGGTCACCCCAAATTCAGCATCAGATCCCATAGCATGTCCATGGCTACAGCCTGCACCAAAAAAAGCACAGATCCACTGTTTTGTGGGGCCGCAATGGCGCACAAACGTGGTTACAAAGCACGGATCCACATGGATTCTCAGGATTTTTGCATTGGGCTACCCCAAACTCACCATCAAATCACATATCATGTCTGTGGCCACAGCATGAACCACAAAAATTATACATCCACTGTTTCATTCAGAATTTTTTTTGTTTTGTTTTCCTCCTTTAAAAACTAGGTGCGTCTTATGGTCAGGTGCGTCTTATAGAGCGAAAAAATATGCTATTTTTTTAGCACCTTTCCAGCACTGAGGAAAGACATGGAAAGACCAGAACATTTGGCTCCTTTCTCCAATTACTTACAGATAACGTCAAGGTACATCCTGTCACTGGTTTGGCTATTGACTTCATTTTGGGTGGTGCAGGTGTACCAGCCCATCTGAGTCCGGTTAGACGATGTCAGGTTCAATAGACCTTCCACTGTTTCTGCGACGGATACTGTGCCATCCCGGTTAGTGTAGCGCTGCCATGAATATGTAACAGGAGGCGTCCCCTCCTTCACTGTACATGTCATCACAACAGGCATGCCTTCCACGGGCGTTGAATTGTTCATCTGCAGGAAAGGCTTTGAAACAGGAACTGCAATAGAGCAAACATAGACTTGAGCTCAGCTATGCCCTTGCCCTTTCCAGGCACTATGCTCTATCTCCACTCTGCCTCCGAACGCCACTTGTTTGGAAACGCAGGCGGGCAGACTGCCCTTGCATTCACGACCTGCCTGCCAGCTTCCCAAAGGCACCTGGTTGACCACTGAGAGAACAGGATCCTGGGTTAGATGGGTCATTGGCCTGATCCAGCAGACTTTTCTTATGTTCTTATGACAGAAACAGAACGTAGATCAAGGATGAGCAAACTTCAGGATAAGAAGAGCAGAAGAGCCCTGCTGGATTTGGACCAAAGACTTGTCTAATCCAACCTCGTCTTTCCTACAATGGCTAGCAAGATGCCTCTGCAACGGCCGAAATCAAGAAAGAAGGGCAATAGCCACATAACATCGGTCTTGAAAGACCTACCTTGGCTCCCAGTACGCTTCCGAGCACAATTCAAAGTGTTGGTGCTGACCTTTAAAGCCCTAAATGGCTTGGCCCAGTAGACCTGAAGGAGCGTCTCCACCCCCATCGTTCAGCCCAGACACTGAGGTCCAGCTCCGAGGGCCTTCTGGCAGTTCCCTCGCTGCAATAAGTAAAGTTACCGGGAACCAGGCAGAAGGCCTTCTCGGTAGCAGCGCCTGCCCTGTGGAACCCCTTCCCATCAGATGTCAGAGAAATAAACAACTATCTGACATTTAGAAGACATCTGAAGGTAGCCCTGTTTAGGGAAGTTTTTAATGACTGATGTGTTAATGTATTTTTAATCTCTTGTTGAAAGGCACCCAGAGCAGCTGGGGAAACCCAGCCAGATGGGCAGGGTATAAGATGATGATGATGATAAGAAGAAGAAGAAGAAGAAGAAGAAGAAGAAGAAGAAGAAGAAGAAGAAGAAGAAGTTATTATTATTATAATCTCTCATGATTGTTTCCCAGCAACTGGTAATTTAAAGGCATGCTCCCTCTGATCTTGGATGGAGTCATTAGCCTTCATAGCTAGTAGACACTGATAAACTTATCATCCATGAATTGATCTAAATTATTATTATTATTATTAGTAGTAGTAGTAGTAGTAGTATTTATTGAATTTATACACTGCCCTATACCCTACATATAACGCATTGCAGTAAATTAACCTTGAGGTTACCATAGCATAGACAACAATAGTTAGTCTATCCCTGTCCAGATAGGGGCGTAGCTGGGCCACCAGCCGAAGGTGATGGAAGGCACTCTGGGCCACTGAGGTCACCTGAGCCTCAGGTGACAGCAAAGGATCCAGGAGGACCCTCAAGCTACAAACCTTCTTCTTCAGAGGAAGTGTAACCCCATCAAGAACAGTCGATCTCCCACCCACTTTTAAATCTATTTACATTCTTGGCTGTTGCCACATCTTGTAGAAGTAACTATACCCCGTGAAGTACTTTCACCTCCTTCCATTCATTGGATTGCCCCAAGTTCTACTATTACAAGGGAGAAGGAACTTCTCTATTCACTTTTGTCATGCACAATGACCCCTCCCTTGCTCGCCTCTTTTTTCTAAATTGAAAAGCTTTGAATATTGTAACTTAGCCTCTGGTCCTGAAGGGAGGATATAGTCATCATAGTGACTATCCTGGGATGAGAGACTGAGAGAAGGGATCCCAATCACCCTCACATGCATTTTCTTAGCTGAAAATTGCAATGTATGTTTCCCTCCCCTTAATTTACAACTGGTGCTGGGAAATACAAGGCTGACTGCCTTAAGATGAGAAAAGGATTAAATCGTCCCCTGTCGGAAAGCAAACACAAGCCACTCCAATTGAACTGCTGGCAATGAATGGCAGCTACATACTTCTGAGAGATAATCCCCCAGCAACAAGAAGAGTATTTGACAACTTGAGTTTAACCAACCCCACCAGCAGCAAAATACAGGACCATGAAAGCCCAGCTGCATCATTCTGCATACACAAGAGGACCGGATGTCTGGATGACACACATGAAACCTGGGATACACGTTCCCCCAATGTGCCTCTTAGAAAGGCCTTCTGACCAGCACACCCGAGGCAGGAATGTTAACTCTTTTTGCGGAGATCCAATTACTTGGCTGCAACCGTTTTTTATCTCTGGACAAATTTCAAGAGGCCAGAGTGTGCTGGCTGACATTCCTAAGGTGCTTTCAGTAGACAGGATCCTTGACAGCTCTGATCAAGATGAGCCAGGCTGCTGTTTGCGCAGGAACCCCCCAAGCACATCTGTATATTGTTTTCAATTTTGCCCATTGACCTGAGTCCAGCTGTTGCATTCTGCCAGACTATCCTGGCTCCAGGATGGGGAGGGGGGAAACCGTTGCAAAGGTCCTAAGTGGGGCCCACTTAACCTGGAAAAGGTGGAGACCCAAACCAAAATTTCCCGCACAATCTCTCTGACCTTGGGTTCTCCATGGAAGCATCCATGGAAGCATTCACTTCTGCTACAAAATATTTTGCAGCAGAACAAATTCATTCTGGATTTTCATGCCGATTTTAAAATGCAAGTCAACATAGAAACAAGATGGACAGGTCTTATACACATGGGCACATTCGAAAGCGACACAAATTCAAAACAGATTGGGCCAGTTGTTCTTTCTGAATCCCTTTCCTTTCCCCCTGTTTTCCACATTCATCTCCTTGGCTCCTTTCCCCCTTGTAGGTTCCCAAACACATTTCAAGATAAACACACATGGAACCCTGAGAGGGGGGATTTTGGGGGTACACAATTTGGTGTTGAGAAGTGACAAGTGATCGAAGAGTTAAAACATCCCTCCCCACTGCTGCTTCTCTGCTCTAAATCTCGCCTTCCCTAAATGAGGAGATGACATTAATGAGGCCTCAGCCAACATGATCAATGGCCAAGGAGTTGTATAGTTCAGCAGCATTTTCAGAGAAGCACAGAGGCTCTCAAGGAACAATCCTTCTGCATTTCAGGCACGCAAAGCTACTTACCCAAAACGATGAGCTCAATATAGAAATAAACAACTTTGATCTCATCTTCTTCGCCATACATTGCCTGGCACAGGAAGCGCCCTTCCGCTGCCGTTTTCAGGTTCTCGATCTCCAGGGTGGTGTTATCCAACGTCACATTCCCCAGAACACCAGAGCCCCTCTCCACTTTGGACTCTACGCCGTTGCTGATTGCCACAGCTCTGGGGATGTCCGAGCCCAGCTTGGTGAAACTCCAGAAGACAACCATGGGTGAAGCCGCATCACCGCATGGCAGCAGCACCGAGCGATCGCGCACCCCTTTGACCACATGTTCCTCATACTTGGTTTCTTTTAAAGGGAGCAGCTGACCTAGAGGAAACAAGCAGCTTAAGTTTTCCAGGAATCCCTTTGCAACTAATATCAGCAGGTTTCGCAATGGACACAGCTCAAGGGGCGCCAGTACTTATTCCACTAGCATATGGATTTATGCTAGTGCAATAGAATGTTTTCCCTCCTGCAACTCTGTAACTTCTCCCAATCTGCCCAGGAGGTTCAGAGAACCCCATAATAGATTTAGGGGGCACACAGGGGGAGAAGATGTGGTAAGTTATGTCACTTAAGCATAAATCCTTGTGCTGGTGGAAGGAGCTGCTTAGTGCTACATTGGACAACATATTTTCTATGTTTTCCTCATTCATTTAGTTGAGGATATTAGGAAATGGCGTTGTAACACAATGGATTATTTTACCATATAGAACCATGTAGCCCAGAGGACTTTCCCAATAGGGAGGAAGAAGTCAGTTCACATCTAAATGTGAATATACCTAATTCAGACTTCACAAAACAATCACCTCTTTTTAAATCCGCACTTTTCTGAATTTTGCAATGCAGTTCCGCATCCAAATAATGCATACAAAAACATGCAAATTAGGCAAAAGTGCATTAAGATGCATACATTAGTGAGGATAACAGACAAGAGTGTATTTTATTTGGATGTACTGCTTTCCTCCCCAAAATGTATACTTTGGGCAAAATAATATAGAGTGGTACCTCAGGTTCAGAACTTAATTCGTTCTGGAGGTCCGTTCTTAACCTGAAACTGTTCTTAACCTGAGGTACCACTTTAGCTAAGGGGGCCTCCTGCTGCCGCCGTGCCACTGCTGCACGATTTCTGTTCTCATCCTGAAGCAAAGTTCTTAACCCAAGGTACTATTTCTGGGTTAGCAGAGTCTGTAACCTGAAGCGTCTGTAACCCGAGGTACCACTGTACAAAAAAATATAAATATTAGGAGGTGAATTAAAATGCTAGCTACTTTTTCATGAGGAGTTATTTTTTTATTTAAGCATCCAAACTGGTGAAGAAATGAGAACTGAATTTAAGATTGAAAAAAATGGAAAGAAAAATGGAAAGAAACAGAAATTAACAGATTTGTCCATCCTAAATTCCAGTTACTTTAGCCCTTTAACAGAAGATAATGATGCCTGCAATCTTCTGCACACAAAGCACGGAGCTCCCAGTTTATATCCCGCTCCTTCTCAAAAACTGTGGGCAGCTTATACAAATGCACCCTGCAATATTTCATAATTGGAACATGCCAGTGACACTTCTATTTTCATACTAACAATGATTCCTCGAATACTCTCCATCCACCTATTAAACATTGGGCTGCCTGAGCATCCATCTGCTCTGCCATTTCCCAGTCCACTGCATTGATTGGATATCAATATAGATATATAACTGCACTACAGTCTGCTGTCACCAGTTCAAAATTAGCCTCATAACATATAAAGTAGCAAGCTATGCTTCTTATGATGTTCCAGAACATCAGCCACATATCTCAGGCAAAGACCTTCATTGGACCCTGTTAACTTGAAATAGGAGGGGTAGTTTTGTTGCCAAGGCCGGCATCAGAGCCCGGCATCCAAGAAGGACCCACTGCTAATGTTTGCTTTGAGGAGCTCTTAATAATTTTATTTAATGACCTGGCACTCTCAGCAGTGCCAGCTGGCTGGATTTAGTCAATCTTTCATCAAGTTCTTACAAATAACTGGAACCTCTGTGTCCAAAAGCTATATATGGTGTCAAAGTGATCTGAATGTGTAGCCTGTCAGGACTGAGGTGACCACATTCTGAAACAGCTGAACTTTCCAAATCATATTTAAAGAGAGTCTCAGACACAGCACATTAAAGTAGTCCAGCCTAGGTAGCGTATAATATACAACTGGATAGCTATCTATACTTGGTCATGGACCACGGCACTGACAACAATTGCTTAGGAATGAACGAATCTGTCATTTAGGTTCTGTCAGTTTCTCATTTTCCTATATTAAATCCAGATCTCCACATTTCTGCTGCAATTTATGGTTCATTTCTTCTTTTTCTTTAATCATCATGAAAATTTGCTAGCCTTTTAGTGTGAGTTCCTCCTAACAAAGGTGTTTTTGTAGGCAATTTAGCCAGTGTGGTGTAGTGGTTAAGAGCGGTGGACCTGTAATCTGGTGAACCGGGTTTGATTCCCCGCTCCTCCACATGCAACTGCTGGGTGACCTTGGGCTAGTCACACTTCTCTGAAGTCTCTCAGTCTCACTCACCTCACAGAGTGTTTGTTGTGGGGGAGGAAGGGAAAGCAGATTGTTAGCCGCTTTGAGACTCCTTAGGGTAGTGATAAAGTGGGATATCAAATCGAAATATACACATTGTTTTTTGCAGTGCAATTTCCCTTAATCTCACGTAGCTTTGTATGCTATTTTCACTAAACATAGGCATGTTTTTTCTACACATTACCTGGCTGGAGAACTGCATGGCATACATTGGAGAAGTGTGAGTTTCCAAGGATGGCCGAGGTTTGGCTTGCATGTTGATTCGGAAAGTATGAATTAGGTAAAAAGTAAAGGGAACCCTGACCATTAGGTCCAGTCTTGGATGACTCTGGGGTTGCGGCGCTCATCTCGCTTTATTGGCCAAGGGAGCCGGTGTACAGCTTCCGGGTCATGTGGCCAGCATGACTAAGCTGCTTCTGGCGAACCAGAGCAGCGCACGGAAACACGGTTTACCTTCCTGCCGGAGCGGTACCTATTTATCTACTTGCATTTTGATGTGCTTTCGCACTGCTAGGTTGGCAGGAGCTGGGACTGAGCAACAGAAGCTCACCCCATTGCGGGGATTCGAACTGCCAACCTTCTGATCAGCAAGTCCTAGGCTCTGTGGTTTAACCTACAGCGCCACCCACTTTCCCATGAATTATGTAGGCTCACCTTTAAATATGAAGTGAATAAATTTCTCCCCCGCTCCACCGATCTCCCCATCCAGAATGTAGATCAAGGTTCCCCAAACTTTGGTCTCCAGTTGCTTTTAGACTATAATTTCCATAATCCCTGACCACTGGTCCTGCTACCTAGGGATGATGGGAGTTGTAGTCCAAGAAGAGCGGGAGATTCAAGTTTGGGAAACCCTGGTATAGACACATACAGTTTTTCTACTGTAGCTGGCCTGGCAAAATTTCTATACGGCTTAGGCCCAGGCTATCTGAAGGAACATATTCTCCAATATGAACCTGCCCATATTTTGAAGGCCCTTTTCTTGGTACCATCACCCTCAAGGCATGCTTGATGGGGACATGGGAGAGGGCCTTCTCAGTGGCTGCTCCCAGACTTTGGAACTCCCTCCCTAGAGAAGCGAGACTGGCTCCCTCCTTGTTGCCCATCCACTGGCAGGTGAATGTTTTATTCTGAGAGGCCTTGGGGATCTGGTTGTTGTTTTTTTAAGAAAAGGGCTTTTAATAGTGCTGCACTGTGTTGCTATCTGCATTTTCATTGATTTTTAAATATTGGTTTAATTCTATTTGAGCTTACATACTTTTTAACTATTATATTTCACTTAAAAAATATGTATCCTTGTTTTAATTTGTTTAAGTTGCCTTGAGTCCCAGCCTGGGGCAAAGCTAGGAGATAGAAGAAGAAGAAGAAGAAGAAGAAGAAGAAGAAGAAGAGGAGGAGGAGGAGGAGGAGGAGGAGGAGGAGGAGGAGGAGGAGGAGGAGGAAGTTACTCAGTGCTTCTTCCTTTTTTTAAGAAAAAAAGATGTAGATACTCATCATGAAGTTGTTACAGTAAGTACCCACACTTTTAACATTTGGGGGTGGGAGGTGGAAGTACTGCGTACTCTTCAGTACATCCAGGTAAAAAGCACTGATGTTACTCACCATAAGCCACTGTTGGGAGGATGTAGATTATTTTCAGCAGGCTCCTAATTTGTAGGTTCCTTGTCCATCCATAATCCATTGCTCCATGTCACTGCGTGAGGAAGGAACCAGACGCCAGAGACCCTCCTAGCTCCGTTCGAACCGGCACATCTCTCTAGCCTTCAAGCAAGTGCTCACCACTCTGTCCCCAATTTTTTCAACTTCCTGCTTACTCTGCAGACCTTGTTAACCTCCGTGACATAGAAAGCCGGTCTCTCTGGGTCCTCTTTCAGCCTCTCGTCCATCAAAATGCAGCCCTCATCAGTCTCAGGTTACTCCGAATCTCCCCTGATTAATCTTCAATTATTCATTTCTTCTCCTTAATCTCGTTTCCTTGATCTATTATGCAGGAGCTTCTTCATATATGATGAGTCAACTTTCTTTGGTTTTAGCATCTTGGCCTCTAGCATGAGATAAAGATCGAGAATATTCGGTTCTCCCTAGGAAAATCTAAGTCATGAGCTTCAAATCTAAAACCATAACCAAGAGTCAAATCTATTTCGTGTTTTCCAAAAGCAGACAAAGCAGGTCTTTCATTTATTGATTTAATGCATACATATCTTTCCTCCAAGGCACTCAAGGTAGTGTAGTCTACTTTATCCAGTTTTATCCTCTCAGCAACTCTGTGAGGTAGGTTATGCTGACAGATAGCAACTGGCCCAAGATCACCCAGTGAGCTTCAGGTCCTAGTCTGACACTCTAACCCAAGGGTAGCCAACCTGGTGCCCTCCAGATGTTGCTGGACTACAACTCCCATCATCCCTGACTATTGACCATGCTAGCTGGGGGTGATGGGAGCTGAAGTCCAACCTCTGCTTTAACACTATGCCACACCAATTCTCTTTTTGTCTGAGGTAACCCTGAAGTCACACTTAAGGATATTGCATTCAGTAAGGCTTACTGCAGCGAAGGCATTCATAAATTGGAGCTTCGAGGATGTGCTTGACTCTCTCACCTATTGAAAGCAGTAGGGCTTGAAGGTTTTTCGCACTTGCCTGCTTATGTCTTAAGTCTACAACCGTAAGAAAACAGACAAGGTCAGTCTGTTGGACTGTGCAGTTCAGTATTGTCTATATTGTCAGGGGGGAAACAAGGCTGTCCAGGGTTGTAAAGACTGTGGAGAGAATAACTGGGTGCACTCTTCCCACCTTGGATCAAATCGATGCTTCCAGGTGCCATAAGAAAGCTGCAGAGTTAGTGCAGGATAGTGCGCACCCCAGAAATGATCTCTTTCAGCTTCTGCCTTCTGGAAGAAGGTACAGGGTTAGAAAGACTAGGACTAGCCACCTGAGAAACAGTTTCTATCCAAATGCGATTTTGGTTTTAAATGCAGTGTAAGGAGTCTCTATGGGAGTATATTGTATTTAAAAATGGGGTGTCAGAGTTTTTAGGGGGGCTAACCAGGTTGGGGTAGCTGGGATAGCAGGCTTGTTGGTTTTTGAATGTCTTATGTAGATTTTTTTTCAATTTCGCTGTTCTGTACGGGACAATGACAATAAAGATTATCGTATCGTATCGTATTAACCAACAATGTCTCTCCAGGGTTTCAGACAGGGGCACATTTCCAGCTCTGCCTGTTGATACCAGTGGGTGAACTTGGGACTTTATGCATGCAAAGAAGATGTTCTTCCACTGAGCTGCAGCCCTTCCTGTAAACTATAATGCAAACTGGATACTGGAGCTGTGTCTGGCTGGCCAATGCCCTGTTAACTCTCCCTATATCTTATAAAGCAGAAATGAAACCTTTATCCAGAACAAAAACCCCAGGAGATAAAGAGCAAATTTGCTGTGCAACAAATAGAGCTAAGAAATTGCAACACAACGCCTTCATTCAGAACAGAGCAAGACCCAACTACTCTGTGTGAACAGATCAACATCAACATAAAAACACCCTAACTTCTGGATGTTACAAAGGAGGAAGATGTTCTTCCTTGTGCCTCCATGATGTTGGATGGCACCTGCCTCTCAATGCACATCCTTCAGCATTCTCACGTAGTATTAGAAATCACCCCAGAATTGGCCCTACTAAACATCTTCCAAGACAATAATACCCATTTACACCACAAAGACCTCATAACCCACCTACTTTCAGCAGCCAGAAACACCATAACCAGACACTGGAGAGACCTGTCAGGAGTAAGCATGGACCAATGGTACCAAATAGTATGGGGAACAGCCTTACTAGAAAAATTAACCAATAAACTGAAACTGACACGGGGACAAACAGAAGAAGACACCTTTACCCTGGTATGGCTCCCCTTTATCACATACACAGCCCAACAAGACAATGACAAAAATCCACCAACAGCATATAGAGCAGTATGGCTAACCTGATCCAAAACACCCACCCACCCCACTCACACATGAAAACAAAGATCACCAGAGCCAATCACAAACAAACAACCACACCCTAGGTCAACCCCAACCTCTCTCACCACTAAAGGAACACAAGTGAATAGCAGAGAACCTGCACAAGCGACGCTGACACAAAACCCCGCATATATTAAGTATACAGTGGTACCTCAGGTTACATACGCTTCAGGTTACAGACTCCGCTAACCCAGAAATAATGCTTCAGGTTAAGAACCTTGCTTCAGGATGAGAACAGAAATCATGCTCCAGCAGCGCGGCGGCAGCAGGAGGCCCCATTAGCTAAAGTGGTGCTTCAGGTTAAGAACAGTTTCAGGTTAAGAACGGACCTCCAGAATGAATAAAGTACTTAACCCAAGGTACCACTGTAATAGAAACATCACCACCCGACCCCACCACCACTCACCTTCCCCCCCACCTCTTTCCCCCTCTTCCTATTGTCTCAACAAATGCAACTGATCTGTAAAAAATGTTACTTGGGGGAAAAGACCCTGATGTTGGGAAAGATTGAGGGCACAAGGAGACGGGGACGACAGAGGACGGGATGGTTGGACAGTGTTCTCAAAGCTACCGACATGAGTTTGACCAAATTGAGGGAGGCAGTGGAAGACAGGAGTGCCTGGCATGCTCTGGTCCATGGGGTCACAAAGAGTCGGACATGACTAAACGACTAAACAACAACAACATATATATGGTGCACAAATCTGTATTTTGTATGGCTAGAATGTAGAGTCGTATCTGTTGCTCCACTCAATTTTGCCTCACCACTGGCATGTGGCCCCCAGAAGGTTACCCATGCAGGAATGTGGCCCTCAGGTGAAAAAAAAGGCTTCCCACTCCTGTTTTATTATGAATAGCAGAGGTCCCTTGGAGAGATTTATTACCATTCAGCTACTGAAATAAGATTCCGTGCTCTTAATGGAGTGTTGAAAGACAGCTTGGGCATTTCGCTCACGTGGGAGCCAGGTTAGGTATCAGTGCGTTACTTATTCATTACAGGGATGGTCAGTGGTTTTAATTTTCATCCAGGCTTTTACAGGGCGGGGGAGGGAAGGTCAAACTTCCCCCACTGAGCACTGCTCAAGATCAAAGCATAAGTCAAGCACAAACACCATCTGGGTCGGCCGAGGTCTTTGTTCACAACAGAGCAGCGAGCAGCCTTTGGACCCTGGAAGGTTACATAGCAGCATTCGCCTTGAGATGTTGGCCATTGCACAAGTGACCCAGTGTTAGATTAGTACCACATATTAGAAACACTACCCATTTCTTATGGAGACAACAGGCCAAGACCTGTAGAGGTGGGTGTTGAAAGAGCAGTGGAGAGGATGGCACCCACATCACTCTGGCCATGGGATCTGGTCCAGAGATATTTGCATATACAATTCCAACCATTTGGCTGGCAGCCAATGGGGGTGGCAGTACCTGTCACTTTCGGTTCTTTTGGCTTCTCGGTTTCTTAAATTCAGTTGTCTACATTTCTGCAGCAATTTGATTTAAAAAAAATAATCATGAAAATTCATCAGCACGTTAGTGCCAGATTTACGCTAATAAACACATTTTTGTATGCAGTTTTGACTTACATATGTATGCATGCAATTTCTCCTAATATAATGGAAAGGTGTATGTTATGTTCACTGATATATTCATTTCTATGCACACCTTTCCCTAATACGTGTATTTTCGTAAACCTTGTTTGTTTGGCGAACTGCACTGCAAAATTCAGATAAGTGTGAATTTCACAGGATGGCTGGATTTTGGTTCACATGTTGCCTTGGAAAGTGCGAATTTGATAGATTCGCCTTTCAATTCAAACTGCGATGACTTTCCCCCCCATTTCTAACTTCAGGTAAGTGATGGGGAGAGAATATGTACACCTTGGGTGAGAGAGAGAGGTAGTTTGGTTTTTCTTTTCTCTTGCTTCACGGTTGGCTGGTATTCCTAACATATCTCCAGTGTGATTGTTTTGTGACTTTCCCATTTTACATTTGCTGTACTCATGCTGTACTCGTGTTCTGTATGAGGAAGTGGTGTTTTTATCTACTAATGTTTTCTTGTTGTCAGCTGCTATGAGCTCAATCTGGTTGTTGGGGAAAAGGCGTACAGAAACATTAAATAAAACTGAATGCTTGCTCACCCGTGGCTTGGCTTAACGTTGCATGCGAACTAGACCAATACTTTTAGGCCTAGCCTGTTTAGTGTGTTTAATTACTACAAGATTATGCACTGCTAGACAGAGGCAGGAGTGTTGCGATGGAAATTTCCAGCATTTGCCTTTCTGAGACTGGAGGGTGAGGACTATTTATCTTGGAGAACCGCTAAGAGTCCCAGTCACTCAGACCTAATTTAAACTTGTCTGGCTGTGAGTTTGGGGTGACTTAACCTGTTTGGATTCAATAAAGCTGCCTGTCCTCCCACGGTTATCTGCCTCCTTTCCTTCATGCCTATATATTTTCCACATGTCCTTTCCAAAGAGTTTTCACTCTCCTCCCTTCACACCAAAAGAGAGTCCTCCTGACAGCTCCCCCTCCCTTTTAAGCATCGTGCAGGAAGTTTTGTCACCTTTCCAGGAAAAAAAATATATATATCTTGGGATTTCAGTCAGGAGGACATGATGAAATGGTTTAAAACAAAAAAACAGGCTTCGTCATACAGAAGAGAACATCTCCAACA